TCTTTTTTTTTCTTCTGTCTCTTTTCTAGGCCCACCTGGAAGAGTCGAAGACTTCCGGGACGCTGGCGAACCAGGGGAACCGGGAATTCCAGGTTTCCCAGGGAAATTTGGACCCCGGGGACCCACCGGGGCCAAAGGTCCCCCTGGCCCCCCCGGAGACCGGGGCCCCAAGGGCGAATCCGGGGACGCCAAAACCTCCCACCAATCCGCTTTCTCGGCCACGCGGGGTACCACTTTTACCCCGAGCCGAGCTCGACCGGTCCGCTTTGACCGAGTCATCACCAACGTGGGGAACCACTACAACAATCGCTACGGTCAGTTCACCTGCCAGATCCCGGGCATCTACTACTTCACCTACCACGCCACCTCACGGGGCAACCTGTGTCTGAAGCTGAAGAAGGGGCGGGGCAGCGCCAGCAGCGAGAGCGTGGTGACCTTCTGCGACTACGTCCTGAACACCTTTCAGGTGACCACCGGTGGGGTGGTCCTCCGGGTGGCCCAGGGCGAGATGGTGTGGCTGGAGCCGACGGAGAAAAACTCACTGCTGGGGGGCATAGAAGGGTCGGATAGCATATTCTCCGGGTTCCTGCTGTTCCCCGAGGCAAATGTCTGAACGCGTTACCTCTGGGGGCGTCCGTCTCTCGTGCGCCCCGAAGGGATAACGCGGGGGGCTGACGAGTTGCAAGCCTCCTCCTCTCCCGTCTCCTTCCTTCTGCTTGGCCCCCTCCCTGCTTTTCTCCCCCACCCTCTATTTTTTGTTTCCAAGGGAAGCCGCCGAGCTTGAGGTCTCTGCCGCATTTGCAAACGAATCTAATAAATGATCATTGACGAAAGGTTTTTCCAGGTTTCGTGGGGTAATTCGAACAGAGGTTTCACGGCGGTGAGTCCTCTTGGGGAGAGGGGGGGAGTTTATGATCCAGAGGGTGTCAGAAAGGCTTTACAGGGACTCCTCGGCTTACAACGGTCGGTTTAGTGTCTGTTTGAAGTTATCCTTGAGCATCTAGCGCCCTCTGCTGGCTGCGTCTGGGTTACCCGACTTTTCTTGCGGCAGATGTTAAGTGAATCACTGCGGTTTTAAGTTAGGGACGAGGTTGTTAAGCAAATCCAGCTTCCCCCGTTGACTTGGCTGGTCAGATGGTCGCCAGAGGGGATCCCATGACCCCAGGGTGCAGCGACCGTCATCAATACGAGTCAGTTGCCAAGGGTCTGAATTTTGATCCCGTGACCACAGGGGAATGCTGCGACGGTCGTCAGTGTGAAAAACGGCCATAAGCCCGTTTTTTTTCAGTGCCGTTGTAACTTCAAACAGTCACTAAACAAATGGTTTTAAGTAAAGGATTACCTGTCTCTTCGGTCCAGCATTTAGGTGACCTGGATGGAGCCAGCAGAGGGCGCTAGACGCTCAAGGATTGGCATCCAGACCTTCCCGGGGACATTGCAAGAAAGCAAGCAAAGAAGACCCCCACCCTAAACACACACACACACACACACACACACACACACACACACACCTTGCTTTATGAAAAGGGGGCTTTGTGGATCTGGAGAAGCATCACATCTCCAGGACTGAGCGAGCCTGGCTGGAGGGGCAGATTGAGTTACCCCCCCCCCCCAAAAAAAAACATTTGCCCAGTGAAGGCAGCTTGGCTGACCCTCTGCACAGGCCCAGGATTCCTTGGCAGTCCCCCTCCCATCTCCCCTCCCCACACACAGGAAAAGAGAAGAAACATGAAAAGGAAGGAAGAAAAGAAGGCAAGAAGGAGGGAGGGAGGGAGGGAGGGAGGGAGGGAGGGAGGGAAGGATGGATGGATGGATGGAAAAGGGAAAGAGTAAGGAAGGAAGGGAGCAAGGGAGTGAGAGAAGGAAGGAAGGAAGGAAGGAAGGAAAGGAAGGAAGGAAGGAAGGAGGGAGAGAAGGATGGATGGATGGATGGAAAAGGGAGGGAGGGAGGAAGAAAGGAGGGGGACAAGTTGCAGCTGCACCCCACTTCCAAAGGGGCCGAGGGGAAGGCCTGCGGGGCTCCCCTCGTCCAGCCACCCCCTCCTCTTCCAGCCCCACCGCTCTTGCCTCCTCCCGGCCTAGGGCGACGCGGGAGCCTCCCGTGACCCAGAAACCGGCTGGGGGGCCTGGGGCGGGCTGGAGGTTTCCATGGGGACGGCCGGAGAGGAGCGTGTACAGCCGGCCGGGGCATCTCCCCCCACCCCCCCACTTCCCAGCATACTATGCTGCCTCCCCCTCCTCCTTCCACTCCTTTTGAAGCCAGGAAACCCATCATCCTCGCCCTCCACCCTGTTCCCTCGGCGCACGCCTGGGAGGCAGTGAAAAAGGCGCGGAGGTCGGACTAGAGGATCTCGAAAGGCCCCCTTCCAGCGCTCCATCCCCTTTTAACGATCCGAAACGGGAACCGTTCAGTGCAGCATATCCTAAAGATGCTAAAATTACAGCATCTTCTAGGTCATATTGTTTAGATAACGCCTGTTTCATAATATGGCCTGTTTCATAAGACAAGAGTCTCTCTCTCTCTCTCTATTTATTTACTTGTTTATAAAATATATAAAATTTTAATATATATTTATTTATGAACAAATCATATATATATAACATTGTATACTACATCTGTTTTATTATTTTAATTTTAAACGATGTATGTCATGTTTCTAAATTTTAAATTATTTTGGATTTTAAAATACACACAACACACACACACACACACACATAAATTTACGATGTGCTGATCCCAAGAAAACATGCTCATTTCCCCCCCCCCTTCCTTTCAAGGCCTTGAACCCTGAGGATGCTGCAAAGGTTGTTAAGTCTGAGGACCAGTTATAAGTCATTTTTTTCAGCCTTGTTGTAAGTCGAGGAGGATCTGTAGGTGAATTTTTGCAGGAGCTTCTTTGGGTCTCCAGCCCAAAGTAGAAATTCAGTTTTTTTTTCTTTACCTTTCTTGAATAATTCAGGAAACTTTAGTTGATTTAATTCCATTAAAAGACACTCAACTTGTGCCTATAAATATGGGAGAATAAGAGTGTTCCTCGCTGGATTTGAAAACTATACTACAGGTCAAATCCTCAGTTTACAACAGTTCATTTAGTGACTGTTCAAAGTTACGACGGCACTGAAAAAAAGGGACTTAGGACCGTTTTTCATACTTACGGCCATTTTTCACACTTACGACCATCGCAGCATCCCCGTCAGGTGATCAAAATTCAAACGCTCGGCAGCTGACTCACATTTACGACGGTCGCAGCGTCTCATGCATAGCAATGTAAATTTTGGGGTTGACTATGGTCGTAACTTGAGGGGAGGGGCTGTCCCGATTGCGAGTAGCTGTAATTGTGATTTTTTTTTCTTGACATCCTGGAAGAATGCAGTGAAAGGGGACAGAGACCCCCCCCCCAATATGGACAGTCCTCTGCTTACAATCACAATTGGGCCCCAAATTGGTCCCGTTTCCCCCCCCCCCATGAGAACCCATTCTCATTGGATCTGAGAATAAGCTCCTCCTCCTTGGAGCTGGCTTGAAGACAATTCTGCATTTTGGGAAACTTTTCTCGCAGGGGGCCGTTGACTTTTGACGTCTCATTGCCCCCTCCCCAAGAAGGGAATTGGCAGAAACTGCCCCCCCCTTAAGTAAACCCCTTTCCAGTCTCGGTTCCACGGAAATTTATGGACTGTGGTAAAAAGTCTCCATAAAGTTTATGGTGGAAGGATTTTAAACCTAAACCCCCTGGCTCAACATGAAATGGGGGGAGAGAAGGTGGGCTGATAACCGATAACTGAAGTTTTAGTCAAGATTTCTTATCTCTCAGGGTGTGTGTGTGTGTGTGTGTGTTTCCAGCACATCTGGTCTCTTTGCTTATGGGGTGGGGTGGGGTGGTGTTTGTTTTTGAGGAGGAATTTGGTAAATCAGAAGCTTCCCTTGAGAGGGGCTCATTCAGGGCTGTGTCATGCAGTGGGTGGATCCTTTCAATATGTATATATTCAATATATATATATATGTATGTCATTGAATCAGTGGTCCGTCATTTGATATTTGATGATTTTTAATGTTTCTAATTTTACTGTGCTGTCAGCCACCCAGTCATTTGAAATAAATTCAATAAATAAATGATGGTAGATAGATAGATGAGAGAGAGATGATAGATAGATAGATAGATAGATAGATAGATAGATAGATAGATAGATAGATAGATAGATAGATAGATAGATGAGAGAGAGATGATAGATAGATAGACAGACAGACAGATAGATATAGATATAGATATAGATAGAAGGTAGGTAGATAGATAGATAGATAGATAGATAGATAGATAGATAGATAGATAGATAGATAGATAGATAGATAGATAGATAGATGAGAGAGCTGACTTGAGGATGGCACCCTGGGAGAATCCACCCCCTCCATTCAGAGCACGCCAGCTTAATCCAGGCTCTGGAGGAGCCCCATGCTTCAGGCGGAGAGCTGCTAGTCCCTAAGAAGGAGCAGGCAGAGTGCTCCCTTTGCCCCCCCCCAGCCCATTTCAGGACCCTCGAGAGCGCCTCTTCCCCAGGGGGAACCCCAGGCAGCCCCTCCCGCTCCTCTCCTCCTCCCCTCGGGTAGACTGCGCCCGCCCGCGGAGGCTCCACCGCGCGCCCCCCACTCCGGCCGGGCGAGGGGAGGGGAGGGGGCGGGCGGAGAGGCTCCCCCGCGCTCGCCGCCCCCTCCCCGCCTCTCGCGCCAGTCTCCTCCCCGCGCTGGGCGGCGGAGGCAGCATCAGCAGCGCCCGGCCGAGCTCGGCGGAGACCCCCGCCTCGCCCTCCGCCGCCCCCGCCCCCGCCGCATCTCCGGAGCCCGCGCGGGCAGAGCCCCCTTCCCCCCCGCCCCTCCCTCCCCCTCCCACCCAGCCAGCCAGCCCAGCTCCATGGCCGCTTAGAGCCGCCGAGAGCGCCTCGCCATGGGACCCCCGCCGCCCCCGACGACCCCCCCGCCGCCCCCGACGACCCCCCCGCCCGGCCCGGGCGCGCTCCGGCTCCTCCTGCTGCTGCTGCTCCCGCGGCCGGCCGCCGCCGTGGAAGGTGAGCCGGGGGGGGGGGGGAAGGATGCTCTCGCCTCGTCCGGAGACCCCCGGCGCTGGGTGGGGAAGGGCCGCGGTGGGCAGCCCAAGCCGGGACCAGCCACCCTCCCTCCCGGTGTCGGGGGGAGCCCTAGGCCAGGGGGTGGGGTGGGGCAGGGAGGGGTGGTCTGGGCTGCGCCCGCGGGCGCCCGGGGCGTCCCCCCGCGCGTGGGGAGCCTGGTGGCAGGGGAGGGGGCTTCCCAGCGAGCCCAGGAGGCGGCTGCTCCGGCGGAGGAGACCCTCCCCTCTCCCACCAGGCTGAGCCCCACCGAGAAGTGGGGGTCTCTCCTATCTCGCGTTGGGCGGGAGGAAAGATGCTCCGGCTGGCCGGTGGAGGTTGCAAATGGCTGGGAAGCTGGCTGCGAACGCTCGGCTTCGGCGCCTCCCCCTCCCCAGAGCCCTGGCCTTTGGGGGTGCCCCCACCCCCCCTTTTCTTCCCTGGCTGCTGCACCCCGGCCCTTGCCGGGGGAACACCCTCTTGTGTCCTCTGCTCTGCTCTCTGTGTGTGTGTGTAGAAAAAGCCGGGTTTCATTGCAAGGTTTGGGGTTCTGCAGCGTTTTACATATGGACGGTGTGCTGAAGGCCCCCCACGCCCCCCCCCGGCTTTGGAGGCAAAGGAGAAGAAAGAAGGAAGAAGAAGGGGGAGAGGGAAAAAAACCGGAGTGATGCCATGTAGGGAGGGGGGAGGTTAGATTTTTTTTTTCAGGGTGCCTTTAATCCCCCCCCTCCCTCGAGCCCCCAAATTCTAGCCAGCCTCCTTTGGCGCAAGATGGGGTTCTCCTAGGAAGGAAAACGTGGCCTGTCTTGAAGAGGGATGTGAAAAGCGAGGTGGTTATGGCGGCCCTTGAAGGATGTCATCACAGGGACCCACACGGGCATCACAATGTGTCGTCATTGTGGCTTGCACAGGTGCTGGACTTGAAGCTGCACCGTCGGGACGACGACGCAGGCCACAAAACTGACCCGCCAAGGCCTCTCATGGTGGAGGCCTGGCGTTTATTTAATTTATTTTATTATTTATTTTATTTAATTTATTTTATTATTTATTTTATTTTATTATTTATTTTATTATTTTATTTTATTATTTTAATAATCGTGGTGGAGAAAGTGGGTGGGAATTCCTTTCTGGCTATAATCCAGGTGGGATAAGAAAAGGCCTTTTTCCGCCTTTTTGTACACCTTTAGGGAACCTTGTCCCTTGTAAAAAGCAGGGAAATGGGCCAAATTTGCAAAAAAGTGGCATTGTTTTGATACCGCTCGGCAGGCGGATTCCGAGTCCCATTAAGCTGAAATGGGGTTTTGGTGGTTCTCGGACTGTCGCTGTTGTTGGGATTGTGGGAATCCCTGAAAATGGTTTGTGGAATTGGACATTTTTAATGCGCTGCTGAATTCGGAATTAAATTTGATTCAGCCTGAGGTTCAAAAACGCCAGCGTGCCTGTTTTGAATCACCTCCCGCCTACCTGGGTTTTTTTTCCTCAAGGTACTTCCTTACATCTGGGCAGAACCCACATTGGGGGAGTCGCTTCTGGAACGTTCTAAGCGCCTCGAGTGGGGCGTGAGGGGGAAAAAATGTGCTTGAGCGGGTGGACGGGTTTGAGGGATACAAAAATCAATTCCGTCCCCAAATTGTTTCCCACTTTGGGGCAGTTGGCCGGGCGAGGGGGCTACCCCACCCATTTGAAGTGAATGTGGGGCACACGGGAGCAAAGGGGGCATCATCTGCCTGGCAGAGGGGCACCAAGTCAGGCAGGCCCAGCGGGGACTTTTCAAAATGGTGGAAGACAAGGATGTTGGTTCGCAAGTGTAAGAGTGTGTGTGTGATTGTGCAGGCCCTATTTATTTATTTATTCATCCATCTATCTATCTCCATTTGCATCTATCTCTATCTTTATTGTCTGTCTGTCTGTCTGTCTATCTATCTAATGACCAATTAATTACACAAACCAAAGTCAATTTTCCTAGAAAATATTCTACCCAAAATATTCATTTCAGGTATTTCACCGTCCAGATTTTTCTTTGTTTGTTTGTTTCATTTCGTTTTGTTTTATTTTGGCTGAAAATCTCTGGGTTTGCCTCTGAATGCCACAAGGCTGAGCGGGGCGTTAATTTTAACTAAAATTACATTTATTTTCCCGCCTCACCACTGGATAATGGCAGTTTTTAGCAAAATGGAAATAATTGGCGGTATTCAAATTTTTGGCACCTCCAAATTGTGTCTTCTGGGGAAAGTTGACGCTGTCTATGAACCTTTTAAATTATATTTACATATTTTATGTTGGCATTTGCTCCGCAATGTTGTTTTGTTTGACGCTGGTCGCCGTCTTGCAGGTTCATTTTTCCCCCACCCCACAAAAAGTCCCTAAGTCCAGTTACCAAGACACGTAATCAAAGAAGTTAGTTTATTCATCTCCAAAAGCTGCCATTTTTTCACCCACCATTCCTCCATAGGATAAGCAAAGCATCAAGTCCGTCCGTCTCGGTTTGTATAATAATCTGGCCGTAATAATCATATATTGAAATAATCTGGGATATCTTTGTTTCATTAGTCCAGAAAATAAAAGTTCTAGCTCCTATTGAATCTTGATCTTTAAATTCTTCTATATCCAAGTAGGAAAACTTGGACTGTCCAATCCTGTAGAAGTCCACTATAAAGGAAGCCCTGTGGGAAAAGTAACCTTGGAGAAATATATTTGGGGTGGTTGATTGATCAAATGCCATCCAATTATTTTTGACTCCAAGTGACCACATAAGATGGACCTTCTCCGAATGATCTGTTCTTAACTTGGTCCTTCAGGTCTTCCAATGGTGCCTCTATCACCACTTAGAGTTGCTTCAAGCTTCTGGCTATTGTCTTCTTCTCCACCATCACCATCATCAAGAGCCTTCTCCAGGGAGATAGGTCTTCAAGTCATGGGTCTAAAATATTTTGAACCTGGTTATTTGTGCCTCAAGAGAGAACCCTTTGCTGGTTTATTCAATGATCCATTGTTCTTATGGCTGTCTAAGGTCTTCTGAGCGGTCTTCTCCAAGAGACGACTTCAACAAACAAATGCTTGTCCATGGAGAACTTTGTTTATTCAATGATCCATTGTTTTCTTGGCTGTCTCTTAGAGTCTTCCAAGGGGGTCTTCTTACGACTTCAAAAAACAAATGCTTTTTGGATCCCGTGATCAGATAAACTGTAGGAAATTCCATCAAGTCACAACGCTTTTCTTGGAACAAATCTTCCTCGGAACCTTTTGTTTTCCATGCTGCCAAGTTTTCCGTTCCATTGAGTAAAGCTCTCCTGGCCGCAATTTGCACAGCACATTAAACCTGGTTAGATTCTGGTGGCTTAGCAGAACCCACTCATTGGATGCCAGGGGACAATTCGGAAAAGCAATAATTAAATACGCCAGTCAGAATTTGCCTCAAAGAAGCAGCAAATGGAACAATGGCCACCGTTTTGTCCTGGGCGACATCCGGTAGCTCCGATTTCTGACCCAGTTGATGTTCATCAAGAAGATCTTTCTGGGATCTATCTATCTATCTATCTATCTATCTATCTATCTATCTATCTATCTATCTATCTATCTATCTATCTATCTATCTATATTATTTATCTAATTTATCATTTATCTATATCATTTATCTATATCATATCTATTATATCTCTTATATCTCTCTATTATCTATTATCTGTCTGTCTGTCTATCTATCTATCTATATTATTTATCTAATTTATCATTTATCTATATCATTTATATTTATCATATCTATTATATCTCTTATATCTCTCTATTATCTATTATCTATCTATCTATCTATCTATCTATTGATCTATCTATCTATCTATCTATCTATCTATCTATCTATCATCATCTTATATTGAAAAATAATTTTAGTGGCAAATGAGCTTCAACAATAACTCAATATTTAGTCACCCAAACAGATAAACAGAATTGCCATTGGCGGGCAACACAGCCTGCCTCCTGCTGGCTTCTCCATTGACGTTCCTTGTGGGGAACCAGCAGGGAGCATCGGAAACCAGGATCCGTGGGGACACTGCGACAACCACAACTTTGCAGATAATTTATGAACAATGCAGGAACTTCAATTCTACAGGAGTCGTGGGCCCCGGATTTTTTTTTTTTTAATGTATTCTCTTGTGGAACGACTTTAGGTAACCTCAATCCAAACCTTGTTGTGGCATCATCACACCCCATCTGCACTAACGTGAGGTTATAAACAGACAAACAGTAGAGCGTTGTGGATAGCGTGCAGATGACCACTTGATAACTCATTTGGTTTTCCGTTTTTGCTACCCTTTTCCAGATTACCGAGTGTGGGGTGGGGGAAATATTGAATTTGCAGACCCTGCTGTGGTCACCACTCAGCTGGGCTACTGCAATAGCTCTACATGGGGTTAACCTTGAAGATTTCCTGAAAGCTACAGCAACCGGGAGTTACGACTGCTTCTCCTTAGCACCGGTGGAATGAATTACGATTAAGTAGTCGTTGTTATGATGGTTTGTTTTTGCTCTGGTTACAGCTTGAGCTTAGAGGAAACCCCAGATGGGAGCCGCCATAACAAATAGCTCAATTAATAAATCAAGGTTTTTCCCGTTCAAGTTTTCACAGCCCTGCTTGCAGATGGTGAGGATTGAATGTGGACCACCTGCAATCTTAAAAAGAGGGAGGGGGGGGAAACAACCCTGTTAGAGTCTAAAAATAAAATAAGCAGCCAGCAACTTTTGTTTGCAAACAAACGGAAATATCTCCAGCAGCTTCTCCTAAACAGAAGTTTGTTTATTTCTTTCTGAAGAATCTCAAAGATGTTTTGCCACAGATATATTTTCGTGGGCTACCAGACTTGGACGCTGAGATTAACTGAGATTTCTAGTTATCCAAAACTTTCCCAGGGACGAAAACGTGTGGACGAAAACAGAGGTGTGTGTGGTGTGTGTGTGTGTGTGTGTGTGTGTGTAAATCGCCGCATGATAATATTAACAGTAATTAAAAATCTGGCTACAGGGCATAGGAAAAATTTATAAGAAGGCCAAATTTGGCAATAGTGAGGTATTATGGGTTGTAGAAGGCCATCTTCAGCAAATGACTTAGTTGTCCACACCGGTGAAAGAAAAATCAAGGATCTGTGAGAACTTGTATTTTAGGGCTGGTGGAAAATCTGTCTGGCAGCCAAATATCTTTTTATCAGCTCCAGGAAATATTCTTTTTTTTTGGGGGGGGAAGCAGACAGATCTGGAGCTACAGAGAATCGAAGAAAACGAGGCGCCCTGAGGCAGGTCTGCCTCCCCCCCCCCAGGAAATGTATTTAAAAACACATCAGCAGGGAAGAGCATTTATCTGCCAAAACTTGGGAAAAAAGGAAAGTCATCCAAGCCACGGGAGACACTGGAGATTTTATTCCCTCAATGTTTGCCAGCTCTTCCATTTGCTGGAGACCCCATTAGTTATTTTATTTTTTAAAAAGAGAAATAACTAAATTCATCTTCAGAGACATCCAATCAGATACGAAGCGCCTGATCAATGGAGGATGCTTCTATGTGCCATAATGCAGAACATTCTTCCCACCCCCCCACCCTAAAAAAAAAAAATCCAGCCTCCCAGGAATATGATCCAGTTGCCAAAGCAAGTGTCAGATTGGGACAGACCCCCACGGTCCCCCCACCCACCCTGGAGCCGAGAACCTGATTGTTGATAAAGTCTGTTTGATAAAGTCAGAAGGACAGACACTTGTCTGAAATGGTCTAGTTCTCCCGCTGGAGCAGGGGGGTTGGACTAGAAGACCTCCAAGGTCCCTTCCAACTGTTCTGATTGATTGATTGACTGATTGATTGAAATGGTCTTGCACCTTGGAAACCCACATTGCTCCTGGCAATGGGGGGGTGGAATTTGCAAGCAGAGATGGCAGAAAATAGCATTTTGGCCTGCTCAGAATTATATTTAGGGTTGTTTTTTTTTTAATTTAAAAGAAGAAGAAGAAAGAGACCGAAAGAAAACGTAGGTCAAATGTGGATTTGAAAGGCGTCTCCTTAACCTGACGCTTGGAAAGTGTGTGTGTGTGAGCTGTTTCGGGGCTGGCACAAGTGTTCGTTTAGTGACGGTTCGAAATGACAAGGGCACTGAAGATTGTTGTTCCACACTTGCGACCATTGCGGCATTCCCCCACCCGTGGTCACGTGATCAAAATTCAGACAGTGGGCCACTGACTCGTCTTTATGACGGCCACAGTGTCTCCTTTTGCGATCTGCTGGCAAGCACATTCACTTAACGTCCATGTTAGGAACTGCAGTGGTGGGGCGAGAAAAGTCGTAAAAAACGGGGCAAAGCTGATTTAGCAAATTTCCTCACATAGCAGCACAGATTTGGGGGCTCAGTTGCGGCCGTACCCCGAGGACCACCTGTACACTAACTCTGAGACCTTGAAATATTTTTGTCCCTGTTTCAGACATTTGCAAAGCCGGGAACGTTTTAGCTAAAGAGCGAAGGGTGTGGAGGGGGGAAACGATGGGATTAACCAGGTTTGTTTGTTTTCTCTTTGCCTGCAGAAACCTTGATGGACTCCACCACAGCGACGGCCGAGCTCGGCTGGACGGTGCACCCAGTGTCAGGGGTGAGTTTGGGTTGGGGTGAGGTGGGGGCTCAAAAGCCAGCAGCACCTAAGGAAGGGGCCTTGGGGATTGGCTTGGGGGGTCTCTTTTGGGACAGGCTTCTGAAAACAAAGGCTGTTGGGAAGGAAAACATTTGGGGATCCATCCGTTTGGGGATGAGCTTTCCAAATATGCAGTTTTGGGAGACAGCCAAGCAAAATGGCAAAGATGTTCCACAATCGATTTGAGTGGTAAATTCTTTTCTCCTTCCTTCCTTCCTTCCTTCCTTCCTTCCTTCCTTCCTTCCTTCCTTCCTTCCTTCCTTCCTTCCTCCCTCCCTCCCTCCCTCCCTCCCTCCCTCCCTCCTCTTTCTTTCTTTCTTTCTTTCTTTCTTTCTTTCTTTCTTTCTTCCTAACTCCCTCTCTCCCTCCTCTTTCTTTTTCTCTCTTTCTTTCTTTCTTCCTCCCTCCTACCATTCCTCTCTTCCCTCCCTCCTTCTTCCCTCCTTCCTTCCTCCCTCCCTCCCTTCTTTCTTTCCTTTTTTCTTTCCCTTCCTCTTTCCCTCCTACCATTCCTCTCTTTCCTCCCTCCTTCTTCCTTCCTTCCTCCCTCCCTCCCTCTTGTCTAATCCTTTCCTTCCTCTTTCCCCCCTCTGTTTTCCTCTATTCCTTCCTTCCTTCCTTCCTTCCTTCCTTCCTTCCTTCCTTCCTCTTCCTTCCTCCCTCCCTCCTTCTTTTTCTCCCTCTCTCCTTCCCTCCTCACTCAACCTGGGATCTCGGCACACCTGGGCTGTGCCACCAAGCAGCAGGCAACCGACAGGCAGAGGAGAAACACACCGCATACAAATCCATGTAATTTTGTGTGCCTTAAACAACCTTCTCCCCAAACCAATTTCAGAGCCCTCCCTGAAAATATACAAGGGGGGGGGGAAGAGAGAAAAAGACAGCAATCACCGTTCCCTGCTCGTTTTTTAAATTGCATCATGGAAAAAAAAAACCCAACCTCTTGGCAATTTTCTCTTGGAACGCCATAAACTGCTGGAATAATTCCGATAAGGCTGACAGCACTAATGAATGCAATTAGTTGATTAATTAACTTCGCAGCAGATTTTTAAAAAATACGGAGCTTAACGGAGGCGGGGGTCTCTGTGAGAGAAGGGTGCAAGGGAAATCAGGGTGAGGGGGAAAAAATCACTTTTTATTCCCAACGGTTTGGGATATTAACACAGAAAAATAGAGCAGTGTGTATTTAGGACAAGGTTTGCTCTCTCCAGAAAGCTGCTGGCTTCCTTGAAGCTGAGTGATCATTAATCCCTGTTTATGATTCCAGGGTGATTTTCTACCAATTTCTTTGTCCCCAAGATGACCCATTGGGTCAGGGAGAATCCCTTCCCAGCAGTTTAATTCCTGCGAATAAAATACTCTGGAGTCCACCATTTTGAACACAAGGCCAGGCGTAGTGCAAGCGGCAGGATCAAAATTACCCCCCAATGGTTTTAAAATGCTGGCAATATCAAATGCAGATTGAATAAGAGAATAGTAGAGTTGGAAGGGACCTTGGAGGTCTTCTAGTCCAACCCCCTGCTCAGTCAGGAAACCCTATACCATTCCAGGCAGATAGATAGATAGATAGATAGATAGATAGATAGATAGATAGATAGATAGATAGATAGATAGATAGATAGATAGATAGGTGATGGATGAATGATTGATAGATGAAATAAAAAGATAGGTAGATGAGAGAGAGATGATAGATAGATAGATAGATAGGTAGGTAGGTAGATAGATAGATGATAGGTAGGTAGGTAGATAGATAGATAGATAGATAGATAGATAGATAGATAGATAGAAAGATAGATGGATAGATGATGGATGAATGATTGATAGATGAAATAAAAAGATAGGTAGATAGATAGATAGACAAGACAGACAGACAGACAGATAGAAATAGAGAGATAGATTTGGGCTTTTCCCAGGGAGGGGCTCATGTGCTTTGTAGTCTTTCCGGAGATCCCCCAGGGGTGTGTTCTCCTCTCTCTCCTCTGCAGTGGGAAGAGGTGAGTGGCTACGACGAGAACATGAACACCATCCGGACGTACCAAGTGTGCAACGTCTTCGAATCCAGCCAGAATAACTGGCTACGGACCAAATACATCCGAAGGCGGGGCGCCCACCGGATCCACGTGGAGATGAAGTTCTCCGTCCGAGACTGCAGCAGCATCCCCAACGTGCCGGGATCTTGCAAGGAGACCTTCAACCTGTATTATTACGAGTCGGAATTCGACGGCGCCACCAAGAGCTTCCCCAGCTGGATGGAAAACCCCTGGGCCAAGGTGGACACCATCGCGGCCGACGAGAGCTTCTCGCAGGTGGACCTGGGCGGGCGGGTGATGAAGATCAACACCGAGGTCCGCAGCTTCGGGCCCGTCTCCAAAAACGGATTTTATTTGGCCTTCCAAGATTACGGGGGTTGCATGTCTCTCATCGCCGTGCGCGTCTTTTACCGCAAGTGCCTGCGCATTATCCAGAACGGCGCCATCTTCCAGGAGACGCTGTCCGGAGCGGAGAGTACGTCTCTGGTTGCGGCCAGGGGGACCTGCATCCCCAACGCCGAAGAGGTGGACGTGCCGATCAAACTGTACTGCAACGGGGACGGCGAGTGGCTGGTGCCCATCGGGCGCTGCATGTGCAAATCCGGCTACGAGTCGGTGGAGAACGGCACCGTCTGCAGGGGTACGTGAGGCTCCCGGTGGTTTGGTTTCAATTTGAGGAGGGTCGGGAAGAGGGGTTGTAAATGGAGGACTTACCTCTACTGTATATACGTGTGGATACGCACGTCTGCAGATCAGGCGAACCTGTTTTTAAGGGATGCTTTAGGGCAGGGGTAGGCAACCGTGGCTGTTTTATGACTGGTGGACTTCAACTCCCAGAATTCCTGAGCCAGCCATGCTGAGGGGAAAGGGAGAGGTTTCCAAGCTGAGCCAGGCTGGCTCAGGAATTCTGGGAGTTGAAGTCCACCAGTCATAAAAGAGCCAAGGTTGCCTACGCCTGCTTTAGGGCGTCTCCTGCTTGAGCAGGGGGTTGGACTAGAAGACCTCCAAAGTCCCTTCCAGTTCTTATTCTGAAATGGTCTAGGGTCTCCTGCCTGAGCAGGGGGTTGGACTAGAAGACCTCCAAGGTCCCTTCCAGCTCTATTTTGATTGGTTGGTTGGTTGATTGATTGATTGATTGATTATCTGTACCTGGTTCTCTCAATTTAAGCTGAAATGGGTTGTGTGAATAACCCCAGTTTGGCTCCTGTGTTTTTCTCAAATCAGCTCAGAGATTGTACATCTCTCTGATGTATTTTGGAGGATTTTTTTTTTTTAAAAAATCATTTTTGGCAGGCTTTTTAAGTGTTGCTCACTCGTTAATTTTAGCACTGGGTTTAATTGATTTTTTTTAAAAAAAAATATGTGCAGGCTGGAAACTTTGCGTTTTTCTCCTCGTCGACTGTGGAAAACCGAGTTTCAGTCTCAATTGTCCAACTTGGGCTCTGCTTTTATAGCACCTAGAAAATTACCTCCGTTTTGCTAAGCCTTTTCCCAGCCACCCCCACCCCCAAAAAACCCAGGCTTGTGGGGGGGGGTGCAGGATGGGGAAAAAGGAGGAAAAAAGCTAATTAAAAACAGATTCCGTAAATCCGCAGAGCTTCATTGTACATTTCGAGCGGTGGAAGAAGAATTTTCCAAGGAAAGGATCTTGTAAAATTCGAACCTGTTCCAGTTCTGGAAGATTTATATTCCAAAAATTGTGGGTTCCCCGTCTCTGTGTGTGTGTGTGTGCATACGCGTGGTGTGCAGGGTGCCACCCTCCCTCCCTCTGCCAACCCCCCCCAGGCGGCTGAATGGGATGCTGGCGCAGGCGCATTGTGGTCCCTGCCGGGCGAGATCCAGCTCCTTTAATTAAAGACAATTATTGCTTTCAGACGCCTCTCTTTGGCTGAGCAGCCTTGTTTGCAAACAGACAGCTGTGGGGGCTTTTGTGTCCTTGGCACAACGGGCCCCTCCCTCGCCCTCCCTGCCAAGCGGCATAGATTGGCTTCTGTTACCGGCACCCTCCTGGAAGCAGCCGGCCAGGGTGCCAATCCGCAAGAAGGAAGAGGTGGGTTGGGCAGCGGTCTGCCAGGTCTGTTTTGCAAAAGACCGTTCCGCCCTTTCCCCACCCACCCCCTTTGTTGGCACAAAGTGCGGGAGGGGTGATGCTGCACCCCCTTCCGAAGGAACCCCGAGGGAACCAGGTTGCCAGCTCCAAGAGAGAGGGGGGGAGAGAGAGGGAGGGAGAAAGAGAGGAGAGAGAGGGAGGAAGAAAGAGAGAAAAATAAAAGGTGAGAGAAGGAGGGAGAGAAAGGGAGAGAGGGAGAAAGAGAGAAAGAGAAGGGGAGAGAGAGAGGGAGGGAGAAAGAGAGAAAAAGAAAAGGTGAGAGAGAAGGAGAGGGAGAGAAAGGGAGAGAGAGAGGGAGGAAAAGAAAGAAAGGGAGAGGGGGGAGGGAGAAAGAGAAAAAAAGGTGAGAGAGAGAATGAGAGGGAGAGAAAGGGGGAGAGAGAGAGAGAAAGAGGAAGACCAAGATTGAAATGCAAAGCACAGAAAAAGATATATATTACTATTTTTCGCTATTTTCAGTGATGATGTAACTTCGAACATTCACGAAACGAACTGTCGTAAGTTGAGGGACTCTCCCTGCATTTGGGTTAGTTCTGAGTTCAGGATATTCCGCAGAGCCGAAAAAGGGGTTAATGGCTTGTCTCCTCCCAGCTTTAATCTCCAAAGCCAGTGAAAAAAATGACAAGGAGGTGAGGCATCAGCCAGGCAGTTGTTGGAAGGCAGTTACGGCAACCACAAAAATCCACAAAATAAATCCAAGGAATGACTCACAACTGATAAATAAATGTTCCGAGAACTGGAGTTAGAGGGGGGCGGGGGGGGACAGAGAGGGGGGGGGAAGAAGAAGAAGAAGAAGAAAAGAAGAAGAAGAAGAAGAAGAAGAAGAAGGAGAGAGAGAGAGAGAGAGAAGAAGAAGAAGAAGAGGAAGAAGAAGAAGAGGAAGAAGAAGAAGAAGAAGAAGAAGAAGAAGAAGAAGAAGAAGAAGAAGAAGAAGAAGAAGAAGAAGAATGGAAAGAAGGAAGGAAGGGAGTCTTCAAGAGTTTTCTCCAACAACCCAAAGTTGGAGAAGTTCAAAGGCATCAATATTCTTCCTCTTGTGCTCCTTCGAAGCCCAACTTTTGAGGGTCTCAGGGGAGACCGTGACTTGTCCAATTGTGAACTTTGGAGATGTGGACACCTCCCAACATCTGGGTATCTTCTCCAAGGACTTCATACCGGCTTTTCCACTGCTTGAGCCTCGACTGTCGATGCTCCGATGCTCCATCCCAAAAGGCACGTTTCTCTTTCAGAGGGCGTCCAATTACTTTTTTCTTTGAGAGGATCAAACTACGTTTCTCCTTCAGAGGGTGTCAAGCTATGCTTCTCATTCAGGAGGGGGTCAAGCTATGTTTCTCCTTGCAAGGGGCTCAAGTTACTTTCCTCTTTTCCCCACCGTTTTGGGGATGAAGTTGCCCCAGAATCCTGCGCCCCGGTGCACACAAAGCAATCGGAGTTTACGGGCCTCCAAAGCCAGACCCTTAACCCTGATTGGCTAGGCCAGGGATGAGCAGGTTGCTCCCATGGTCCCAGAGAGGACCCCCCCTCCCCTGTCTGGGGGAGGGGAGATGAAAAGCTTTGCAAAGCTCCTGGCTGAGGACGAGATTGGGGCTTTTGTCTGTTTTTTTTTTTCTTTTGCAACCGTGCAGCGCCCAGTGGCTTTACTTGCAAAGCCCCAGTTGGGCTCCGAGCCCGTTGCCATGGAAACCGCTTTCGGCAGCTGGAAGCCGTGCCCAGCTGGCCGTGGCTGGCGGGCTGCAGTTCCCGTGGCCAAGGATCAATCAATCGATCCATCAGAATAAGAGCTGGAAGAGACCTCGGAGGTTTCATGCAGGAGACCCCCCTACTAGACCATTTCAGTCAATCAATCAATCAGTGGAAGGGACCTCGGAGGTCTTCTAGTCCAACCCCCTGCTCGAGCAGGAGACCCTAGACCATTTCAATCAATCAATCAGTGGAAGGGACCTTGGAGGTCTTCTAGTCCAACCCCCTGCTCAAGCAGGAAGCCCTAGACCATTCCAGACAAATGGCTGTCCAATCTCTTCTTAAAAGCCTCCAATGATGGAGCACCCACAACTTCTGGTGGCCAGCTGTTCCACTGGTTAATTGTCCTCACAGTCAGGAAGTTTCTCCTTCATTCCAGGTTGCTTCTCTCCTTGATGAGTTTCCATCCGTTGCTTCTTGTCTTTTGCCTTCCGGTGCTTTGGAGAATAGGTGGACCCCCTCCTCTTCTTTGGGGCAGCCCCTCAAATGCTGGAAGACTGCTATCCTGTCCCCCATCATCCCTCTTTCCCCTAGACTGGCTGATGGCCAGCCCCATCCCAACCCTGGCTGAAGCCTGCCCTCTCCAGCTGAGCAGCTGGGCTGGAGAAGGCGAGGGATTTCTGGAGCCATCCAAATCCCCCTCCCAGTGTCCAATTTCAGTGGGGGTCCTCAGCCCACTCCCCTTGCAAGGATTAAGACAGATCCAAAAGGAAATAAAACAAAATAAAATTTAAATTGGCAAGCTCAGCTGGATTAAGCAAGACAGGGGGGATTTCTCCCCCAAATCTAATTTTGCTTTTTTCATTACATGTCGAAAGCGCCAGGCGACGGGAATTCTAGCAAGCACCGGGGGGGGGGGGGAGAGAGGCGTCTTCTCCCTGCTGGTAGAAAGCTAGCCGAGAAGAGATTGGCCTTTTTCTTCCCCAAAAACTTGCCAAGTTGATGGTATGGGTAATCCTCGACATGCGAGACCAATGGAGCCCAACATTCCAGTCGCTAAGTGAGACGGTCGTTTAAGCGAGTTTTGATCCATTGGACGACCGACCTTCCTTCCTTAAGTGAATCTCTGTGTTGGTAATTTAGTCACATGGTTGTAATAATAATAATAATAATAATGATGATGATGATGATGTTGGAAGGGACCTTGGAGGTCATCTAGTCCAACCCCCTGCTCAGGCAGGAAACCCTAGACCATTTCAGACAAATGGCTGTCCAGCTTCTGTCCAGTCAGTCTTGCCTCCTCAAAAGTCTTCTTGAGGAAATCAGGAAAGGCTCCCTTAACCGTCTCGCGTAGTGACCGAAATTCTTGTTTCGATGACGGTCGTAAGTGGAGGACCACCTATAAAACTTGCTTCAAAGAGGGGGCGGGTCAGGGGGCTTGCACCCCTACGGGAACTCAAAGCCTCTTTTCCGAGCCACACACCCCCCGCCGCTACCCTTCTCCCCCCCTCCCCCCGCCCCTCCCGGGTTAATTTCCCCAACAAAAAGTGGCTCCTATTCCCACAAAGTGCCGGGAAGTGACATTAACAAGCAGCTAATTAGCACGGCCGATTTTTGACAAGCCCGGTGGCAGAGCCTCTAATTAGTCTCGCGTTCTGTTTTAATCAACGGCCTCCGTCACGGTTTTAATTTAATTTCTGGATCAAAATGCCAAGCGCAGTTCGGGCAGGCCGGGAAGAGAGGTCAGGGGGGTCTCTCAGCAAACTCCGTTCTCTCCCGGATCTTTTCGGATGTTCCCGTCCCTTTTAGCGACGTGCCACGGTCTCAATTGTTTTTTTTGGGGGGGGAAATCCAGGCTGCCTTGACTCAGGCTTCCTCGCCAGCACACAACTCAACAGCCACAGCGGAATCGGAACACGAATCTAATTTAGGGAGGATGGAGCAGGTCCTCCACTTACGACGGTTCATTTAGTGACCTTCCGAAGTTACAACGGCACTGAAAAAAGAGACACCAGACCAGTTTTCACACTTGCAACCATGGTCACGTGATTTACATTCAGATGCTTGACCGCTGATTTACATTTATGTCGGTCACAGCGTCCCGGGGATTGTGCGATTCCCCTTTTGTGAGCTTCCGACATGCAGAGTCATGTGTTCCTGGCTTAATAACTGCAGTGATTCATTTAACAACGGTGGTGAGAAAGGTTGTAATCTGGGGCAAAAGGAATCCCTGGTGCTCTCTGATCCTGATTGTTTCTGTGCAGACGTCTCATGACCCAACTAGGGAACATCATCAGGGCTAGGAAGGGAGGAGGAGGAGGAGGAGGAGGAGGAAAAGACTATGAGGTCCTTGGTGCTCTCTGATCCTGGTTGATTCCTTGCAGACGTCTCACGACCCAACTAGGGAACATCATCAGGGCTAGGAAGGGAGTGGGGTTTGCAGAGAGGAGGAGGAGGAGAACGAAGCCGAAGGAGAGCGAGAAAATTCTCTTTTAAGCTTCCCCCTTTCCGACTCTGGACTTTCTACCTTTTACAATGTGATGAAAGACCGGCTATCCGGTCAGCTGTCCCTCCTTTTGTCCTTTTGAAGGCCGCAGATAACATTATCTCGGTTTCAGCCACCAGACTTTCTCTGAGACTCAATTTTTCCACCGCCGGGCTTTGAGGCCTCCCTTTCGAGTTTTTGCAATGTCTCCCGATAGGAGTAACCAGGCTGGGGAGAGGTTTCTGGGGTGGGGGTGGGATGAGGAAGAGGAGGGGGGTTTTCAAGGAGTGGCTTGACTTCCTCCTGGTGAGTAGAGGGGGGTGGGGGGGTCTGCAACGCGGAGGGAGGGAAGAGAGGGGGGCCTTTTGCAGGACCCCAACAGCCAAACCTCCTGGAGTTGCTGAAGGAGGACCCCAGACCCTTTTGCAAAAGATCAGGCACCTGGCGAGGGGGTGAGCCTGGAAGGAACTAAACATCCAACTCAGGAGAGAATAAAGGGCCTGTTTCCCCTCTTTTTCTCTCTCCCCCCTTCCCCAAATTAGGAAGCCTGGATGTGGAAAGTCCTGCACAAATCTGATCATCAGAAGCAGGCTGGCCACCCTCCCACAAGGGCCTTACTCAGCCTTGGCAAGGTTCAGACGTGTGGACTTCAACTCCCAGAATTCCCCAGCCAGCACCCAGGGAGTTCAGCTCCCAGAATCCCCCAAGATGATGGCTACCTGCATTCCTTTACAGAAATGTTGAATTAATCCAGTGTTTCTCAACCTTTTAAGACACGTAGAGTTCAACTCCCAGAGTCCTCCAGGGGTGGGACGTCAACTCCCAGAATTCTCCAAGGGTGGGACGTCAACTCCCAGAATTCCCAGGATGACGGTTCCCTTCATCCCTTACAGAAAGGTTGAATTAATTCACTGTTTCTCCACCTTTAAGACAGGTAGAGTTCAACTACCCCAGAATTCTCCAGCCCGCTTGGCTGGCTGGAGAATTCTGGGAGTTGAAGTCCTCTTAAAGTCGCCAAGGTTGAGAAACGCAGTTAGGGGAATTGGGCAGAGGAGCTGGCACACTGGATCTTTCCCCCCCCTCCTCCCCTCCTCTTTTTACATGCACCCACCCACCCATTTTCTCTCTCTTTCCTGTCCAGGCTGCCCTTCCGGGACGTTCAAAGCCAACCAGGGGGACGAGAGCTGCATCCACTGTCCAATCAACAGCCGGACCACGTCCGAAGGAGCAACCAACTGCGTCTGCCGGAACAGCTACTACCGGGCCGATTCTGACCCGCTGGAGATGCCTTGCACCAGTACGTCCGCCCAACAAGGAGGCAGAGAGGAGGGGGTGAACGGAAAGTTCTTCTTCCTCCCTCTTTCCTTTTTATGACCTGGCAGCCATTCCTTCAAAGCCCCCCAGACAGTCATTTCCTCACTGAGTTGGACGGGAACTCAGAGGTCATCTAGTCCAACCCACACCCTCTCTATCTCCAGATTGCTGCCCTGAGGCCAGCAAGCCACAACCGTCACGTAATTTCACTTCTGCTTTCCTCTTTCCTTTTTATTTACCTGGCAGCCAGTCCTTCAGCCCCCCAGACCGTCATTTCCAGCGTGAACGAAACCTCCCTGATGCTGGAATGGACCCCTCCTCGGGATTCGGGAGGCCGCGAGGATGTGGTCTACAACATCATCTGCAAGAGCTGCGGCTCGGGGCGCAGAGCCTGCACCCGCTGCGGGGACAACGTCCAGTTCACGCCGCGCCAGCTGGGCCTGACGGAGCCACGGGTGTACATCAGCGATCTCTTGGCACACACGCAATACACCTTCGAGGTCCAGGCGGTCAACGGGGTGACGGATCAGAGCCCGTTCTCACCGCAGTTTGCCTCCGTCAACATCACCACCAACCAAGCGGGTAAGAATTTTAACGCTCTCTTCACTGCGGTTTCTAAAAGATTTTTTTCTTTCTGATGTTCCGTTTTTCTGCCTCGTTCTTAAAGGCTTCCGTTTTTCTGCCTCATTCTTAAGGGCTTCCGGTTTTCTGCTTTGTTCTTAAGTGCTTCCATTTTTCTGCCTCGTTCTTAAGGGCTTCTGTTTTTCTGCCTCGTTCTTAATAGCTTCCTGTCAGCAAAGTTGAGTGAATGCTGCAAACAGCGGGATCCCGAGAGTTGGACTTTAGGATCATAGAATGACAGAGTTGAAAGGGACCTTGGAGGTCTTCTAGTCCAACCCCGTGTCCAAAGCAGGACAAAGGGCTGTCCGATCTTTCCTCCAAAACCTTGTACAATCCCCCACTGTAAAGCAGCCCTGTTTTTCTAAAGAGATCAGAACATGGCTTATCCTTGGCTTGTTAAGAGCAAGAGCCTCGGCTATCATCAGTCTGTTTGCCATCAAAGGGTGAAAAACTCAACTCAACTCTGAACGCTGGGATTTTTCAAACCCATCCCCGCTTTTCTTTGCTAGGAAAATAGCCTTTGATTGACATCAGTGCCGGGGATAGGAGTGGGGTGAGAAATGGGGCTTATGAAGAGGGGAGGGGAAGGGCTGAGGAAGGAAAGATCCAGGAGAGAAGCCCCCTCCCCAGAAAGTTCCTTTGCAAAAAAACGGAGCTCTTTTGATCCGCAGAACAAATTTGGATTAATTGTTATCGCTCTTCCTCACAGCTGCAGCCTTGAGCTCTGAAAAAGACCCCACTTTCTCTCTTTCTGCCTGTCTTTTGAGGGTGGGGGGGAGTGAGAAATGAAGAGGGGAGGTGGGCTGGATGGCTATAAGGCAAGGAGGAGGAGGAGGACGACCCCCAGACACGTTGCCAGCTAGCCCCCCCTAAACGCCACCATCTCCAGTTTCTTGAAACCCTGCCAAGTTCAATCCATCCAGAGCAGCCCTCCCCACGCCCCCCCATCCTCCCCCTGTCTGGTGTCAGCTGCCAATTCTGCACAGCCAATCTCCCCCTCCCCCCCAAAAAACCCCTCCTGGATTCATCAAAGGAACTGAGGCTTCTTGGATCCCCTTAATCCTCTCCACTGGCCACTGGGGTCGGCACCCAAACAAGGGGGTCTCTGGGGAAGGGTTAGGAACCAGATGAGGGAAGGGGGGGAAGGGCAGCTGTGTTTTGAGGAGGGGGTCTTCCCTCCCCCTTCCAGCCTCCATTCAGAAGTTCTACCCAGGGCCACCGGCTGAGTGGAGAATTTTGCTATTTTTCAATTACCGTCCAGCAGAAGCGCTGAGATCGGAGGTCAGGTTAGCAATGTGGAAAGGGGAGTGGGAGAGCTTGGCGCAGGGAAAAATGGGGTGGGGGTGCAGGTGTTGGCCGGGGGGTCTGGGAAAGGAGGGGGCAGCCTGGGAGTTTCTTGTTTGAACTTGGGACTGGGCTGTAAAGTTGGGGTGCATACGGCGATTCTGGGTACGGTTCGGTAGCACTGCAGAAAGTCCCCCACTTACGACCGCCGTCGGGAGGGCGAAACTTTCCGTTAAACAGTGCAGCGGTTAAGGAAGATCTCGCCTGGCTGGACCCGATTTTGTAACCTTTTTTTTTTTGCTGCGGTCGTTAAGCGGGACATCTGTTATTGGGTGATTCTATCATCCCAGATCAATTAATTATTCCATGGAACGGCTCTGCCTCCAGAAGTTGTGGGATTTCAACCTCAAGAAGAAATTGGACTACCATTGGTCTGGAGTGGGATAAGGCCCCTTGCTGGAGCAGGGGGCTGGGCTAGAGGACCTCTAAGGTCCCTTCCAATCACTGTTCTGTAATTCTATCATCCCAGATCAATTAGCCAGTGGAACGACTGGCCTCCAGAAGTTGTGGGTGCTGCATCCCTGGAGGTTTTCAAGAAGAGACTGGACAGTCGTTTGTCTAAAATGGTCTAGGGTCTCCTGATTGAGCAGGGGGCTGGACTAGAAGACCTCCAAGGTCCCTTCCAGCTCTATTCTGATTGATTGATTGAAATGGTCTAGGGCGGATCCCCTGCCTGAGCAGGGGGTTGGACTAGATGACCCCCAAGATCCCTTCCAGCTCTATTATTATATGTATGTTTTGTACCTATGTGTGTCTTTCCAAGGGGCAGGGGGGGGCCCAGCCTTGCCTGGGTGGGGAGCACTTGGCTCCCCCCTCGCTCCTCCTTGCACCCCTCTTGCCTGTTGCAATTAATCCCAACGGTTGTGCGTTTATTGTAGCAGCTGTGAACATTGTCGCCTTTGCCGGGAGAAGGAGGGGGAAGTGTGCTAGCTTTTGTGCAAGGGGGTGGGGGGGAGGCACAAGCCGTGAAAAAAAAACAAAAAAAACCAACAACTCTGCTCTTCGCAGTTTGTCATTTTTCCCACGTGCTCCAAGCTGGGCCAGCTTTATTATCCTCGGAGTTGCAAACTCTTCTGCTGGGTGTGATGTATCTATTCATTAGACCTAAACAGTAACTGTCGGCTTTGCTAATTCTCCCATAATTAGAGAGGCCGCATCATCCCCCCCCCCGTGATTCCCTCCCCAGCTCGACAGCCTTGATGCTCCTCATTAAGGGGCTGGAAACAGAAACTGTGGAGAGCAAACGGAAAGCAAAAGAAGGAAAGGAGGGGAGGAAAAATCTGGGTTTGGGGGAAAAAAAAAAAAAAGGAACTGGCAGCCAGGAAGGGGGAAAAACAACAACAACATTATTCTGTGTTACTAACTGAATAATTGAGTGATTCGCTTGTGGCCAGAAGAGTCGTAAAACAGGGCAAAACTCAATGTTTCGCCTCAGCGACAGAAATTTGAGGCTCAGTTGTGGTCGTAACTAAAGAGGACTACCTGTATCTCAACAGCTTCCACCAGAGATCAAAGATGATGCTTAGATTAGTCTGTCCTCTCTCTTTCTCTCTCTCTCTCTCTTTCTTCTTCTTCTTCTTCTTCTTCTTCTTCTTCTTCTTCTTCTTCTTCTTCTTCTTCTTCTTCTTCTTCTTCTTCTTCTTCTTCTTCTTCTTCTTCTTCTTCTTCCTCTTCTTCTTCTTCTTCTTCTTTCCTGCAGCTCCTTCGGCGATATCCATCATGCATCAAGTTAGCCGGATGGTGGACAGCATCACCCTCTCGTGGTCTCAACCGGACCAGCCCAATGGGGTCATCCTGGATTATGAGCTCCAGTACTATGAGAAGGTATCAAGGAGAAGGTTGGGGAAGCGGGAGCTGAAGATGGTCCATATTTGGACTGTGGCCTACATGAGAAAGTCCTAACCTTTCTCCTGGTGTGGTATCTTCCAGAAACATTTGGGTTGGTTAAGCGTACAACTGTAATTATCTACAGAGATTCTCCATCATCCAGGTCAGGGGTCTTCAAACGTGGCTCTTTTATGACTCATGGACTTCAAGTCCACAAGTCATAAAAGGGCCAAGTTTGAAGACCCCTGATCCGAGTCATGCTTGTCCCAAAGATGTACGAACATAGCTCATCTCTTGAGATAATCACACACGGACTGTTAAGGTCTTGCCCGCCGTTTGTGTTTAACATGGTTACTGGATTAATCCATTTTTCTCCTGTTTAACATGGTTACTGAATTAATCCATTTTTCTCCTGTTTAACATGGTTACTGGATTAATCCATTTTTCTCCTGTTTAATATGGTTACTGAATTAATCCATTTTTCTCCTGTTTAACATGGTTACTGGGTTAATCCATTTTAATGGATCACTGTGGGTGCCCGCAGAGGGGTCAAAAAAGTCAAAATGGCAACCGGGATTGCGTCATCGATGCCACGCCCCCTTTTTTAATGCTCGGAAGGCATCCGTACGCTTTTTTGAGACAGGTTTTCCTTGCAGTATGCTCCTTTTAGTGGATGGATTGAAACCCGAATATATTTGTCCAGGGGTGGTAAGGAAGACTACTCCACTTCAAGAGAAAAGTGGATATTCTGGACATGAGAACATGTTTTTTTTTTTTTAAAGGCTAATTAAAATCGTGTTTAAATGGAGACACCGCGCACCCTCCCCGTTTGAGATAACAAAAGCTGCATAATTCGCTCGGTGACCTATTTTCAATTGCCAGGAGGAAACCAATGTGAGGAGGGGTTTTGGGGGGGCAGCTGATGCTGCATAATTTTATCCCGCTGTTTTGCAGAAATCAGAAATCTCCCTTCTCCCCTGCTCAGCTTTCCTCCCGGCAAAGGGACGAACACTTCCTCTTTTCCGCTGCTTTTCTATTTTTTTTTTTTTTTTTTCTGTTTTGCAAATACTCACAAACACACACCCAGGCTGTGTTCATCCTCTTAGCCAGCCCATCATTTTAAAAATATCGGCTGGAAGATGGCTAGGGACTTTGTGCAATTGCAAAAAAAAAGTCTTTGGCACTGATCTTGCGCTTTCGTGAAACCAGTCTTTTCAGAACCTAAATATTTATAAATTTTAGAAAACCAGAACATATTTCTTGGTTCAGTCGTGGCCGATTCTTGGGAGTTTCTGTGGGGTTGGGCTGGATGACCTCACCCTCACCCCTCCTGACTCCAAGGTCTGGTTTTTCTGCCCAATGCTGCATCATCCATCAGGGGGGGAGGGGGAAAGCTAGGCAAACCCAGCGGACATTTTTTGGGCCAAAACAATGACCCCTTCTCTGTTCTTCTCTTTTTTAACCGGAATAACTGTGGTTGTGTTTTGTAGGATCTGAGCGAGTTTAATGCCACGGCGGTCAAGAGCTTCACCAATACGGTGACTGTCCCAAACCTCAAGGCCGGGACGATTTACGTCTTCCAGGTGCGAGCCCGCACAGTGGCCGGTTACGGACGCTACAGCGGGAAAATGTATTTCCAGACAATGACGGAAGGTGAGTGGCAGGGGTTTCTCCCCCCCTCCCCAATTAGGGGTTTCTTCCCCCCTCCCCAGCCAATTGACAGAGCTCAATTGTGTCAAGGACTACCTGTATATCAGTTTTCTGGATTGTTGGGGAGCTCTACTGGTGGGTTTCTCTGCTGCCCGGGGGTTGGACTAGATGACCTTGAGAGTCCCTTTCATGCTTCTTTGAAATGAAAAGACATCAATTTTGGTCGGACATCAGAGAGGTTTTTGCTAAGGGAAGGAATTGTTCCATGCTTCCCTGTTTAAACCAAGGTTGGATGGCCATCAGAATGCTGTATCTGTGGGTTTCTGCACTGGGCAGAGGGCTGGACTGGATGACCTCTGAGATCCCTTCCAATCTTTCTACTGCTGATTTTGTGATCTCATTTAAAAATCCTGCACCGAGCATGGGGTTGGACTGGATGACCTCTCGGGTCCCTCCTGATCTTCCCTTTCTGTGATCCTCTCTGCTGATGCCTTCCTTAATTTGTTTTCCTTTTTTTGCATGCTGTTCCAGCCGAGTACCAAACCAGCATCCAGGAGAAGCTGCCTTTGATTATCGGTTCCTCGGCGGCAGGACTGGTCTTCCTCATTGCCCTGGTGGTCATCATCCTGGTTTGCAACAGGTGGGCAGGAACGAGGGGTTTTCCAAAGAAAGCAGAAAGAAACGTTTCAAAGAGGCTTCCGTTTTTCTGCCTCGTCTCAGGATACGGTTAGAACATCCCACATTTCCTGAGTTCCGTTTGTGGGGTTGGCTTTTCCCCCTTTCTGCAACAGTTTTTAAGAAGAGATTGGACAACCATTTGCTGGAAATGAAATAGGGTCTCCTGCTTGAGCAGGGGGTTGGACTAGATGACCTCCCGACTCTGTTTTTCTATTCTGTTCTACATAAATGTATTTTTCAAGGAGAGATAGGAGAGATGGGACAAAGTCTCCTGCCTTGAGCAGAGGGTTGGACTAGAGGATCTCCAAGATCCCTGCCAGCCCTCAGATTCTATGTACCTGGGAGCTTATGGGGGGGGGGCTGGATAAGCCACCTGCTCTCTGCGCATACCTCGCCTTTACGTGCAACTCCATGCCTGATTTATACAGGGGCGAGGCTTAAAGGGAGGAGTCTTTGTTGGGGGGGAGAAGAATAAAGGTTGGGCGGGTGGGGGGACACATTGCTGAAGCCCACCCTTGCCCCCCTAGTCCATCTGCCTACCGTTCAGCACGGTGCTCTCCTTCCAGAAGACGTGGATTTGAGCGCAACGATTCGGAATACACCGACAAGCTGCAACACTACACCAGCGGCCACAGTATGTATGAATTTGGGGGGGGGCAGGAGGGAAGAGCAGCATGCACCCCCAAAGTGTGCCATTGGGGCAATAACCTGCACAGCCACTGACAAACACCAATAGGTCCCAGAGAAGCCCTGAGTGGTAGTCCTCAACAACTATTTGTTTAGTGACCGTTTTACTAGGGGAGGACCCTTTGTTAGGCTTAACCAGGATTTTAAAAATGCACGGTGCAATGCCAAACCACAATTGGGGGCTTGTCTTTCTTGCAATTCTACGAGAGAGACGGGTTAAGCTCAGTTGATGTTCCCGAATGACTGACGCTTATTCTAGCCTACCTCGCAGGGTGGGTTGTCGGGGAAGCCAAACAACTCCCCCCCCTCCTTAAACTAGGGCTTATCAAGGGGGGGGGAAGCAAACGACAGATGTCGGCTTCTTCTCCTTTGAGCAGTTACTCCGGGGATGAAAATCTACATCGACCCCTTCACCTACGAGGACCCCAACGAGGCCGTCCGGGAGTTTGCCAAGGAGATTGACATCTCCTGCGTGAAAATCGAACAGGTGATCGGGGCAGGTGAGGCCGACCCCAGAAACTCTTTGGCGCTTCTGGCGATTTGTGTATTTGGTGCTGAGTTTGCAAAGGAGGGGAGGAGGAAGACTGTGGGGTCCTTGATGCTCTCCGAGTTTGGTAGTTTTTTTGCAGACATTTCATGACCCAACTAGGTAATACCATCAGTGTTAGAAGGGAGTGGGTTTGCAGAGAGAGGGGGAAGGAGGAGGAGGAGGAGGACGACAACTGTGGGGTCCTTGATGCTCTCTGAGCCTAGGGCTTTCCTTGCAGACGTTTCATGACCCAACTAGGGAACATCATCAGTGCTAGCAACGATACTGTTACCTAATTGGGTCATGAAACATCTGCAAGAAAACCCCCAAAGTCAGAGATTACCAAGGACCCCACATTTCATCCCTGAAAGGTAGAAATGTGAGATTTTGGGGGGGGGGGCGTGACTAAACGTCTTTTTCTGCTCTTGATGTTCCCTCCCCCTCCTCCCCAGGAGAATTTGGCGAGGTCTGCAGTGGCCACCTGAAGCTGCCGGGGAAAAGGGAGAGCTTCGTAGCCATCAAGACCCTAAAATCGGGGTACACCGAGAAACAGCGGCGGGACTTCCTGAGCGAAGCCAGCATTATGGGTCAGTTTGACCACCCCAACGTGATCCACCTGGAGGGGGTGGTGACAAAGAGCCCCCCGGTCATGATCGTCACCGAATTCATGGAGAATGGGTCATTGGATTCCTTCCTTCGGGTAAGATCCCCAAGTGGGGAGCAGCAGTGTCTTCCTCCCTCACAGGATCCCCACCCTTAGGTCCAGGGTCTCCTGCTGGAGCAGGGGGTTGACTGGAGGACCTCCAAGGCCCCTTCCAGCTCTATTCTGATTGATTGATTGATCTCTATTCTGATTGATGATTTGAAGTCCGTCCCATGAATCCAGAGAAGAACTTGTTGAGGAGAACTTGTTTACTTTTTTGAGGACATCTGGTCTCCTGGCTCGGAGGTTCCTTGACCCCAGTGGCCAGCTCACACCTTCCATCCCCTGCCCTGGATCTCACGCACCTTTCCTCTCCTCCTGCTCTTCTCTTCAGCAAAACGATGGCCAGTTTACAGTCATCCAGCTGGTGGGCATGCTCCGGGGCATCGCGGCTGGCATGAAGTATCTTGCTGACATGAATTATGTCCACCGTGACTTGGCAGCCCGTAACATTTTGGTCAACAGCAACCTGGTGTGCAAAGTTTCGGACTTTGGCCTCTCCCGATTTTTGGAAGATGACACCTCGGACCCGACTTACACCAGTGCTCTGGTAAGAGGGTGAAAGGAGGGCTGGTTGGCCAAGACTTTGAAAGGTTATTGAGATAAATCAAGGGACTAGCCAGGATTTGCTACCTAACATTTTCTGCTTCTTCTGAGGAGCTGACATGAGGTTCTCAGGCTGCAATGCTGGCCACTAGGTGACCTGAATGGCCATTTCCAGCCCACAATGTTATGGAAGGAGACTTCCATTGATGGGTGAAGGTCCTCCTTCCCTGAAGATACCAAGGACTTGTCCTGAAGACAAGTGCCTGGTCACTCAGTTGTGGCGATTTTGGGATCAGCTCATGACTTCTCCCTTCGGTTTCTCCAAATCCAAGTGGTTCATGGGTTTTGGAGTCTCAACTCACAGTCTTGAACATCTGAGAAGAAGTTCCTTTGCTCCTCAGAAACTGGTCTTTCTCGTTGTACAACGAAGAGACCCGATCATTGTCCCTTTTTCAGAAGACAAGTCCTGTAGTACAGGGGTCTCCAACCTTGGTAACGTTAAGACTTGTGGATTTCTGGGGGAGTTGAAGTCCACAACTCTTAATGTTGCCAAGGTTGTAGACTTCTCCTGTGGTACACCCAATCCTTCTCGCACCTAATTCTTCTTCTTCTCTTCACAGGGTGGTAAGATCCCAATCCGTTGGACAGCGCCCGAAGCCATCCAGTACCGAAAGTTCACTTCTGCCAGCGATGTGTGGAGCTATGGGATCGTCATGTGGGAAGTAACGTCCTATGGGGAGAGACCTTATTGGGATATGACCAACCAGGACGTAAGTCACAACTTCGAAACATCAGAGGAAGCCTTTGAGATTATAGATGGGTAGGACCTCTGGTGATGTCATCGCCTGTAACATAGGGAGAAGACAGTGAGGGTTTTTTCCAGAAATTATGGGTTGCTTATGGAAAAGGGGAGAAGGAACCCTTGTGAGAATTCTTCCAATGTTTCTAGGACGCCTTCAGCCCAACCGTTGCTCCTCCTAATTCAAAGTCTTTCTCATCTCAACTATACTGTTTTCTGGCCATAATAACAGTTGGTTGGATGGGATTTGTCATCTAAAACACCATTTGCAGGTAATCAATGCCATTGAGCAAGACTACCGATTACCACCGCCCATGGATTGTCCCAGCGCTCTCCATCAGCTCATGCTGGACTGCTGGCAGAAGGACCGCAACCACCGGCCGAAGTTTGGACAGATTGTCAACACCCTAGACAAGATGATCCGAAACCCCAACAGCCTGAAAGCCATGGCACCTCTTTCCTCAGGGTAAGGAAGCAGAGTCTTGAACTTTGACCCGGAAGAAGACGTTAGGTCTTATTCCTTTGATCCGAGGACCTTCCTTGGAAGCAGACTCTTGAACTTTGACCCTGAAGAAGACTTTAGGTCTTCTTCATTGGCCGGAGGACCTTCCTTGGAAGCTGACTCTTGAACGTTGACTTTGGGTCTTCTTCATTCCTCGGAGGTAGTCTTCGACTTACAACTGTTCATTTAGTGACCGTTCAAAGTTACAACTCTGCGGATTCGCTTAATAACCGCGGCAGGAAAGGTGGTAAAACGGGGCGGAACGCGCTTAGCTAGTGCCTCGCTTAGCAACGGAAACTTTGGGGGTCACTTGCGGCCGTTAAGTCGCGGGCGACCTGTATCTGACCGACTGGTGGCAAACTGAAATTGAAATGAATTTAATTTCGTTGACCTTGCAGGATTAATCTGCCCTTGCTGGACCGGACGATTCCAGATTACTCCAGCTTCAACACAGTGGACGAGTGGCTGGAGGCCATTAAGATGGGCCAGTACAAAGAGAATTTTGACAGCAACGGCTTCTCCAGTTTCGACTTAGTTTCCCAGATGACGATGGAGTAAGGGCACAGAATGTGAAATTGGGAAATCAATTGTATTTTACGAGTGTAAAATAAAATGCAGGTAGTCATTGACTTGCAAGAATTTATTTAGTGACGAGCAAAGTCAACGGGGGAAGTTGAATAGAATAGAATACAATAGAATAGAATACACAAATAGAACACAATACAAGAATAGAACACAATACAATACAAGAATACAATACAATACAAGAAGAATACAATACAAGAATAGAATAGAATAGAATAGAATAGAATAGAATAGAATAGAATAGAATAGAAGAATACAGTACAATACAAGAATACAATACAGTATAAAATATACAATATGCAATACAAAATATACAATACAATACAATCTCTCCCTAATTTTCCTTCCTCTGTTCTCTTCCCGGCCCCAGAGACATCTTGCGAGTCGGAGTGACGCTGGCCGGTCACCAAAAAAAGATCCTGAACAGTGTCCAGGTGATGCGCACGCAGATGAGCCAGATCCAGTCCGTGGAAGTTTGAGACATGCTTCTTGTACACGGCCACGGGGTCCCGCTCCCGCGTGGTCCTAGTGTGTGTCCAGGTTTCCCAGGGGGGCCTTGGGCTCCCCAAACAGACATGGAGCGCCGCACAGCCACGGACTCTGAGCACACCAGCGCAACCCTGGATTTCCTACTTAGGAGGACACCTCCAAACTCCACGTCGTCGGCGTGGACCTTCTCCTCAAGGGCTAAAGTCGGGGAAGGGACGGCAAGCCGCTCTTCTCGGCCTCCTCACCTTGTCTATCCTTCAAACAAGACGTTCCACCATCAATATCCACACCAGAGGTCCCCGAACATCTAAGAATGGAGCTGTGGAGGCTTCATCTCATCCAGGTTTTGGTGGACGGTGATCTTTGGACCGGACCGAAGAAGGGCACGAGACAGGAGGTTGTTGTCCTCGACAATGAGAGACATTACCCACGGACGGGTCTTTTGAAACCCACTTCCCTTTTGAAGGACAGAAGCTTTTTTAAAAAAAAAAAATTGATGTCTTCTCCAACCTTTTTCCCTGGGTCTGAAGGAGCTTCCTACGGTTCAGGTGGGACCTTGATGATTGGGATTGGCACAACCTGGAACGGCTCCTCTTTGCACCCCGAGCTGCAGCTCTGACACACACTCAAGATGTTCACAAGGCCTTCCTCCCTTGTCGTGTGTTGTAGACTTGACGTGTTTTTTCTTTGTTGTGGTGGTGGTGGTTGTCCATGTTTCCTCCTTGGCAATGGGGTCCCCAGGGGGTTTGCATTGTTTTCGCTCTCCTCCGAATGCAAAAAAAAATGTGTTTCTCCTGGACCCTCTCCTCCAAATCAGCACTTCTGGGGGGGGGGAGGCAGGCATTTACACCACGTTGCTCCCAAATGTGTGTGTATATTTTTGTGTGTGTGAGAGAGAGATGCAAATTTTTTTCATTTGCATTTGTATTTGCTGAGCCCGTCTGATACACGTCGTCCTCAACTTACAACAGTTTGTTTAGTGACTGTTCAAAGTTATAACAGCACTGAAAAAAAAAGCCACTTAGGAACCATTTTTCACCCTTAACGACCGTCGCGGCGTTCCCAGGGTCACGGGATCAAAATTCAACCACTTGGCACAATTGACTCGTATTTATGACGGTCGCAGCCTCTCCGGGGGTCACGTGATCCCCTTTTGTAGCCTTGTAACCAGCAAAATCAGCGGGGAAACCCGGTTCGCTTAGCAACCGTGTGACTCACAACCGCGGCAACTCGCTTAACAACGGTGGCGAGAAAGGTCATCAAATGGGGCAAAACTCACTAAACCACTGCCTTGCTTTGCAGCATCCGGGGACTTCAACTCCCAGAATTCTCCATGCTCAATGGGGCATCCTGGGCTTTGAAGTTCCCCCAGCCTGTTGGTTTTGTGCAGCTTGGCTCTGCTCTGCGAGTGCAAAATTCTCATTTTTTTAATCCTCCCCCTCATCTGCCCACCTGTCCTGAGGCTGCCCCCCCTTCTACTGGACTGAGCAATAAAATGCCAGGCTTATGGATATGGTGATCCTTCTGAGCAGAGGGTTGTTGTGCATTGATTCTGTTCCAGGCTTGGAAGAGATGCCGTCAAGAATGGTCCACCCGAGCCTTTAATCTGGAAGGTGACATTATTCTCTTTAGATAATTGTAGATCGCCATCTTCAAACCACCAGTCCAAACACTGGAAGTTTTTAAGAAGAGACGGGACAGCCATTTGTCTGAAATGGTATAGGGTTTCCTGCCTGAGCAGGGGGTTAGGCTAGATGACCTCCAAGGTCCCTTCCAACTTCATTATTATTATTATTAAACTGCCAGCAGGGAGGAGAAGTGGCTGCAAACGGAATATTTATTTAAAATTGAGAAAGTTTTAAGACTGTTCTTCTCCTGTCTGTAATTTCCTTTGGGTTTTGTGTATGTGTGTGTGTGTGTAGAATTGGAGACTTTTGAACTTTGAACCTTCCCGGAACCGTCCTGCGCCCGCCTGCTTGAAGCTTCACGAAGATGCGTCTCAATTCATCGGCAGGTTTCCCCCTTCTGAGGGAGACTGTTTTTGTCCCTGGCCATTTTTCTTCTTTACCCTTGACAGTATTTGTATTTTTTACAAAAGGAAAAATTATATATATATATATATATATATATAAATATGTAAATAACAGGTGGTTTGCCAGGCCCTTCTCACCCAAGGGTGCGTCTTCCATGCCAACTAAGGCCTTCTCTGAACTCCATTGGACACCTTTGGGGGTGTCCCCGGGAAAGAGGAGAAGGAAGAAATGAAATCCCATGTATTTATAAAAAAATTAAAAAAAAAAAAGGGCAGAAGCCGCTACTCCGAGATCTTTGTAGGAGTATTTTTAAGAAGACTTTTTTTTGTTTGTTTTTTTTCCAAAATAAATGTGAAGTGTGAACGGACGTCTGAACGTCTTTTCTGGGTTTTGGGTTGATTGTTGATTGTCCATGTTGAGTTGGAAGGAGAAAGCACAAAGCTGGAAACCTCTCCAGGTGCTTCATTGGTGTCCCAAAGGGGCTCACCTGGAATAGGGGAGAGCGTCAAGTCCCCTGGGAGTAACACCACCACAAGGTTTTCGCGAAAACCTGGTCAATTGTTGGGGACCTTGATCGCAGAACGGGGTGGGGAGAAGCAAGACACACACCCCCCAAATTTGGCTGAGGGTGCCTGCTCAAAATCCATCACAAGGGATTGTGATGGTGTGAGGTTGTGCAATGCCCCAAGAGCAGAGATGGTCTCTTGAACTAGATGACCCACCCCTTTACAAGTAGTCCTTGATTTACGACAGTTCGTTACAGTTCCCTACAGGTTTTCAAAAACAGAACTGGGCAAGCATTTGTCCAGGATGGTTATAAGGACTCCTGCCTTGAGCAGGTGGGGTTGGACTAGAAGACCTCCCTTGTCCCCAACCCATCCCCCTGTCTAGCCACGTTGGGAATCCAGGATCCCAACCCAAGGAGAGCCGTCCTGGAACCCGTCTCACAGCCGCGTTGGAAGCTTTTGGTGAACAGCAGGAGAGGAAATTGAGACTCTCTTCCACCCCCCACACACCTCCACCCGTTCTGCTGTCTCCTGGAGGAAGAAGCCACCCATGCGTAATGCTTCGATCTTCTCCAATTAACTTTGCTTTCTCCCAAGAAGGATTTTCACACCCCTGATCTGCTCGGCAAAATAGACCTTTGGAGCGTGATGCAACCTGGCAGGAAAGAGACCGCGCAGGTGTCCTGCCCCGATTCGTTCCCACGCCGGCCTCCTAATTGGCGCAGAGACACAAAAGGACATTGTGACATGTTTCAGTCGCCCACGATGGACCTTCCGGAACAGCTGAGGTGGATTTGTGTGGCCTTGAACGGAGTCCACCCCGTTTGATGGATATTACTCCTGATGTGGCCTCTTTCATTGGTGCCAACGTGCGAAAGGGCAGTGAACTCTTGATGACTCCTCCGAAGGACAAGCTTCCATGGGTTCAAAAGTTCAGGGCTCATCAAGAGAGATCATCTTCCATCTCAAGAAGGGAAGTGGGGGGAGATTGGAGGTTGGCCTTCAGCCCAAGGGACTGGGCCTTTCACGTAACCCGAGAGGCGGGAGGATTGGTGGAACCATCTCCTCAGAAGATGACAAGCTAAGATTGACATCTCAAAGGATGCCCCGAGCCTACTCATCGGGCGGAGGGTGGTGGGCTTTCCAAGCAACTCATCTTGAGATGACGATGGAGAAGCAAAGTGGGAGGAGCCACCACCCTCCTTTCCCCCAACATGTGCAAAAATTTAGGGCAGAGACTCCATCGGTAATATTTGCCCATCACTGTAGGCTTCAGTTAACAAACAAGGACGTTTGTGGACCAACAGAGAAGAAAGGAAACCCGGGGATTTCTCATGCATGGAAGGACATCTGTTGTCACCCCATGACAGGTTGGCCTCTGGCCATCCATGGCTACATCCAAACGCATTTGCAACTGTCTGAAACAAAGCCATCTTCCCAGGCCAAGATGTTGGGTTGATGGACCAGAGAATGCAGCTGTCAGAAAAGCCAACACAATCCTAGGCTGCATTAACAGAGGGATAGAATCAAGATCATGTGAAGTGTTAGTACCATTTTACAAGGCCTTGGTAAGGCCACACTTGGAATACGGCATCCAGTTTTGGACACCATGATATAAGAAAGTTGTTGAGACTCTAGAAAGAGTGCAGAGAAGAGCAACAATGATGATTAGGGGACTGGAGGCTAAAACATATGAAGAATAGGTTGCAGAAATTGGGTATGTCTAGTTTAATAAAAACATTTAACTGTGGGTAGGGAAGAGTTCCAATAATAGAAAAAGGAAGAAATAGTTTCAAATTTGAGTCAATTTTCTTCCACTGGGCAAGACACTAAGTATCAGAAACTCTATTATAACATTTTAGTAGAATCCAAAGAAAGTAAAGCAAAACAAAACAAAGCAAAGCAAAGCAAAGCAAAAAAAAAAAAAAGATGGAAAAAAAATAACAAATTCAAAATAAAACCAAGGGCTGCCTGGCAAGATTGTGACAGGGTGAAGATGCAAACAAAAAACAAAAAAAGAGCTTTGAATGTTAGGTGGAGGGGAGGACCCACCAACCACAAGGGCAATCTGTTGCAAGAGAGGCAATCCTCATCACCCCCCCCCAAGGCTGGCTAATGGGACCTGTAGTCCAAAGTATCTCCTATGCCAGGGGTCTTCAAACTTGGCCCTTTGATGACTGGTGGACTTCAACTCCCAGAATTCCTCAGCCAGGCACACATGCATATAACCATAATTTTATTTTTATTATTATTTTTTGTATGCATTACATTTTTAGATTTTTATTTATTTATTTATTTGTAAAAACAGCGAGCATTTTAAGCAAGGGGGGCGGGAATGCTCAACATGAGCAAAAAAAAAAAAAAAAAAAAGCTCTGTTGCAAGAAGGGATCATCCCAATCGCCTTCACCTGTGCAGCCCTGATGAGCCGCCTCGCGCCCCGCCGCCGTCTCCATGGCAACCGCTGCGCGAGCCTGGGAACCAGCCGAGCGATCGCACCTGTTTGAGCGCGCGCCTTTCCCGCGCAGCGCCCTCGGACCGCCTCGCGGGCTCCTTTCTGCACGCCCATCTCGCCCGCTGATTGGCTGCTCCGAAAACGCGTCCCTCGGATTGGCTGAGCCGTCTGTCCCTCTCTCCGAGAGGCGGGCACCTTTTAAAAGTCGGCGGGCTCCTCAGGCTGAGGGAAAAAAGCGAAGCGAGCGCGCTGCTAAGGCAGCGGACGCCGCTCTCGCGTCTCTGGGTCCCCGAAAGGGACGATGCTGCGGGGCGCCGGGGGGTTAAAATGCCTCTCCCCGGCGCTCCCGCGGCCCAAGCCCTCGAGCTCGAGGCCGGGCAGGGCCTTTTGAGCTTTTGAGGTAATTCTAGCGGAGACTTTTCTAGCTGTGGGGAGCCTGAGGGGAGCCTGAGGGGAGCGCCAGGTCTTGAGCGAACGACTAGCCCCTGCGGTAATTCTAAGCGCGGCGCGTGTTCTTTGGAATAAAACGCCGGGGGTGGCTGAGGCGATATCTCGACGGTGTTTTATTCACACGACGCCAATACCGCAGGTCCCCAAAGACGCTGGTCTCAAGTCTCGGCAAACTGCTGGGTCTTGAAGTAATTCTAGTCAAAGCTCAAGTTCTTAAAATGTTGGTGGAACCTCAGCCATGTCCGTTTAAAAAGGACCAAACCAGCACAGGGGAATGAGGGTTGCAGTTAGCTTTGGAGTAAATCTTAGCCAGGTCCTTGCAGCAAGCTGAGGCCATTTTAGGCAGGTGTGGTTAAAAGGGCTAACCTGCCACAGGTGAACCAGCTTTAAAATTAGCTTCAAGGCAAAATGGCTTCAGTCCCTGGAGTTGCCCTTTCTGGAATAAAGTCAGCTCTTGGGACCTGAGGAAGTTTTAGTCAAGGCTCAAATCCTTAAAAGAAGCAAACCATGTAGTGGCTTCAAGTAACTAAAGGCAAAAGTTAACTAAAATTACTTCAGGTCCTGGAGTTGACCTTTCTTTCTTGAAATAAAGTCAGCTCTTGGGAGAATTTTAGCCAAGGCGCACATTTTAAAATATTGGTGGAATCTGAGATAATCTCAGCCATGTCCTTTAGAAGGACCAAACCACCATAGGCAAGTCAGAATTAAAAATAGTTTTAAAGGTAAAGATAAAATTACTCAGACCTTGCTCTCAGGAATAAAGTGATTTCTTGGGACCTGAGTTAACTTTAGTGGGCTCAAGTCTTAAAAGAAGCAAAATATGTAGAGGACTAGCTACTTCAAGGAACTAAACAAAAAGGTTAACTAAAATTACTTCTGGTCAGGGAATTGGACTTATTTTCTTGAAATAAAGTCAATTCTGGAGGCCTGAGGTAATTTTAGCCAAGGCTCAAGTAAAATATTGGTGGAACCTGAGATAATCTCAGCCTGGACAGCCATTTGTCTGAAATGGTATAGGGTTTCCTGCCTGAGCAGGGGGTTGGACTAGATGACCTCAAAGGTCCCTTCCAACTTTATTATTATGTCCTTTTAAAAGGGACCCAAACCACCACAGGGAATAAGAGTTAAAATTAGCTTGGGGTAAAATCTGAGTTAATCTTTGCCATGTCCTTGCAGGCTAAAAAGTACTTCAAGTAAGTAGAGGTGAAAGTTAACTAAAATTACTTCAGGCCCAGGACCCTGGCTTAACTCTCAGGAAATTGCTTCTGTACCTGGAGTCAACTCTTGGGACCTTAGGAAATTTTAGTCAAGGCTCAAGACCTTAAAAGAAGCAAAACATGTAAAAAAACGACTAGTTGCATGGTCTGAGGTCTTCTTTCACTTGTAGGATAAAACACAAAAATCCCCTTTGATTGATTGCTTTTCTAATCTCTGAACATTGGTCATTTAGTGATGTTGATTTTTTTTAATTTCAAAGGCATGAATCCATATAGACGAAGAAGAAGACATCAACAGTAAGAGAGATGGTTTAATTCACTCTCCAGTATATCATGAAAGTGTGGAAGCCTGGCAGTTAGTTTGCAACATGTTTATTCCTGCAAAAAAGTTTTACAAAGTATCAATGGTAGAAAGAGCAGTGGTAGAGCATTCCACATACCCACAAGCATAGCGATGGTGGTGATGCCCCCTAGTGGTGGAGGTCTCTCAGTCCCTGAGCTTCCACTCTGTGACACTCACACTGAATGAGCCGGGGAAGCAAACTGCTACCTGTCTCATTGAATCCCTGAGCAAACACTGTGGGGGACTCACACTGGAGGTCCTCTCTGGGGTCAGCCTAGGTGACCCTTTCAGTCCCTGAGCACGCACTGAGGGCGAATCAACACTGGTAGAGTGAACAGCGTCCACTCCTCCACTGCCTGAGGACCCCCTCAGTGAGACTCAAACTGGAAGGCGATCCTTTGGGATCGCCTCACACTTGAAATGAGGTGTCCTTGGTGCTGTCTGAGCTTGGTGGTTTTCTTGTAGACGTTTCATTACCAAACTAGGGAACATCATTAGTGCTAGTAGAAGGGAGTGTGGTTTGCTGTCAGGTTATGATCGAGTGGCTTCTTTCAGTGTTGTTGAAAATGGTCTTGGAGGTCCTCTGTTGCGCTATTTGTTGTTAGCTTCTTTGACCGTTCCTTGATTGCGGTATTGTTTTCTTGCCATGGTGATGGTTTTTAGAACCCAAAATAAAACCTCAACGGCCATTTTTAATATTAGTTGTGGCTGTTGATCTATAAAAGAGGTTAGGGTTTTCTAGCTTTGCAGACTGAGCGGAGGAAGAATTGCACCACTGCTGCCAAAAGTTCCTCGAAAGAGACAACGCTGGCTGGGCACGACTGAGGGAACAAGAAGAAAGAAACAAAAGCAAAAGAAGAAAAAGAAAGAAGAAAGAAGAAGAGAGCAAGAAAATGTCTCCAGCTCAAGCCCATCTTCGGCTGTGATGTGGCCTCCTACGCTATGAGGTAAGTTTAGCCGAGTCTTGTATTCTTCAAAGTTTTGGGATATGGAGGGAGGTGACCACTACTTGATGGTCATTCCTAGGTAGGTACCACCTGCAAATGGGGTAATAGTAAGCAGTGTGTACTGTGCATTCTTAGGACTAAAACTCCAATGGCAGCTGAAGTAATGTTAGGGTTTTTTTTTTTTTTATCTCAAAGGCCTGTTCTCTGCACCACCTTAGAAGACAGAAGACTCAGTCGTCAGCCTGCAGCGTCGATGGAAGAAGGAGGAACGGAATGCAATAAGGATGGTTATTAGAACCAAAAAAACATCCTCAATGGCTCTTTTAATGCTAGGCATGGCTGTTGCTGGATTATAGATTTTATAGTTTTCTGCCTGGTGTAAATTTAGCCATGGCAATGGTTCTTAGAACCAGGAAGAAAACCTCATTGGCCCTTTTAAAGGACCAGTGTGTGGCCAGTGCTTGGTAACAGATTTTAGAGCATTCTTGCCTGCTGTAAATTTACCCATGGCAAGGGTTATTAGAACCAAAAAAACATCCTCAGTGGCCCTTTTTAATCCTAGGTGTGGCTGTTGATGGATTATAGATTTTATAGTTTTCTGCCTGGTATAAATTTAGCCATGGCAATGGTTCTTAGAACCAAAAATAAAACCTCATTGGCCGTTTTAAATGATCAATGTGGCCAGTGCTTGGTAACATATTTTACAGCTTTCTGCCTGGCATAAACTTAAGCCATGGCGATGGTTCTTAGAACCAGAAAGAAAACCTCAATGGCCCTTTTTAATGATAGATGTGGCCGTTGATCTATAGAAGATTTTATAGTTTTTGAGTCTTTGAGACTGAGGGGAGGAACACTGGCACACTTGCTGCCAAATGTTCATCAAAAGAGACAAGACTTGCTGGGCACAGCATAAGAAGAAACAGCAAAAGAAGAAAGAAGAGAGCAAGAAAATGTCTCCAGCTCAAGCCGTGTTTAGCCTTCGGCTGTGATGTTGCTTTCTACACTATGAGGTAAGTTTAGCCGAGTCTTGTATTCTTCAAAGTTTTGGGATATGGAGGGAGGTGGATGGTCCCTTATGCCTAGATAAGTAAGTATAACACCTGTGACTGAGGTAATAGTACACACTATGTATTGTGCATTCTTAGGAGTAAAAGTCTAATGGCAGCTGAAATAATTTTAGGTTTTTTTATCTCAAAGGCCTGTTCTCTGCACCACCTTAGAAGACAGAAGACTCAGTCATCAGCCTGCAGCGTTGATGGAAGAAAGAGGAATGGACCTTTAGATGATAGATTTTATACCATTCTTGCCTGCTGTAAATTTAGCCATGGCAATGGTTAATAGAACCAAAAAACCCACCTCAATGGCCCTTTTTAATCATAGGCATGGCTGTTGATGGATTATAGATTTTATAGTTTTCTGCCTGGCATAAATTTAGCCATGGCAATGGTTCTTAGAACCAGAAAGAAAACCTCATTGGCCCTTTTAAATGACCAGTGTGTGGCCAGTGCTTCATAACAGATTTTAGAGCATTCTTGCCTGCTGTAAATTTAGCCATGGCAATGGTTCTTAGAACCAAAAAAAACATCCACAATGGCTCTTTTTAATCCTAGGCTTGGCTGTTGATGGATTGTAGAATGCTACTTCATCGTCAGTCACAACTGACTTTTAGAGGAATTGCTGAAACTATAAGAGGCTTTTGGTTCTAAGAGATCTGGCTGCTTCTGACATTATTTCTCAGGGTGTGAAAGTGGGAGGGAAGCCATCCAAAAGGATTCCCACCATTCAGTTTGAGACTCAGCTGGACTCACAACTCAAACGAAATAGGACGACCAAGGCTGGAGCCCTTTCTGCCTCTGCCAGGGGGTGGGCTGGGGGGGCACACAGGCAAACAGCAAGGATAGCTTGGCTGCTGAAACACTGAGCATCTTGGGAGGGAAGCGAGGGCAAATGGCAAGGGCTGGGGGGCTGATGGGACTGCTTGCGCCTTGGGAGGGAAGGGAGGGCAAATGGCAAGGGTTGATGCGACTGCTTGCGCCTTGGGAGGGAAGGGAGGGCAAATGGCAAGGGCTGGGGGGCTGATGGGGCTGCTTGGGCCTTGGGAGGGAAGGGAGGGCAAATGTCAAGGGCTGGGGGGCAGATGCGACTGCTTGCGCCTTGGGAGGGGAGGGTGGGCAAATGGGAAGGGCTGGGGGGCTGATGCGACTACTTGCGCCTTGGGAGGGAAGGGAGGGCAAATGGCAAGGGCTGGGGGGCTGATGGGACTGCTTGCGCCTTGGGAGGGAAGGGAGGGCAAATGGAAAGGGCTGGGGGGCTGATGCGACTGCTTGCGCCTTGGGAGGGAAGGGAGGGCAAATGGCAAGGGCTGGGGGGCTGATGGGACTGCTTGCGCCTTGGGAGGGAAGGGAGGGCAAATGGCAAGGGCTGGGGGGCTGATGGGACTCCTTGCGCCTTGGGAGGGAAGGGAGGGCAAATGGCAAGGGCTGATGCGACTGCTTGCGCCTTGGGAGGGAAGGGAAGGCAAATGGCAAGGGCTGGGGGGCTGATGGGGCTGCTTGGGCCTTGGGAGGGAAGGGAGGGCAAATGTCAAGGGCTGGGGGGCCAATGCGACTGCTTGCGCCTTGGGAGGGGAGGGTGGGCAAATGGGAAGGGCTGGGGGGCTGATGCGACTGCTTGCGCCTTGGGAGGGAAGGGAGGGCAAATGGAAAGGGCTGGGGGGCTGATGCGACTACTTGCGCCTTGGGAGGGAAGGGAGGGCAAATGGCAAGGGCTGGGGGGCTGATGGGACTGCTTGCGCCTTGGGAGGGAAGGGAGGGCAAATGGAAAGGGCTGGGGGGCTGATGCGACTGCTTGCGCCTTGGGAGGGAAGGGAGGGCAAATGGCAAGGGCTGGGGGGCTGATGGGACTGCTTGCGCCTTGGGAGGGGAGGGTGGGCAAATGGGAAGGGCTGGGGGGCTGATGCGACTACTTGCGCCTTGGGAGGGAAGGGAGGGCAAATGGCAAGGGCTGGGGGGCTGATGGGACTCCTTGCGCCTTGGGAGGGGAGGGAGGGCAAATGGCAAGGGCTGGGTGGGCTGCTGGAATTGCTACCGTCGATGCCCCCCAGCCCTTGCCATTTGCCCTCACTTCCCTCGCAAGATGCTCAGTGTTTCAGCAGCCAAGCTGTCCTTGCTGTTTGCCTGTGTGCCCCCCCAGCCCACCCCCTGGCAGAGGCAGAAACGGCTCCGGCCTTGGTCCTCCTCTTTCGTTTGAGTTGCAAGTCCAGCTGAGTCTCAAACTGGATGGTGGGAATCCTTTTGGATCGCTTCCCTCCCACCTTCACACCCTGAGAAATAATGTCAGTAGCGGCCAGATCTCTTAGAACCAAAAATAAATCTGTTGTTGAGCTTTGTTATGAGGTTTTCCCATCTGAATAAATTAATAACTAGATTTTTTGCTAGGGTGAGGCATCAGGTTCTCGAACTGGAAAATAAATCTCTGTGGCCCTTTTTAATTCTAGACGTGGCCACTGAAACCCTGAGTAGATTCCTTGCCTGGCTTAATTCAAACATGATGTTGGTTCTTAGAACCAGAAAACATCTCAATGGCCCTTTTTAATGCTAGAGGTGCCGGTAATGGATAATAGATTTTATAGTTTTCTGCCTGGCGTAAATGTAGCCCTGGCGATGGTTCTTAGAACCAGGAAGAAAACCTCAGTGGCCCTTTTTAATGCTAGGTGTGTGGCCAGTGCTTCATAACAGATTTTAGAGCATTCTTGCCTGCTGTAAATTTAGCCATGGCAAGGGTTCTTAGAACCAAAAAAACATTCTCAATGGCCTTTTTAATCCTAGGCTTGGCTGTTGATGGATTATATTATAGTTTTCTGCCTGGCGTAAATGTAGCCCTGGCGATGGTTCCTAGAACCAGAAAGCAAACCTCAACAGCCCTTTTTAATGCTAGGTGTGTCCGTTGATCTATAGAAGATATTGTAGTCTTTGAGGTTGAGGGGAGGAACGATGGCACACCTGCTGCCAATCTTCCTCGAAAGAGACAACGCTTGCTGGGCACGACTGACGAAGAAACAAAAACAAAAGAAGAAAGAAGAAAAAAGAGAGCATGAAAACGTCTCCACCTCAAGCCCTGTTAACCTTTGGCTGTGATGTGGCCTCCTACGCTGTGAGGTAAGTTTAGCCGAGTCTTGTATTCTTCAAAGTTTTGGGATATGGAGGGAGGTGACCACTACCTGATGGTCATTCCTAGGTAGGTGCCACCTGCAAATGGGGTAATAGTAAACAGTGTGTACTATGCATTCTTAGGAGTAAAATTCCAATGGCAACTGAAGTAATGTTAGGTTTTTTTATATCAAAGGCCTGTTCTCTGCACCACTTTAGAAGACAGAAGACTCAGTCGTCAGCCTGCAGCGTCGATGGAAGAAGGAGGAATGGACCTTTAGATGATAGATTTTATACCATTCTTGCCTGCTGTAAATTTAGCCATGGCAATGGTTCTTAAAACCAAAAAAAACATTCTCAACGGCCCTTTTTAATCCTAGGCGTGGCTGTTGATGGACTATAGATTTTATAGTTTTCTGCCTGGCGTAAATTTAGCCATGGCAATGGTTCTTAGAACCAGGAAGAAAACCTCATTGGCCCTTTTAAATGACCAGTGTGTGGCCAGTGCTTGGTAAGAGATTTTAGAGCATTCTTGCCTGCTGTAAATTTAGCCATGGCAAGGGTTCTTAGAACCAAAAAAAACACCAATGGCCTTTTTATTCCTAGACATGGCTGTTGATGGATTATATTATAGTTTTCTGCCTGGCGTAAATTTAGCCCTGGCAATGGTTCTTAGAACCAGAAAGCAAACCTCAACGGCCCTTTTTAATGCTAGGTGTGTCCGTTGATCTATAGAAGATATTGTAGTCTTTGAGGTTGAGGGGAGGAAGGATGGCACACCTGCTGCCAATGTTCCTCAAAAGAGACAAGACTTGCTGGGCACGGCAGAGGAAGAAGAAAAACAAGAAAGAAGAGAGCAAGAAAATGTCTCCAGCTCAAGCCCTGTTAGCCTTCGGCTATGATGTGGCCTCCTACACTGTGAGGTAAGTTTAGTTGAATCTTGTATTTTTCAAAGTTTTAGGATATGGAGCGAAGTAGATGGTCTTCCACTACTGGATGGTCCTTCCTAGGTAAGTAACACCTGAAAACGGGGTAATAGTAAGCAGTGTGTACTATGCATTCTTAGGAGTAAAACTCCAATGGCAGCTGAAGTAATGTTAGGGTTTTGGTTTTTTTTATCTCAAAGGCCTGTTCTCTGCACCACTTTAGAAGACAGAAGACACAGTCGTCAGCCTGCAGCGTCGATGGAAGAAGGAGGAATGGAATGCAATAAGGATGGTTAATAGAACCAAAAAAACCACCTCAATGGCCCTTTTTAATCCTATTCTTGGCTGTTGATGGATTATAGATGATATAGTTTTCTGCCTGGCGTAAATTTAGCCATGGCAATGGTTCTTAGAACCAGGAAGAAAACCTCAGTGGCCCTTTTAAATGTCCAGTGTGTGGCCAGTGCTTGGTAAGAGATTTTATAGCTTTCTGCCTGGTGTAAATTTAGCCCTGGCGATGGTTCTTAGAACCAAAAAACCCACCTCAATGGCCTTTTTAATCCTAGGCTTGGCTGTTGATGGATTATATTATAGTTTTCTGCCTGGCGTAAATTTAGCCCTGGCAATGGTTCTTAGAACCAGAAATCAAACCTCAACGGCCCTTTTTAATGCTAGGTGTGTCCGTTGAGCTATAGAAGATTTTGTAGTCTTTGAGGTTGAGGAGAGGAAGGATGGCACACCTGCTGCCAATCTTCCTCGAAAGAGACAACACTTGCTGGGCACGGCAGAGGAAGAAGGAAAAGAAGAAAGAAGAGTATGAAAATGTCTCCAGCTCAAGCCCTGTTAGCCTTCGGCTGTGATGTGGTCTCCTACGCTGTGAGGTAAGTTTAGCCGAGTCTTGTATTCTTCAAAGTTTTAGGATATGGCAGGAAGTGCATGGTCTTCCACTATTAGATGGTCCTTCCTAGGTAAGTAACACCTGCAAATGGGGTAATAGTAAGCAGTGTGTACTATGCATTCTTAGGAGTAAAACTCCAATGGCAGCGGAAGTAATGTTAGGGGGTTTTTTTTTATCTCAAAGGCCTGTTCTCTGCACTACCTTAGAAGACAGAAGACTCAGTCGTCAGCCTGCAGCGTTGATGGAAGAAAGAGGAATGGACCTTTAGATGATAGATTTTATACCATTCTTGCCTGCTGTAAATTTAGCCATGGCAATGGTTCTTAGAACCAAAAAAACCACCTCAATGGCCCTTTTTAATCCTATTCTTGGCTGTTACGGACTATAGATTTTATAGTTTTCTGCCTGGCATAAATTTAGCCATGGCAATGGTTCCTAGAACCAGGAAGAAAACCTCATTGGCCCTTTTAAATGACCAGTAAGTGGCCAGTGCTTGGTAACAGATTTTAGAGCATTCTTGCCTGCTGTAAATTTAGCCATGGCAAGGGTTCTTAGAACCAAAAAAACATCAATGGCCTTTTTAATCCTAGGCATGGCTGTTGATGGATTATAGATTTTATAGTTTTCTGCCTGGCGTAAATTTAGCCCTGGCAATGGTTCTTAGAACCAGAAATCAAACCTCAACGGCCCTTTTTAATGCTAGGTGTGTCCGTTGAGCTATAGAAGATATTCTAGTCTTTGAGGTTGAGGGGAGGAATGATGGCACACCTGCTGCCAATCTTCCTCGAAAGAGACAAGACTTGCTGGGCACAGCAGAGGAAGAAGAAAAAGAAGAAAGCAAGAAAATGTCTCCAGCTCAAGCCCTGTTAGCCTTCGGCTATGATGTGGCCTCCTACGCTGTGAGGTAAGTTTAGTTGAGTCTTGTATTCTTCAAAGTTTTAGTATATGGAGCGAAGTAGATGGTCTTCCACTACTAGATGGTCCTTCCTAGGTAAGTAACACCTGCAAATGGGGTAATAGTAAGCAGTGTGTACTGTGCATTCTTAGGAATAAAACTCCAATGGCAGCTGAAGTAATGTTAGGTTTTGTTTTAATCTCAAAGGCCTGTTCTCTGCACCACCTTAGAAGACAGAAGACTCAATCATCAGCCTGCAGCGTCGATGGAAGAAGGAGGAACGGAATGCAATAAGGATGTTTATTAGAACCAAAAAAAAACCACCTCAATGGCTCTTTTTAATCCTAGGCATGGCTGTTGATGGATTATAGATGATATAGTTTTCTGCCTGCCGTAAATATAGCCCTGGCGATGGTTCTTAGAACCAGGAAGAAAACCTCATTGGCCCTTTTAAATGACCAGTGTGTGGCCAGTGCTTGGTAAGAGATTTTATAGCTTTCTGCCTGGTGTAAATTTAGCCATGGCAAGGGTTCTTAGAACCAAAAAAACATCAATGACCTTTTTATTCCTAGGCATGGCTGTTGATGGATTATATTATAGTTTTCTGCCTGGCGTAAATTTAGCCCTGGCAATGGTTCTCAGAACCAGAAAGCAAACCTCAACGGCCCTTTTTAATGCTAGGTGTGACCGTTGAGCTATAGAAGATATTGTAGTCTGTAAGGTTGAGGGGAGGAATGATGGCACACCTGCTGCCAATCTTCCTCGAAAGAGACAACACTTGCTGGGCACAGCAGAGGAAGAAGGAAAAGAAGAAAGAAGATTATGGAAATGTCTCCAGCTCAAGCCCTGTTAGCCTTCGGCTGTGATGTGGCCTCCTACGCTGTGAGGTAAGTTTAGCCGAGTCTTGTATTCTTCAAAGTTTTAGGATATGGAGCGAAGTAGATGGTCTTCCACTACTGGATGGTCCTTCCTAGGTAAGTAACACCTGCAAATGGGGTAATAGTAAGCAGTGTGTACTGTGCATTCTTAGGAATAAAACTCCAATGGCAGCTGAAGTAATGTTAGGGGTTTTTTTTTTTATCTCAAAGGCCTGTTCTCTTCACCATCTTAGAAGACAGAAGACTCAGTCATCAGGCTGCAGCGTCGATGGAAGAAGAAGGAATGGACCTTTAGATAATAGATTTTATACTATTCTTGCCTGGCGTAAATTTAGCCCTGGCGATGGTTCTTAGAACCAAAAAGACATTCTCAATGGCCCTTTTTAATCCTAGGCTTGGCTGTTGATGGATTGTAGATTTTATAGTTTTCTGCCTGGTGTAAATTTAGCCATGGCAATGGTTCTTAGAACCAGGAAGAAAACCTCATTGGCCCTTTTAAATGACCAGTATGTGGCCAGTGCTTTGTAACAGATTTTATTCTTGCCTGCTTTAAAGTTAGCCATGGCAAGGGTTCTTAGAACCAAAAAAACATTCTCAATGGCCTTTTTAATCCTAGGCTTGGCTGTTGATGGATTATATTATAGTTTTCTGCCTGGCGTAAATGTAGCCCTGGCGATGGTTCCTAGAACCAGAAAGCAAACCTCAACGGCCCTTTTTAATGCTAGGTGTGTCCGTTGAGCTATAGAAGATATTGTAGTCTTTGAGGTTGAGGGGAGGAACGATGGCACACCTGCTGCCAATGTTCCGAGAAAGAGAAAGAAGAAGAAGAAAAAGAAAAGAAAGAAGAGAGCAAGAAAATGTCTCCAGCTCAAGCCTGTTAGCCTCCGGCTGTGATGTGGCTGCCTACGCTGTGAGGTAAGTTTAGCCGAGTTTTGTATTCTTCAGAGTTTTAGGATATGGAGGGAGGTGGGTGGTCTTACACTACTTCCGGGGTGTCAAACTCAATTTCATTGAGGGCCGCATCAGTATTGAGGTTGCCCTCAGGGGGGGCGGGTGTTGTGGCCAGGGTGGGTGCGGCCTACTAGGTGGGCATGGAGTAGGTGTGGCCTATTGGATGGGCATGGCCAGCTCTATATCGTTCGCGCCCTGTGGGGGCCTGGGCAGGAGTGGGACAGATCTGAGGGTCTCTGGCAGAAGGGAGTGGGACCAAGGCATGGTCCACTGGAGGAGCCTCACCCTTCCTCTCAGGCCATGTGCGGGGGCTGGATGGTAGTGGGGGCTGCCCGGAGCCCTGGCCAGCAGAGGTCCAATGCCCAGCCTGGCCCTTGAGCACCCGCGGCACCAGCCCCACTTCCCCAAGGGGGTGCCCAGCTGCACTTGCTTCCTCCTCAAGGCTGCTGCTGCTGTGCTTGCTCTCCTTAGCCAGGTTGCTCCTGATGGGTACGAGAGCCAAGTCAGAGGGAGGCTTTCCCTCTCCATGGGAGGAGACCCGGCTTCGTATCCAAAGCTTCTTTAGCAATAGGATGGGAGACCCCAGGACAGGCCAGGAGGAGGGGGCAAGGGGATGGTGAAAGGGCAGCAGGGCAGGACTAAGGCAGGACTTCCCTCAGACCCTCCCTCTCATTCCTTCCTTCCTTCCTTCCTTCCTTCCTTCCTTCCTTCCTTCCTTCCTTCCTTCCTTCCTTCCTTCGGACAGAGTGGTGGGAAAATATTTGAGATAGGGAGGGAGAAAAACAGGCAAGAAATGCAGCCAGGGCCAAGGCAGCGGGGGGGGGGCTATCCCTCACTGTTTCCAGGATGGCTTCGCGGGACACATGAAACCACTTTACGGGCCGCATCCGGCCGCCGGGCCTTGGGTTTGATGTGTCTGCACTACTTGATGGTCCTTCCTAGGTAGGTAACACCTGCAAATGGGGTAATAGTAAGCAGTGTGTACTGTGCATTCTTAGGAATAAAACGTCAATGGCAGCTGATGTAATGTTAGGGGGGTTTTTTTTATCTCCAAGGCCTGTTCTCTGCACCACCTTAGAAGACAGAAGACTCAGTCGTCAGCCTGCAGCTTTGATGGAAGAAGGAGGAACGGAACGCAAGAATGAAGATGATCTCCATCGAGAATGCTACTTCACCGTCAATCACAAATGACTTTTAGAAGAATTGCTGAAACTGTAAGAGACTTTTGGTTCTAAGAGATCTGGCTGCTTCTGACATTATTTCTCAGGGTGGGAAGGTGGGAGGGAAGCGATCCAAAAGGATTCCCACCATCCAGTTTGAGATTCAGCTGGACTCGCAACTCAAACGAAAGAGGACGACCAAGGCTGGAGCCCTTTCTGCCTCTGCCAGGGGTGGGCTGGGGGGGCACACAGGCAAACAGCAAGGACAGCTTGGCTGCTGAAACACTGAGCATCTTGGGAGGGAAGTGAGGGCAAATGGCAAGGGCTGGGGGGCTGATGGGACTGCTTGCGCCTTGGGAGGGAAGGGAGGGCAAATGGCAAGGGCTGATGCGACTGCTTGCGCCTTGGGAGGGAAGGGAGGGCAAATGGCAAGGGCTGATGCGACTACTTGCGCCTTGGGAGGGAAGGGAGGGCAAATGATGGGATCAAATGGCAAGGGCTGGGGGGCTGATGGGAAGTGAGGGCAAATGGCTTGGGAGGGGAGGGTGGGCAAATGGGAAGGGCTGATGCGACTACTTGCGCCTTGGGAGGGGGACAAATGCTTGCGCCTTGGGAGGGAAGGGAGGGCAAATGGCAAGGGCTGATGCGACTGCTTGCGCCTTGGGAGGGAAGGGAGGGCAAATGGCAAGGGCTGATGCGACTACTTGCGCCTTGGGAGGGAAGGGAGGGCAAATGGCAAGGGCTGGGGGGCTGATGGGACTGCTTGCGCCTTGGGAGGGAAGGGAGGGCAAATGGGAAGGGCTGGGGGGCTGATGCGACTGCTTGCGCCTTGGGAGGGAAGGGAGGGCAAATGGCAAGGGCTGGGGGGCTGATGCGACTGCTTGCGCCTTGGGAGGGAAGGGAGGGCAAATGGCAAGGGCTGATGCGACTACTTGCGCCTTGGGAGGAAGGGAGGGCAAATGGGAAGGGCTGGGGGGCTGATGGGACTGCTTGCGCCTTGGGAGGGGAGGGAGGGCAAATGGGAAGGGCTGGGGGGCTGATGGGACTGCTTGCGCCTTGGGAGGGGAGGGTGGGCAAATGGGAAGGGCTGATGCGACTACTTGCGCCTTGGGAGGGAAGGGAGGGCAAATGGCAAGGGCTGAGGGGCTGATGGAGCTGCTTGCGCCTTGGGAGGGAAGGGAGGGCAAATGGCAAGGGCTGATGCGACTACTTGCGCCTTGGGAGGGAAGGGAGGGCAAATGGCAAGGGCTGGGGGGCTGATGGGACTGCTTGCGCCTTGGGAGGGGAGGGAGGGCAAATGGGAAGGGCTGGGGGGCTGATGGGACTGCTTGCGCCTTGGGAGGGGAGGGTGGGCAAATGGCAAGGGCTGATGCGACTACTTGCGCCTTGGGAGGGAAGGGAGGGCAAATGGCAAGGGCTGGGGGGGCTGATGGGACTGCTTGCGCCTTGGGAGGGGAGGGTGGGCAAATGGCAAGGGCTGGGTGGGCTGCTGGAATTGCTACCGTCGATGCCCCCCAGCCCTTGCCATTTGCCCTCACTTCCCTCGCAAGATGCTCAGTGTTTCAGCAGCCAAGCTGTCCTTGCTGTTTGCCTGTGTGCCCCCCCAGCCCACCCCCTGGCAGAGGCAGAAACGGCTCCGGCCTTGGTCCTCCTCTTTCGTTTGAGTTGCAAGTCCAGCTGAGTCTCAAACTGGATGGTGGGAATCCTTTTGGATCGCTTCCCTCCCACCTTCACACCCTGAGAAATAATGTCAGTAGCGGCCAGATCTCTTAGAACCAAAAGTAAATCTAGTGTTGAACTTTGTTATGAGGTTTTCCCATCTGAATAAATTAATAACTAGATTTTTTGTTAGGGTGAGGCATCAGGTCCTCGAAATAGAAAATAAATCTCTGTGGCTCTTTTTAATTCTAGACGTGGCCACTGAAACCCTGAGTAGATTCCTTGTCTGGCTTAATTCAAACATGATGTTGGTTCTTAGAACCAGAAAACATCTCAATGGCCCTTTTTAATGCTAGAGGTGCCGGTGATGGATAATAGATTTTATAGTTTTCTGCCTGGCGTAAATGGAGCCCTGGCGATGGTTCTTAGAACCAAGGAGAAAACCTCAGTGGCCCTTTTAAATGACCAGTGTGGCCAGTGCTTGGTAACATATTTCTGTTTTTCCACCTGGGAATAATTTTGTCCTTGCCTGTTGTTTAAAATGTGTAAGTTATGTTTTGACTGGTAAATAATCATGACACACAGTATGCGGCTGTCACCTCACTAATTTTGATTTCTTCTGTCAAATACATTTATCTTTTTGTTTCTGAAATATCTGTAAATGGGATTCAGACTTGATAACATTCTGTTTGACGTGTATTTTTTGTAATAAAGCTTATTTTTACTCCGGACTTGTTAAGTAGTTGTGATGTTTATGATAGACAAGATATTTTATCTTTTGCCTATTTTTATGTATCCGTTCTTAACCCCATCTCTTCACCAAGAGATACCTGTTGTGATATTCATGTATTTGAACACTGAAGTTGCGTTTTCTTCTGTGATAAATCTGTTGATGACAACTGTTGTTTCTTTTATACCTCACCTTTTTATTAAAAATGTCATTTTAAATTAGTGAATTGTTTAACCCATCATGGTATTTTATCATTGCTTTTGTAATTTTTACAATTATAAAAATGTGACTTTTTATCCTTAAAATATTGGATGATATTTTTATGTATTTTACCTGTATAATGTTTTGAATTGTACAAAGCGCTTGCAGCTGGGTTATGCTTGGAAGATGGGATGCTTGTGTTAAACAATAAAGTGTTTGAAACTACTTTCAACTATATTTGTGATCCTGCGGTGAGGAGCTTGGACCTGTTGGACACCTTGTGCTCCTGCTCTTCGCCGAAGTCGCCCGGGATCACCTTTTGTAAGGATTTACACACACACACACACACACACACACACACACACACACACACACACACACACACACACACACACACACACACACACACACACACACACACACACACACACACACACACACACACACACACACACACACACACTGTCCAGTAACTGTACCTTAGGGAAAAAATGCCATGGACTTATCTGGCCACAGGAGGGCAGCATTCCCTGTTCTGCCATCCTCCGTGTCCTATTAGAAATGAAGTTTTAGCAGCTGGAATTATCTTTTATATTCCCCAGAGCCTCTTTGGTGGCTGCTTTGAGCTTCCATCGAAGGAAGGAAGGAAGGGAGAGAATAAAAATAAGCCACTCCAGGCCTCCTTGGCCAAATATTACAGCACACGCTGGCCACAGGAGGGCAGACTTTGCTGCTTTGACTAAACTCGGTTTGATGGGGGTTTGCTTGTTAGGTATATTCCTTTATCAAAGGTGCACGCTGAGTGCCCCTAGGGAAAAAAGCACCGAGTTGTAGGAATCCTAATAAGTCCCTAGAATTCTGGATGAAGCTGAAAATGGATCACAAACCTGGTTTGTTTGTTTTTTCTGTTTTGAATGACGCATGAATTGAAGCATCGTTCTCAGCAAATAAAGCAGTAAAGAAAATGGAATGGCAATAGCAATAGAATATAGAATAGGTCCCTGTCTCTCAACCTTGGCAACTTTAAGATGTGTGAACTTCCACTACCAGAATTCCCCAGCCAGCATGAAGTATGTTACTTGTGCAAGATCCCCCCCCCTTCTTAATTTGGAGGGGGGGGGGTCCCTTTCCATTTCTTGCCTGGATGGGGGAACAGTAGTTTTATTTCCATTCTTAGGTCTTTGCAGTCTGGTCATTTAGGTCTGTGGAGACACACAACAGCTTGTGGCGGGGAGCTTAGCCACATAAATCTGGATTTTGCTCTCTCCCAGCAGTAGATGGCAAAAACTCAGAGCCGGTTGATAGAAGCAGAGAGGCAGAAGAAAAATCTGCTACTACCAAGCCCATCGCCCACCTCTCGGTCCATCGGAAGCTGGCAGGAGGAAGGCGGATTCTGGAAAGTCATGGTAAGTCATGGTAAGTCCATCTCCCACAGATGTTTGGGTAGGAGGACAAGGTCCCAGGGAGAGGAGGAGGAGAAAGGGAGAATTCAGGAATTCGGCAACAGGGTTGCTAAGGACTGATCTCTCTCTCTCTCACACACACACACACACACACACACACAGAGAGAGAGAGAGAGAGAGAATCAACCATCAGCCTTTGAGGACCATCCTGCACCCAGAAGTTCAGGACCATAGGGGGAAGTGGGTGGCTTTGCCAAAAGAGTTGAGAGGAAAGAATTTTGAATCAAGAATTAAGAAAAAGGATAGAACATAGAATAATAGAGGTCCTTTCCAGCTCTCATTCTTGTTCTGCTTGATTGATTGATTGATTGATTGAAATGGCCTAGGGTCTCCTGTTTGAGCAGGGGGTTGGACTAGAAGACCTCCGAGGTCCCTTCCAACTCTGTTATTCTGTTATTCCCTCATTCTTACTAACTTAGCTACTACAATAAAGCGTGGTGCCACTTTGAGCGGTGAGTCACAAACCTACGACATTTTTAAAAGCAATAATTCCCCCCCCCTCCTGACACGTTTTACTTCCGTTATCTATACCCTTATTGCCTTATCGTGGTGGTGATATAAATTGTATTCTCATGATGGTTGCATCACCCCAGTAACCCTTAATATTGATAAGGCAGGTGTGGCCTTATCTGAACTGAAAGGCGGAGATTTCTAGATAATCCAGACTAGGATAGGTACGTGGGAACAGTTGTGAGTTATGGGATGAAGAGATGCTGTCTAGGGCAGGGGTCCCCAACCCCCAGACCCCTCGCAGGAACCATCCCCTCTTTTCTCTTCTTGCCCCCCCACCCACCCATAGCCAATCAAAGTCAGAAAAGAAGTTTTTCGATTGGATCAAGTGTAGGTGCAATCAATCAAAATAGAGCTAGAAGGGACCCTGAAGGCCTTCTAGTCCAACCCCCTGCTCAGGCAGGAGACCCTAGACCATTCCAGACAAATGACTATCTAGTCTCTTGTTAAACATCTCCATCAATGGAGCACTTACAACTTCTGGAGTCAGCCTGGTTAATTATCCTCACTGTCAGGAAGTTTCTCCTTCGTTCCAGGTTGCTTCTCTCCTTGCTCAGTTTCCATCCGTTGCTTCTCGTCCTGCCTTCAGGCGCTTTGGACAATAGCTTGACTCCCTCTTCTTTGGGGCAGCCCCTGAGATACTGGAACATTGCTATCCTGTCACCCCTAGATCTTCTTTTCTCTGAACTAGCTATAGACTGGTATGCATCTCCTTTCCTTTCTCAGCCGGTTGACCTTGAAGCAGCATCTCAGGGAGATACAGAGAACGTTCAGTTTCCCCTAAAACCTCCAGACTCCCTCCCTAGAGTTCAGGGCAGACGGGCGCCAAGCGATGGCGAAGGGCAAGCGCGAGTTGGCAGCTCACCTTCTCTCTCCTCTGTCCCCATTAGACCGCCATTAGGCTGAGCTTCTTCCAGTTCTCCACCATGGAAGGGAAGGTGGTCCATGTGGCACTCCTGGTCTTCGTCCTGCTCTTTGTGGCCATGACTGGCTGTTTCCTGTGGCAGTACAGCCTACCCAAAGCAACGTCCAGTGAGTACAAGATCCATCACAGCTGGTGGTTTCAGGGTGGACTGAAATGGGACCACTCTCCACTTTGCTTCTCCATGTTTCGCTGCACGTTCCTTGGAAGATGGGACATGTAGTACATTCAACCCTGCAGCCGATAATGAAAAAGTTCTCAGGGTTTCGCCTAAACCTTTAATTTAATTTACTCGTCAAGGTGTCAAACGAGCAAAAGGGAAGACACAAAGCATTTATTGTCACACAGAAAAATCACAATATGATTCGGGACCCCTGCGAGTTGATTAATTGTGTTCAATGTGGCTTGATTGGCTTTAAACGCTGCAAGGTCTAATTCACTTTAATTGCTATCCTATTGATAATATCCCAGTTCGTTTTGGACCGAATCGGGTGTTCTGTTGGCCTCTTTTTAAGATATTGGACGAAAAACCCTCATTTAAATATGCATATTTAACAGGGTGGCGACAGTTGCGCGTCAGGCTAAGTCAGACGCTAATTAAATACATGAAATCCCAACTGCATAAAAATGAGGTCAGCCTAAATAAAAAGATAAACTAAATTGACTGAGAGATGAATGTTATTCCTCCATATTCATTCATATCCATCCACATTCACTTCATTCCTTCCCCCTCTCTCTTTCTCTCTCTCTCCCTTTCCCCCTCCCTCCCTCCCTCCCTTCCTCTCTCCCTCTCCCTCCCTCTCTCTTTCTCTATCCCCCGTCCCTCTCTCCTCTTTTTTCTCTCTCTCTTTTTCTCTCCCTCTCTCTCTTTCTCTTTCGCTTTCTCTTTCTCTCTCTCTCTCATTTATGAAAGGAAGTTCCCTCTAGCATGCCTGCTGATTAATTTTAATCTCAGCTGGCTTTTTATCTCCGATTACCAGATCCGGCTGCACAAAATCTGGAACAATGCTTTCTGTATTTCTTTGGCGCACGAGACAACCAGATTATGGAATCCTAGGGCTGGAAGGGACCTTGGAGGTCTTCTAGTCCAACCTCCTGCTCAAGCAGGAGACCCTAGACCATTCCAGACGGATGAAGTTCACGTGTCTTAAAGCTGAGTTGAGAAACACACTGCTTTGGCCGTTTTGTAGACGTGAACCTCCAGACCACTTAGAGTTCAGCCCAACTTGGTTCTGGTGGTCCTATTTTCATATGGCTCTCCAACCTATCTGGACTTCACGAAGCCCATCATCCTGTGAATATGGATTTCCATGAATGCTTCAACTCACATTCCTGCTTTTAGACCCTGTTCTCTGTCTTGGTTCTTCTGCTAGGCTCAGTCACCACGGACACCAAAGCAGCAGAGGTGGAGATGTGTCCCCGTTATCCAGATCCTGTCCAACTGGACCACCCCATCCCCATCCTGAAGGACGCTCTGGAAAAGGTGCGTTGCAATCAAATGGGTCCAATTATTTCCTGACAGTTAGAACAATTAATCAGTGGATCAACTTGCCTCAACAAGTTGTGGATGCTCCAACACTGGAAGTTTTTAAGAAGAGACTGGACAGCCATTTGTCTGAAATGGTATGGGGCTTCCTGCCTGAGCAGGGGGTTGGACTAGAAGACCTCCAAGGTCCCTTCCAATTCTGTTATTCTATTCTATTCTATTCTATTCTATTCTATTCTATTCTATTCTATTCTATTCTATTCTTATTTTTTAATAATAATATTTCTAGTATGTTATTCTCTGTTCCATTTTATGCCTTTAACTGCTGTAAATCAGATGAAAGAAGGAGTAAAGCCTTTGGAAAGCTCATTCAACTCTAGCTTGCTGAATAAGTCATTGTGGGTTGAGTTCCCACAGCACAGTTACATTGGCTGCCTTGACACATCACGCTAAACTGCAGCTTGTTCTTTGAATAAGCTATGGATGATTGGGTTCCCCCAACAAGTTATCCAGAAGCAATGATCTGCAAGCCACCTCAGTTGTTTACACTTCACACTAATATTATGAACAATATTAGAACAATATTATGGCTTAAGTGTGAATATTAGCCATTCATTCTAGCCACAAGCGAAATAGAAGTCTGAAAATTTTATTCCTTGCTTTCTGCTCCCCAAATTCTCTCTAGGTGGACAATCTCCTCCAGCACAAAATCCGCAATCCAGGCCTCCCAGCTTTGTCCGCCATTGTCATCTACAATGACACGGTCTTGTGGACCGGTAACTTTGGGAGACGCAACGGCTCCAGTAACCTCTCCGGTCTTCCCAATGAATATTCCATTTACAGGTGATTTGGGGTTTTCCTCAGCTGGAAGATGTGGGAGCAGGAGCCCGAGTGCGCGTTTTTGCACTGCACGGGTTGCTTCCCAGAAAATTCAGACACGCAAGCAAGCACTAACTCTTGAGGGGGACCTTAGATGTGAGAATGCCCGATTCCTTAGGGAATCAACGATTTTCTCCCGAGGAAAATCAATATTTTCTACTGCAATGAATTGCTACTCCAGTTTTGTCTACTCTGCTCTTTTACGCAATTGTGTGACTTTGTCCCTCTGTGTTAGAATTGGAAGCATCTCCAAGCTGTTCCCAACCATCATGCTGCACAAGCTTTGGGAGGACGGGAAGATAAACTCTCTCGATGACTCGTTGGAGCGCTACGCCCCCAATTTCTCCATTAAAAACCCCTTGGGGCATCTCAAGGAATCCAAGCAGACGTATTCGGGGGGCGGCCCAAGCTCTTTCGACGACAAACATCTGCCCCCCAGGCCTTCTTCGGTCACCCTGAGAAGGATGGCGAGCCAACTGTCAGGTAGGAAAAATTGGCTGAAAAAGAGGTCAAGAGTGCAGAGAAGAGCAACAGGACAGTTAGGGGACTGGAGGCTAAAACATGCAGGAACTGGGGGTGTCTAGTTCAGTGAACAGAAGGACTAGGGGAGACATGATAGAAGCCTTGCAATATTTCAGAGGCTTCTATAAGAATGAGGGGAGTCAACCTCTTCTCCAAAGCACCAGAAGGCAGGAGAAGAAGCGAGGGATGGAAACTAATCAAGGAGACAAGCAACCTGGAATGAAGGAGGAATTTCCTGACAGGGAGGACAATTAACCAGTGGAACGGCTTCCCACCAGAAGTTGTGGGTGCTCCATCACTGGAGGTTTTCAAGGAGAGATTAGACAACATTTTGTCTGAAAAGGTCTAGGGTTTCCTGCCTGAGCAGAGGGTTTTATATATATAGCCTGGGCCAGGGGTCTTCGAACTTGGCCCTTTGATGACTTGTGGGCTTCAACTCCCAGAATTCCTCAGCCAGGCACGCCTGGCTGAGGAATTCTGGGAGTTGAAGCCCACAAGTCATCAAAGGGCCAAGTTCGAAGACCCCTGGCCTAAAAGATGAGGTCGCAAGGTGACCCCGTGTTCATCCCGGAGTCGTGCGGGAGTGGGGCGGTCTATAAATTTTAATAAATTAAATTAAATTAAATCTGGTTTCCTGCTTCTTCAGGTCTGCCCAGGCGCCTGCGGTCCACCAGCCTGGTGTGGAAAGGAACCACCCAAGAAGCATTAGCTCTTCTCCGAGATGACATCTTGGTGGCTGATCCAGGAACTCGGTGAGCAGAAGACCTCGGCTGACCTTGTGCGTCTGGTTGTGCTACTCAGGGCTGAGGGTTTCAAACCTGTGCCCAATGTCCCTATATTCAGAACATAGAAGCACAGAAGGGGCCCTGGAGGTCTTCTAGTCCAACCCTCTGCTCCAGCAGGAGCCCCTTGGCCATTTCAGTCATGCTGGCTTCCATACTTAAGGCAGGACTAGAACTCACCGTCTCCTGATGATTCACCCAAAGGCGCCCAGTTGGCTTCCATGCTTGAGACAGGACTAGAACTGTCCCCTGGTGATTGGCCCAAAGGCACCCAGCTGGACTAGAACTCACCGTCTTCTGTTGATTGGCCCAAGGTTACCCAGCTGGCTGTCGTGCCTAAGGTGGAACTAGAACTCACCGTCTCCTGGTGGGTGATGGACCCAGTAATCCTCTCTGCTTTTCCTCCGCAGGTGCCATTACAGCAATCTGGCCTTCTCGCTATTGGCTCATGTTTTATCTGAGCAAGTTGCCAAGGGCGACTACCAGAACTGGGTCTCCGAGAGCATCCTTGACCCTCTGGGGATGGAGGACACGGGCTTTGATCTCACGCCCAACCTCCGTTCCAGGTTGACCGTCGGCGTCTACGGCAGTGGAGAAGTGGCTCCTCTCTACGACCTGGGCTGGTACAGACCTTCTGGGCAAATGTTCTCCACTGCTGCTGACTTGGCCAAGCTAGCCATGCTCTTCTTGGGCACCTATCACAGGCCTCTTCTAGGGCCGGAGACTCTGAAGGTGATGCTGACCCCGCTCTTGAAGTGCTCCAGGGACTACTTCGCCAACAAGACGGGCACGCCTTGGGAGATGAACGAGCAGATGGGCTACGACGTCCTCCGGAAAGACGGGGACATCGATGGCTACTCGGCCACCTTCTCCCTCATCCCCAAACTCCGCCTGAGCTTCATCCTCTTGATGGCCGGTCCTCGCCCTCAAGGAGGAGACCTCGTGACCCAGACCTACGAGTACCTGATTCCCTCCCTGGAGTCCGCTTTCCGGGAAGTCAAGAAGAAGCTCAAGCCTCCCCCGAGTCCTGCTCCCTACCTGGGCTACTACACCTTCTCCAACCTGACTTTCTACGAGATCAAGGCGGGGCCCCGAGGAGAGCTGCTTATGCAGCAGTTCGGACCTCACATCGAGAAGGTCATCCCCGAAAGCTACCGGACCATTCAGCTCCATCACCTGGAAGATCGTACCTTCCAGGTGGTCTTTGAGAAGGAATTCCCGTGTGTCCTGAAGTTAGGGCCCGCCTCGATTTCCCTTGAGGCCCAGGACGGTCAGCTTTTTAACTTCTATCCGTTTGACCCCAAGGGGCTGTCTCCTGGGTTTGACGTGCCAGGCTTGAACACCTACAACATCCTACGTCTTCAAAGGAAGCCCATCTTCTCTTCTTAAGATAAAGGAGGCTGAGAAAGGAAGAGAACCAGCCTCCCCCCCCCCCCAGAATTACCTGAGTATTTTCTCCTGAATATTTTCAAACATTTGACTGGGATGGTGTGGGGCTCCTGTCTGGGGGCAGGGGTTGGACTGGAGGACCTCTGAGGTCCCTTTCCAGCCCTATGATTCTTTGATTCAATTCAAGTTTCCCCTTTCTCACTGTTCCTGGGATCTGGACTTCCTGCATTCTTTCCCACGACAATAGATAACATCTTGGTTGCTCCTTACCGAGACTATGGAAAGAGTTACCCAAATTCTCCAAAGCCACCAGAGGGCAGGACAAGAAACAATGGATGGAAACTAATCAAGGAGAGAAGCAACCTGGAATTAAGGAGGAACTTCCTGACAGTGAGGACAATTAACCAGTGGAACAGCTTGCCACCGGAAATCGTGGGTGCTCCATCACTGGAGGTTTTAAAGAAGAGACTGGGCAGCCATTTGTCTGGAATGGTCTAGGGTCTCCTACCTTGAGCAGGGGGTTGGACTAGAAGACCTCCAAGGTCCGTTCCAGCTGTATTCTGATTCTGATTCCCTTCCATGAAAATGATGACACCCCGCTGAGAAAAGTCCTAAGCTGGGTGAATTTGGGCCAGTCACCAGGAGACTGGGAATTCTAATCCTACCTTAGGTATAAAGGCCAGTCTCTCTCCCAGCCCAACTCACCTTGCAGGGTCGTTGTTGCTGTTGTGGGAAAAATGGGAAGAGGAAGGGGTATTAAGTACCTTCTCTGCCTTGAGCTATTCATAAACATGATTGGCGGGATATAAATAAGTAAAAACAGAAACGGGTGGTCAGCATCTTGCAGCTTGACACCCCCCCCCCCCCCCGCGAAAGAGAAGTGACACAGAGAGCATCCACGAGCTGCTTGTGCTGACCTGAATTTTGATGTTTTATCTCTTGGATGAACAAATGAAAGTCGTGGCATTTGTGAGGGTGCAAAGCTCGGTAGGACTTTCAGGGCAGATTAAAAATGGAGTGATCATCTCGTCAGGGCTCAGCTCCAAATCACAGGATTACAAGAAGGGGGGGGAGCGAAAGCGGGCCCTCGGATTAAAAATTTGCACCCTGCTGGATTTAGATTTGGGGACAATAACACATTAATGGAGAGAAGGAGAAAGATAAAGAGAGAGAAGAAGAAGAGAGAGAGAGAGAGAGAGAGAGAGAGAGAGAGAAGAAGAAGGAAGAGAGAAAGGAGAGAGAGAAAGAGAGAGAGGTACTTATTATCATATGTGGTGGACATGTGTTAAAGCAAGGAGATATTAGACAAAAATTCACACTTGGTTAGAAAAAATGCTAGAGAAACACATAGATTATAAACTTGAATTTTTTTATTAGGTATAATAATAATCAGAAAAACTTGATAAGCAAAGTACATATTTGAGTTTACATATGATAACAGAATTATATTTGCACAATACTGGAAGAACGAAGAAACACCACCAGAAGAAGAAATAATTAAAAAAATATTAGACCGTGCGGAAATGGACAGACTTACTTTAAGGTTGAAAGAAAAAGAAGAAACAGAATAGTTTCAAACTTGGGACCTTTTTTATCAATGGCTAGAGAAAAGATTTAGGGATTAGGAATTTAATTTGTATTAGTGAATAAGATACACAGATAACACGCTGAGAAAGAGAGAGAGAGATGGCTTAAATTTGCAAATCTGTAGGGAGCGTATGGATACAGATTTTAATTTTCAGTCTAAAGTGAGTTTCAAAATTGAGGTGAGCAATTTGCAGCTGTTGGGCCAATGTTTCTTAGTCTTTAAGAATTTTAATCTTAAAACTTAAGAACTTTTAAGCTAGGTGGACCAACTCCCATTATTCCCTGGCCAGCATAGCATAGCATAGCTAGCCAGGAAATTCTGGGAGTTGAAGTTCATCCATCTTAAAGTTGCCTAGACTGTGTCAGGCCATAGGGAACCCTAGTAAATTAAGCATCCTACTTAATTTAAAACAGGGAGTATCATAAATAAAAAAATCCTGGGTTGGAAAAATCGAGGACAGATGTTCCCATGGCTTGATTTTTTTTAACCCTTCATGCCACAATTAATCCCCTTTGGAGAAAACCCACCCTCCACACAGGAGATTAAACGAATGAGCAATTTATCTCCTCGATCCCCAAGAAATCCATTTAGATCCCAGGCTCTGAATCTGCCAGCTGTTTTAATTTGCAAAGTCCAAATTGATGGGGAGATTGCACAGAAATTGGATAGACCATAAAAGGGAGAAGCTATGGTGATTCAAGCATCCATCGGCTTAGACTTTGACCCACTTCATTTCACAGGTGCCAGGCTGAAATTGCTCTACATTCAACCAGCTGTTTGCCGTGAAATTATTCCTGCGTAGGAGACCGCAATAAATCCTGGATACGGGTGTGGCTTTGAATTGACCAAGATTCTCAACGGTTAATCATGAACAGGAAAGCTTATTTGATGGTGACATCAAAGCGTATGCCCCAAAAAAGGAAAGGAAGGAGGGAGGGAGGGAGGGAGGGAGGGAGGGAGGGAAGGAAGGAAGGAAGGAAGGAAGGAAGGAAGGAAGGAAGGAAGGAAGGAAACTGTGACTATTATTGCACATATTTATGTCCTATCTTGTCTAACAACTCAGATATCCATCAGTGAATTTTAATATCTCCTAACAATTCTGAAGTAGACCAGACTGAGAAAACATAGCCCAAAGTCAGGAGGGCAGGAGGAGGAGGAGGAGGAGGAGGAGGAGGAGGAGGAGGAGGAGGAGGAGAAGAAGAAGAAGAAGAAGAAGAAGAAGAAGAAGAAGAAGAAGAAGAAGAAGAAGAAGAAGAAGAAGAAGAAGAAGAAGAAGAAGAAGAAGAAGAAGAAGAAGAAGAAGAAGAAGAATAAGAAGAAGAAGAAGAATAAGAAGAAGAAGAAGAAGAAGAAGAAGAAGAAGAAGAAGAAGAAGAAGAAGAAGAAGAAGAAGAAGAAGAAGAAGAAGAAGAAGAAGAAGAAGAAGAAGAAGAAGAAGAAGAAGAAGAAGAAGAAGAAGAAGAATGAGGCATTTCTGGGAAATGAAATTGGCTCGCAACCTTTTGGTCTTTGAGAACAATTGTAGGCATCCATCACACCAAGTTTTATCTTCAGAAAATATGATCTGGTGATCCCTGTTACTGAAAGTTCAATATTTGCGTCTCAGAGGTTCATTTCCTCTTTTTGGCACACACACAGACACACACACACACAAACAGAGAGAGAAAGATGCGTCACTCGGACTGGGAGTCTGGTTGAAAAACATGAAACAATAAAGATTTAGACACAATTTACAACCAGCCCAAAGTGACAGGCAGACCTTTCAACGGGCGGGATTCGAGTCAAAACTGAGTTTCCCGCAATCTCGATTTTATTTTTCTGGCGAGATACATGATCAAGATCCAAAAGTTTCAAATTGTTCATTTTTTTAATTGTTTCCTTGGCCAAAGTGCTGTTCTGGCCGATTCTAAAACTATTATCATTTCTGGAAAGCATTAGAGCATTCAAACCTTTGCTTGAAAGGGTGTTATGTACTTTATTGTGTAGCAATAAAAAAAACACCAGGATTGGTGATTTATGATTTGGATGATTGGATAGTCCAGATCATACAAAGAAGAGCATAGATGTAATTTTACAGTGAGAGGTTAAAATAAGTATGAACTTATAACTGCTTTGAAGGATATCAGAATTCTTCAATTCTTCACATCTATTTTTTTTGCAAATAATTTTATTGGTAAATACAAAATAACACAAAGGGGAAAAAATGGGGGAGGGTAAAAAAAAGAGGAACTTGTAAAAGGTGGTAGGGGAAAAAAATCCTGAAATAAATATATATAAAAAGAGTAACTTTTTTCCAGTACAGATACAAAACATAGCAATATTCTGTTCTAAATTATGTAAATATATTAAAAAATATGCAGAGAGAGAGAGAGGAAGATAGAGAATGAGAGAGAGTTAAAGTTAGATAGATGGAGAGAGAGAAAGAGACAGAGAAAGAGAGAAAAATATAGAGTTAAAGATAGAGAGATAGAGAGAACAAGATAAAGAGATAAAAAGAAAGAGTTAAAGATAGAGAAAGGGAGAGATAGACAGAAGGATAGAAATAGAGAGAGAGAAAAAATAATATTTTTTCCAGTGAAATTTCTTGACCTTTGTATAAAGTAATATAATACTTTTCTCATATTCACATGATCTGTTGTTCCAGTATTCTCTTCTTGTAAGTTTATTATTCTTTTCTTTTCTTTTTCTTTCCGCAACTCGGATGACCATACAATTTCCCTGGTTTATTTGCAGATTCAACATTTCTTTCTTTGGCATAATTCGTCTTTATTTTCCAGGAATCACGGCCTAAGCAAATATTGGGCTGGCGTTTCCATGTTTGGCCCCGAAGTTAATCCACTTTTTTTTTATCAGTTTATGTTTATAAGAGTTTATACGAGCGAATTGCTTGATGTTTCCAAAACAAGAAAGCAAGAGTTGTGCTGAACGATTCAGTTCAACACAATTTCCGACACGCTGGTTCATCCCCACACCCAAAAACGACAGTTCAGGGACAGCTTTTAGGAGCCCAATAAAAATGGGTGGATGTTGTCCTGGATTGGATATTGAGTTTTAACAGTTGGCCAGAAAGGTTATGGCTGAATATAAAGTAAGTCTCTTCTCCAGACTTTGCACCCTTGCGAAGGAGAGAAAGAGAAAGAAGGAGAAGGAGGGAGGGAGGAGGAGGGAAAGGAAAGCAAAGAAGGAGAAAGAAGGAACAGAAGTGATGGAAAAGGAGAAGAAAGAATGAAAGAAGGAAAGAGGAAAAGGAGGGGAAAAAAAGGAGAGGTTTAATTCAACAGGTGTGGCTCATAGCCAGCAGGATCTGTTTTTGGTGTGGGGGGGGGACAGCTTCCTACCCTCCGCCATGGTCCCATCCCAGCCATCCCCCCCCCCAACCCATCAACCGCAAGTTCAGTTGTGAAGGACGGTCATAAAACGCCAAGGATGATGTCAACACCCCACAACGCCACACCCCAACCTTGGATTGTTTACCCTCCGACTTCTCTCTTTTACAGCCCCCGTCCTAACCCGTGCCATGAGATCCTGGTTACTCAGTAACCAGAGTTTCGCCTTTAAAAAGGCCCTTTTCTTGACCGTCTAAGTCAAAGGTCTGCTTCGTCTCTGCCATCCCAGAAAGAGCCCCAATCGTGGTTCCAGCCATGAAAGCCGGCCCGATGCTAATCCTTGGTTTGTGCCTTCTCCCAGCCCTGGCCGAAGGCATCACCGTCCAGGTAATATTTTAAGGCGGTTTGGTTGAGGATCGGTTTAATAATGACAATGATAATAATACTATAGTGGGAAGGGGCCTTGGAGGTCATCTAGTCCAACCCCCTGCTCAGGCAGGAAGCCTTATCCCCTTTCGGACAAATGGCTGTCCAGTCTCCTCTTAAAAAAACTTCCTTGGATTCTGGTTTAGAACTTGGAATAACTTTACTAAACGTACGCTAATCGGCACAGATTAAAATGAAACGGAATAGTGGGAAGCTGGGACCCGTTAATTGTGGAGTGGGGGGACCCACAGTTCGGCCTCCAGGCTCTCCCTAGAGAACTTCAGCCTAACCTCATGAAGAACGGTGGCAGGAATTGGGTTTGGCTAGTTTAATGAAGAGAAGGACCGGGGGGGGGGATATGATAGCACCTTCCAGTATTTGAGGGACTGCCAAAAAGAAGAAGAGGGGGTCAACCTATCCTGCAAAGCACTTGAGGGCAGGACAAGAAGCAACGGGTGGAAACTCATCCAGGAGAGAAGCAACCTGGAACTAAGGAGGATCTACCTGACAGTGAGCAGGGGGTTGCACTAGAAGACCTCTGAGGTCATTTTCAATTCTGTTACTCTGTAATTCTAATTTCAAATCAATTAACGGCTCATCTCCAGAAATTGTGGGTGCTTTATCTCTGGAAGTTTTCAAGAAGAGATTGGACAACCGTTTGGTCTGGAATAGTCTAGGCTCTCCGGCTTGAGCAGGGGGCTGGACTAGAAGACCTCCAAAGTCCCTCCCAGTTCTATTCTGGTTGATTGATTGAAATGGTCTAGGGTCTCCTGCCTTGAGCAGGGGGCTGGACTAGAAGACCTCCGAGGTCCCTCCCAGCTCTGTTATTCTGTCATTCTAATCCCCAGTCAACTAACCAGTGGAGCAGTTTGCCTTCAGAAGTCATGGGCGCTCCATCTCTGGAGGTTTCCAAGAAGAAACTGGGCCTCGATTTACAACGGTTCATTTAGTGACCATTCAAAATTACAACGGCACTGGGGAAAAAAGGGACCGACAGCCGTTTTTCACGCTTAATGACCATCGCAGCATCCCTGTGGTCACGTGATCAGAATTCAGACACCTGGCCCCTGACTCACATTTATGATGGTCGCAATGATCCCCGGGGTCATGTCATCCCCTTTTTTGCAACCTGCTGACAAGTGAAGTCCGTGGGGATTCACTTAACGACCGTGTTCCTAGCTTAACAACCGCCACGATTCATTTAACAACTGAGGTGGTTAAAACGGGGCAAAATTCACGTGAGAACTGTCTCACTTAGCTGCAGAAATCTGGGGGTTTTTTTGTGGCCGTAATTCGAGGACTGCCTTATAAAGCAAAGCATATGTGATTTTTCTCTTCCTATCCTGGACAGGTTGACGACTTGAGCTTCTCCTGGGAGTCGGTCAAAGCCCTGAAGAAGATCTTGGTTCCTGCACCCCAAAACCCACGCTTCCGGAGCCGAGAACCGGCGCCCGTGTGCTTGCACCCCCAACTCCCGCGCGAATTCCTGCCTCTTTGCGCTAAGCCGAAGGCCGCCAGCGTGTTCAGGGCCCTTGGTAAGTCAAAATGGTCCTTAAATGGACCGAGTTTTAGTCTGAAAGGGGCTGGATTTGAATGCCTTTCAGAGTCTCTTTTTAAGCTCCTTCTATTAGATTAAAAAACAATTTACTTTTTGTGGGACCCCTGGCGCTCTCTCTCTCCCTCTCTCCCTCTCTCTCTCTCTCTCTCTCTCTCTCTCTCTCTCTTCCTCCTCCTCCTCCTCTCTGCAAACCCCCCTCCCTTCTAGCACTGATGAGGTTCCCTAGTTGGGTCATGAAACGTCTGCAAGAAAAGGACCCACCTCAGGGAACACCCAGGACCCCATAGTCCTTCTCCTCCTCTCTTCCTTCCTTCCTTCCTTCCTTCCTTCCTTCCTTCCTTCCTTCCTTCCTTCCTTCCTTCCTTCCTTCCTTCCTTCCTTCCTTCCTTCCTCTTCTCCTCCTCTTTCTTTCCTCTTCCTCCTCCTCCCCCTCCTCTCCACAAACCCCACTCCCTTCTAGCCCTGATGATGTTGCCTAGTTGGGTCACAAAACATCTGCAAGAACCCCCCCCCCCAAAAAGAGAGCACCCGGGACCCCACAGCCCAACCCTCTATCAAAACTTCCGCTCTAATGACTTACAACTGCTTAGTACTCCTCGCAGGCGGCTGACAGTTTGGGGAGCCGGGAAGAGGGAATCCCGTAGCACGTAGCAGACCGTTTGGCCGACTCCTAGCCGACCAGGTTCGAAGTAGCACAGGTGAAGGTTGTTCAGGCTGGGCGGCCCTGATCCTTATTCCACTATCTCTTGTCTTCCTCGGCTTCAGAGCGCATCGCCAGCGATCCGGAGACCTGCGAAATCTGCTTTAACGTCGCCTGCTCCGGATGCTAAGGGAGAAGCGTCCGTGCTTCTGGGCCCTCCTGTTGTGACTGTCTGCAACCTCCTGCTAGAAGTCGCCTCCGTCGCATTGCGTGTCACCTCTGTGGACTGCGGGACTGGTATCGAGAGAGGAGAAGCCACGCAAGGCCAGCCCTGATGATGTTGCCTAGTTGGGTCATGAAACGTCTGCAAGAAAAGCACCCACCTCAGAGAACACCAAGGACCCCACAGTCGTCGTCGTTCTCCTCTTCCTCCTCCTCCTCCTCCTCCTCTCTGCAAACCCCCTCCCTTCTAGCTTGATGATGTTGCCTAGATGGGTCATGAAACGTTTGCAAGAAAGCAACCAAGCTCAGAGGGCACCAAGGATGCCACAGCTCTCCTCCTCCTCCTCCTCCTCCTCCTCCTCCTCCTCCTCCTCCTCCTCCTCCTCCTCCCTGCAAACGCCCCTCCCTTCTAGCTTGATGATGTTGCCTAGATGGGTCATGAAACGTTTGCAAGAAAGCAACCAAGCTCAGAGGGCACCAAGGATGCCACAGCTCTCCTCCTCCTCCTCCTCCTCCTCCTCCTCCTCCTCCTCCTCCTCCTCCTCCTCCCCCTTTCTCAGTAGCTGGCTTCACACATTACCCTAAGCCATTCTTTCCTTAACCATGGTTGGTTGGACAATCCACCCTCGGCTGGGTTCCGTCGCGTACTCGGCTTACTTTGGGCTGTGAAACTTAGTTTTAAAAGAACTAAGCCCAACGTAAGCCAGAAACGGTACTTTTTTGGCTCAACAGGTAGGGAGATACGTTTGGTTTTTAACTCTTTGCCGCAAAAGCTTACAAGTTTGTGCTCTTGGCACGTTTCTGCCACGATCCTCCATGTTCACTCCACTCTCTGCCCACGGAGTCTCCCCGGGCTGTTTCAGGATTTTCTCCTCTGCTCCATCCCGTCCTTCAAATAGATTTATTTTTGTACTTCTGCAGCACTTAAGCCTCTGCTTGCTCCACTATTTGGTGGGTGGAAGCCCCTAAAACGGGCCACCCCAAAAATGAAGCTGCCCTGATGGGAAACAGCTAATAAAATGCTTTTATGGGTCAAATCCTCTCTGAAACGGTTTACTTATTCCACTGTCTCAGGGGTTGCCACAAAGAAGAGGGGGTCCAGCTATTCTCCAAAGCCCCTGAAGGCTGGACAAGAAGCAACAGATGGAAATTAAATCAAGGAGAGAAGCAACCTGGAACTAAGGAGAAACTTAGGAACAATTAGTCAGTGGAACAACTTGCCACCAGGAGTTGTGGGTGCTCCATCCCTGGAGGTTTTCAAGAAGAGATTTGTTTGAAATGGTGCAGGGAGTTGGACTAGAAGACCTCCAAGGTCCCTTCCAGCTCTGATTGATTGATTGAAATGGTCTAGGGTCTCCTGCTTGAGCAGGGGGTTGGACTAGAAGACCTCCAAGGTCCCTCTCAGCTCTATTAGCCTTTTATTCTGTTCGGCCACATTCTGCCACTGGCTCCTTTGCTTCGATCCTTAGATATTTTCCCCCTGGTGTCTCATAAACAGCTACCACCAATGCAAGTCTCGCCCTGCCCTATTTCCAAGCAGCCAACAATCCCGGTTTCAGCAGGGGCATCCCAAGGCCAGACACTTAGCCAACATCGGAAGGCGGTCTGGGCTGTCTCTTAAAACCGGGTGCTTGAAAATACCGGCTTGTGAAATTTGGAACTCTTTGCAAAGATCGTAATGTTCCTAATGTTCTGTGTTGCTCGCCTGCCCTCTGTTGCACCTCCACGGAAATGTCTGGAGGGATTTTAAATCACGGTCAGTTTTCAGGGTCAATGGAGAAAGAGAAGATAAATAAAAATAAAAATAAAATAAGGAGTCTGGGAGCTGAGATTTTGTCTTTTAAAAAGATTTGCGAGTTGGAAAAAAAAACGCTCTCAGATTCCTTCCGGTGAAAAGCTATTTTTTAGAGACTTTTTTTTAAAACCCCAAATAGAGTCAAATCAGATTAACAACAGCATTAATTCATTTACGCCAGTCCTCGATTTACACTACAAGCAGCGGCATGACAAAGTAGCAACAATGGTGCATTGGAAGATCTGCAAAAAATATCATTTGCCTGTAAGCAAAAACTGGTGGGATCATAAAATAGAGAAAGTCATAGAAAATGATAAAATTCAACTGCTCTGGGACTTCAGAATTCAAACAGACAAGCACCTGCAACATAACACCCCAGACTTAACAATTGTCGATAAGAAAGACAAAAAAGTCTGGATAGTGGACGTGGCAGTGCCTGGAGACAGCAGAATAGAAGAGAAAGAACTGGAGAAGATAACAAAATACAAAGACCTACAAATAGAAATAGAAAGACTGTGGCAAAAGCAAGCAAGGGTAGTACCAATAGTAATAGGCTCCTTGGGTGCAATCCCAAAACAACTGGAGCACCACTTGAACACCATTGGCATTGACAAATTCGCTATTAGTCAATTGCAAAAGGCGGCCTTACTAGGAACTGCTTCCATCCTGCGACGATATCTGTAATACCATCAAACATCCACATCTGCCTATCCCAGGTCCTGGGTAAGGACTCGATAGGTAGACAAAATGCCAAATCCAGTCTGAACATCTGGCTGACTGTGCGATGATCCATAATAATAATAATACAGTTGGAAGGGACCTGGGAGGTCATCTAGTCCAACCCCCTGCTCAGGCAGGAAACCCTAAACCATTTCAGACAAAATCTGAGCCTGAAGAATTTCAGATTCCACTCCAGCCTATCCATTGCCCTTTGTCTGCACACAGCTCAGTGTGCAGATGTGACATCACAATGGCTGGGTGTCCAGAGAGGCTGGGCGCTGGGTCTTCCTGGGGGCAGAGCTTCTCAGCCTCCAGGCATGGCAGGGGGGCACCAGAAGACTCTGGAGGAGCAGCCTCAGGGAGCGGAGGGGCAGGAGGCAACTCTGGCATCGCGCTGGCCCAGGCTGATGGGTCCAGGCTAGAGTGACATTTCCCCCCCCCCCTTGACGTTTTTTATAGCTCCAGGCTCATTGCTGCACTTCAGAGGTAAGAAAACCCGCACCCAGAGTCTTTAGCATCAGAAGGGCTGTCATCTCCCTGTCCGTTTCCAACCTACAAACCCAAAATTCCCAGCCAGCATGCCAAGTTCAGGATGCAAAATAAATAAATAAACAAACAAATAAATATTTATTACCTGTAGTGCTTTCTCTCCACGAAGCCCGAGCAGGGAATAAGAAAATCATAAACAGCATTTGGAATCAAACCAGCGCAATAAGCCCTAAATAAATGAATAGCCAACTTAAAGCAGAGAGACAGGGAAAGAAGGAATAGGGATGAGCACTCAGTCAATCATGGTCACTTCTGAAAAAACTAAGTTTAGTTACAGTTAATAAGGAGATAATAAAACAGCATTTGGAATCAAATTTGCACAAGAAACCCTCCGTTCGAATAAATAAATTAGCTTAGTCCATAGCCAACTGAAAGCAGAGAGACACGCAAAGAAGGAATATGACTGAGTACCCAGGCAATCATGGCTAATTGAAAAGCTAAGTTTAGTTATAGATAGTCCTTGAGTTATGACTACAGGAAAATGGTCAGCAAGGAAGACCTACGAGGCAGGACCTCCACCGTCCACTACACACCATCCTGGAGAAGTATTAAAAGGTGAAAGGCCATTCAGCTACAATTGATGCAACTGTCAGCCTTTCATCCCATCGTAGGCTGGCTACAACCTTCCTCCGTTCTTTGTTTTATAGCTCACGATGAGTACTAGTCAGAAAAGAGGACAGGTCACCAAGCTTAAACCAAGACCTCTTGGCCTGAAAGAAGGTAAGCTTCAAAGGACCTCTTATTGAAGGAGTCCCAACTTTGAAGGGTTCACACAACCCTAGAAATGGTGTAGGGTCTCCTGCCTGGGCACAGGGGTTGGACTAGATGACCTACAAGGTCCCTTCCAACCCTGTCATTCTAGTCTAGTCTAGTCTAGTCTATATTCTACTCTATTCTGCATTCTATTCTATTCTTTCTACTCTATTTTCTTCTATTCTATTCTATTCTATTCTATTATTCTATTCTGTTCTGTTCTGTTCTATCCTATTCCATATTTTCTATTCTGTTCTGCTCTGTTCTGTTCTGTTCCATTCCATTCCATTCCATTCCATTCTATTCTATTCTATTCTATTCTATTCTATTCTATTCTATTCTATTCTTGTGAACTGAGCATGTGTCCTCTTCCCGAAACCAGGATTGACCGAGATGTACCAGGGGGAGCTGCTTTGTGACATCACTCTCGTGGCTGAAGGACAGAAGTTTCCTTGCCACAGGTAAGAGCCCCCCAGGGTGTCCCTTTGCAGACCAGCCCTGCTCTCAGCTTTATCCCCAACGGGTCCCTCTCATTGCAGGGCCTTGCTAGCAGCCGTGAGTCCTTATTTCCGGGACGTCTTCATCAAAGGTGGGAAAGAGCTGGAAGGGACGGAGGTCCAGCTGCAGGGCGTGTCCCCGTCCATCATGCAGAACATCCTGAAATACATCTACACGGAGGAACTCGCACTCACACCCGAGCTGGCGCCCTTACTCTTCACGGGAGCCAGCCAGCTGCAGATCACCCCCTTGCAGACCGTCTGCTGTGGGTAGGTTTCCAGAGGTTGAATGACAATTTTGCAAAGGGCTTCTTTGATCTCTAATAGAGTTTGATCTCCTCCCTAAGATTTCTCAGTGGTCTCCCGTCCAGGCCACCACCAGGCATGCTCAAATGGGAGAGCCTCGGAGGTGAAAGCAAGACAGAACAGGCAAGACCCAAAATAAGGTTTTTCTTTTTCTTCTGTGCTTAGGAAACTACGGTAGCTAAATCGGTTAACAGTCGAAATAATTGATTTTTAAAAGTTGGTTTAAGAAAAAATCTAAAAGAGCTTTTTTTAGGGGATAAAAGGAACCAGGCTAGAAACCAGGAGCACCAAGGATCTCCCAGTCCTCCCTCCCACTCCCTCCTCCTCCTCCACCAAACCTACTGCCTTCTAGCTTGGAGGACGTAACCTAGCTCGGTTATGAGACGTCTACAAGAAAACAACTCAGCACCAAAGATCCCCCAGTTCAACCCTTCTCTCCTGTTGCTCTCCTCGTTCTTCAAAAAAAAAAAAAACCCAACCTGCCCTTTTAGCTTCTCTTTGAAGACCAAGCTGGTCTCTCCTTCTCCATCTCCTTCTCCTCCTAGGTTCCTGGCGACCCATATTTCCATCCAGAACTGCTTTGAGATGTATTCCCTAGCTCGACAGCATCACAGCCAGCCACTCCTTCACGCCGTTCTCCAGCTCCTGATCAATAACTTTGACCGGGCCTTTGAAGAGGACAATTTCTTCCAACTGGACTCCGCTGATCTGGCCACTGTCATCTCCTCCGATGACCTTGAAGTCGCTTCCGAGCTCAGAGTCTACCAGGTCGTGCGGCGGTGGGTGCAGAGCGAACCCAGGAAGCGCAGCTCCTTCCTCGGAGAGCTCTTGTGCCATGTGCGCTTCCCCCTCTTCGGCCCCGAGGAGCAGGATGTACTCCAGGCAGATCTGGAGAGATGGGGTGACCTCGATCTAGAACAGAAAGTCATGGACGGCCCGGAACGGTTGCAACAAAGCCGTGCACTGCGGCAAGGCATGTACAAGCCACACATTCTGTGCATCGACACCCAGATATGTGAGTATCAACCGCTGGAGAGCGAAGAGACCCACATGAACTGCTACGAGCCGCAGGCCGAAACCTGGGAGAAACTTCCCGGCTTGAAGGCCTTGACCCACTCTTGTTGTACCTCCAACGGAGACAGGGTCTACCTCTCAGGAGGGGTCCACAAGAACGTGTACTCCACTGCCGTGTTCGAATTCAACGCCTTCACCAACCATTGGCTGCAGCTCCCATCCATGGTGGTGCCCCGGGTGGCCCATGGCTTCGTGTTTGACTGCCAAAAACTCTATGCCATGGGTGGCTGGTGCAGATTCCAGAGTTTCTTAAGCCTGGCCGAGAGCCTTGACCTCGCCACGGGGACGTGGACCCCAATGGCCAAGCTGCCCTTTGCCCTGAGCCACCCGGCCTCTGGCGTGTTACGACAGAAGGTGTATCTCCTCGGGGGCGCCACGGGGATCTCAAACCACTGGCTGTTCCATAAAGGAGTCTTGATCTATGAGATGGCTTCCAACACGTGGACACAGGTCCCTCTGGCCACGGGCTTCTTCGCTGCGGGAGCCGTGGCTGCTGAGAACGGCCTCTACGTCTTCGGAGGATACACCGAGAAGAAGTTCGAGGACTGGGAAGAGAGGGCACTGGTGCCCGAGAATCGTCACGGCACCCGTAAGTGCTTCTTCGTCAACGAGGCAGGCAAGGTGAATTTCAACGTGGCCATCCCCAAGCTGCGGCGAGCACTGGCCAACGCAGGGGTGGTGCGCTGCGGGAAGCGAATCTACGTGTTGGGTGGAGAAGATCTGACCCAGCGGTACAAAGCGATCTACTCCTGGCAACCAGGTGAATCCCGCTGGCACCGGGCTGGTGCCGAAATCCCCGTGCTGCGGGAAGGCATCAGCAGATTTGGTTGTGCGACGTTGTTGAGACCCAAGCCTCATATTCTCCAGCTCTTCCAAGTGACCTCTGTGGTTGTCACGTCGGCCGTCCCGAAATCATAGTTCCCACCACCCTCTTCGGCTTCACGTGTGAACATCAAGTGGGAATTGTCAATAAATTCTACTGTAATGACGTACAATCACGGCTGGCTTCTATGGGCTTTGGCCTGCTAGCCTATCAAGGTTACTCAAAGGCTACAAAGACTGAGGACCTCAGAACGCTCAAGGTTTCCCATGGAGCGACATTCCGATGTCTCCAACGCACCAAATCCTAGCAGGTGTGACAACATCCCATTTGGAAGCTGTTGGTGTCTTCACCTGACCTCAAGTTACCATCGGCTAGAATTTCATGGAGTTTGGTGACTCTAATATTCAAGTTCCTGTTTTCTCGTTCTTTTCTTTTCAATAAATTCAAGGGCCAATGGAAGGCACAGTCTGGGGGGGGGGTCTCTCCTGTGGGATTGGGTGAAAACATTTTAAACATTGCAAAAGTAATATAATTTGCCCAGATACCCAGGCCCCTCCCTCACAAATGAAAGGCAGACACGCACGAGTGTAGGCAAGGGAGTACTTTTTCTTTCTAGACTCTGTGGAACAAGGGGGTCCCCACAGTTGGGGGCCCCAGTGTGTGTGTGTGTGTGTGTGTGAGAGAGAGAGAGAGAGAGAGAGAGAGAGAGAGAAGTAGAGAGAAGTAGAATGAGAGAAAGAGAGAGGGAGAAAGAAAGAGTAAGAGAATGTGAAAAAGACCAAAAGAAAAAGAGAGGAGAGGAGTAAGAGAAAGAATGAGAGAGTGAGAAAGAAAGAAAGAAAGAAAGAAAGAAAGAAAGAAAGAAAGAGTAACTGAGAAAGAATGAGACAAAGAGATGGGATAAGAAAGAAAGAGAGAGAGAGAGAGAGAGAAAGGAGAGAAGGAGTAAGAGAGAGAGAGAGAGACAGAAATAAAGACAGAATGAGAGAGGGAGAGACAAAGAGAGAGAAAGAATAAGAGTGAGAAAGACAGAAAGAGAAAGAATGAGAGAAAGAGAGGGAATGAGAGAAAAACACAGGGAGAAAGAGAGGAGAGAAGCAGTAAAAGACAGAGAGGGAAAGACAGAAAGAGAGAACGAGAGAGAGAGAGAGAAAGCAGAAGAAAGAGAGGGAATGAGAGAGGGAGAGGGGGCGAGTCCCCTCTCAGCAGGCGGGCCCCTCCAGCCCGGTCAGGGCCACAGCTGTCTTGCGGAAAAGCTCCAGGATGGGCTTCTTGGGCAGTTTGACGGCGGCACAGCCGAAGCCGCTCACCCCCCAGTTGGCAAAGGGCAGCCGCTCCTGGCAGCAGGTCCAGCGGGGGGCACCGGGCTCCCAGTAGTAGACGGTGTTGTAGTATTCCTCCTCACTCTCACCCTGGGCCCGCCGGCCCCGGCCCAGCGCCACGTTTTCGCCGCCCAGCACGTAGATGCGCTGTTTCCAGCGCACCACGCCAGCCCCGGCCAGCTCCACGGGCAAGGGGGGCACAGTCACGCGCCGGTCCACACGCCCATCGGCACCCAGGAAGAAGCAGCGTCGCGTGCAGCGCAGCCCATCCGCCTCAGGTCGGCGGTCACGCGTGGGCTGGTGGTGCCGGGTGCGTCCACGGAAATAGCCGCCCACAACGTAAATGCCCTCACTCATGGCCACGGCGCCCGCCCAGTAGCCGCCACTGCTGAGGAAGGCCTGGCTCCACTGGTCGGCGCCCACCTGGTAGATCAGCACTTTGCGCGACGCATACCAGGCGCCCACCTCCTCGGTTGCGCCACCCACCAGGTAGAGGCGCCCCCGTAGCGCAGCCGCTGCAAAGTGGCTGAGCGGCAGCGGCAGGCGGGCCACACGTGCCCAGCGCCCCTCGGCCAGGTCGTAGCTCTCGGCCGAGTCCAGGTAGTCCTCAAAGTCACGCCAGCCACCCAGCGCGAAGAGGTGGCCGCCCCACGCGAGGAAGCCGTGGGAGGCCCGCGCCACTGACATGGACGCCAGCCGGCTCCAGCGGCCCCGCAGTGGGCTGTACTCGTGCAGTGCGTTGGAGTAGGAGTCGTCGGTGCGCACCCCACCCGTGACGAAGAGGCGGTCGCGCAAGGCCACGCAGCGGGCGCAGTAGAGGCGCTCCTGCAGCGGCAGCTTCTCCCAGCGGTTGGCCTGCGGGTCGTAGCAGCCCACCTGGAAGTCTTTGGTACGCAGCTCAGGGCCCTCCAGGTTGAAGAGGTCCACGCAGACGATGCAGGTGTCGAACATGCCACGTCGGAGTCCCCCACAGCGGGTTAGCCGCTCCTGCCGGCTCAGGCGCCGCCAGCGTGGACGCAGCTCCTTGGGCCGCTGCAACAGCTCAGCCTGCACCTGGCGCAGCTCCTCTGGGGTGAGGAGCGGGAAGCGCACCTGGGTCAGCAGGCGGGCCAGGAAGGGGAGGCGCAGCGCACTCTGGGCCTGCACCCAGCGCCAGGCGGCCCGGTAGACCAGCAGCTCTGAGGAGACCAGCAGGTTGTCGGAAGCCAGGATGCTCTCCAGGGTGCTGGGGTTAAGGTCCAGGAAGGCAGGGGCCTCCTGGGACAGACGCTTGAAGTGGGCGTGCACCAGGCCCTTGGCCTCCTGGAAGAGCACAGGGTCGTTGTGAGAGTAGCCCAGCTGGTAGATGCTCAGGCAGTTCTCCGGAGAGAGGTGTTCCAGTAGGTAGCTGCGGAGAGAGGAGGGGGCATAAGGCCGCAGAAGCAACCAGAGCCCCACCAAGGAGGGAGAGAGGAAGGAAGAAAGGAAGAAAGGAAGAAAAGAAGGAGATGGGGAGAGGGACCTTGGAGGTCTTCTAGACCAACCTGCTGCTCAAGCAGGAGACCCTATACCAGGTGGGGTTCCCCCACCCAATTAAAAACATCCAGCAGGCATTGTGCAGCCTAATGCTTACCTGGAACAGCTTTCCAGCAGAGGTAGGATCTGGAGGCGGCTGGCTGCTTCATACAAATCTTCGGCAATCTCAGGTGTGAGTACGATTTCTTCCGTGTAGTAGTATTGCACCACCGCTTGAATAATGGAGGGATCCATGTCCTGCAGGAGCACCTCGCCGTCCTGGCATTCTCGGAAAGAGTTGGAGAACATGGCTCGGAAATAGGGGTTGATAGCCGCCAGGAGTATCCTAGGATCAGGAAACACACCAGAACTGTTGCTTTCCCTCTGGCTTTCCAAGTGTTTCCTGCCTGGCCAAAGAGGCTTCTGTTTTTCCACCTCAATTCTCCGGGATTTGCCAACATTTTTTTCTCTGCAATTTTGGGGACTGATCTTACTGTAGTAGAGTGGCAGAGAGAAATAAGATTCACTTATTTTGGGGGGGGGGGTGTTGTTACCCAGGTCTCCTCCATTAGGCAGTAAATTCTGGGCACCCTTACCGCTGTAACACAAAAAAGCTAAGTGCACCATAGCACAATACCTGTGACAGGGAAACCGTTCCCCTTTAGCCACGATAGTTGTGTCGCACAGAAGCTCTTCCTCATACAGTTCTTTCAGGCCTGAAAAATAATTCGGACTTGTTACCGCGTTTGTGAAGAAAGACACAAGCTCTTCTCAAACAGAACTCTGCATTGTTTCCAGCATGCGCACAGGATTATAAGAGAGTAAGCCGGCACACAGTGAGGAATACATCGAGGTGTTTGTATAACACACTCGTGGCTGCCAGTCTATTGCTTTTGATGTATAATCCCCACTGTGTGCCTGCTTACTCTCTTATAATCCCTTTCTCTCCACTGAATGTAACTACAAACGCTTCTCTTTTTGGCTAATTATTTCACCGCCATCGGAAGGAGCACTCCAAGAACGAAGGAGTAGAGAAAAAGAAAGACACTCCCGATCACACGATTTCCTCCTAGTGACCGCTTTGCTTAATGACAGAATTGCCAGTCCCAAGTCTGGTCACTAAATGAGGACTGCCTGTATTTTAAGGGCATCTTCGGAGTCCATTTACACCTCCAAAATACTATTTAAAAAGTCCCGTTAACAACCTGCAATCCTCAAACACGGAGGCCGTCCTGGGTTGCATCTTTCCACGGAAACCTGGTTAGTCTTGTTCTAACCAGGGCTTGTTTTCCTGAAGACAGGAAACTGACCTTCACGTATGTAGTGATCCAAAGGTTTGGGTGGATCCCCGGTAGGATTCTCCTCTCTGTTTGGCAGTGGATTCATTCTTGTGCTCCAAGGTGATCCCAGAAAGGGAAGCCGTGTTTTTATGTCTGAGCAAAGAAATCAGAGAGAAAACTCAAGAGAAGAACGACAATTAAAGAGACCGGAATTACGAGTTCAAATCTAAAATTGTTATCTTAGTGTAGGGTTTTTTTAACCCCCCCCCCCAACCTTGACAATTTTAAGATGTGTGGACTTCAACTCCCAGAATTCCTCAGACAGCCATAACGCACCTTCCTCCTCCTCTCTCCCCTCCCCCTCAGAACAACAACCCTGTGAAGTGGGCTGACCTAAGGCAGATTGTCTGGCCCAAAGTCACCGAGCCAGTTTCAGGGCTAAGGCAGGACTCGAACTCATGCTGCCTCCTGCATTCTAGCCTGGTGACTTAACCACTAGACCAAACTGCCTCTCTTTGAAACGGGGTCCTTTGAAAGGGAGAGTTGGGTGGGTGGGTGGATGTCTTACCTGGGAGGGGGGGTGTAAGTAAAAAATGGAAGTTGCAGATGCCTGGAGAAAGATTGTGCGATGAAAACTTACATGTCTGCACACACAGACACGCTCAGCAGCACAAGGATACACACACACACACACACACACACACACACACACACACACCTACATGCTGGAGAACATTCACCCTTAATTCCCTTAAGAACATTCAGCAAACAGAATGGAAACAGCAGAGAGAGAAATGCAGAAGAATTTCCTTTGCGTAGCGCTAATTTAGAGAAATTCATGCAAGTTTACAGAGGGGGTGTGTTTCCTCCTCCCACTAGGCCTTCCTACCAACCCCCCCACTCGACCTTGACCTGTCCTTTCACCCCCTACCTTTCTCCAGACTGGGGGGGGTCTCACTTTCTCCCAGACCCTGAAGCCAAATTGGCCCTAAGTGTCAGCAGGTGTCCCATTGGCTCACCTGGGACAGGTGTCATAGTCCATTTTTACATAGGGGGGGGGGTTCTCTGATGTGCTCATCCCTGATTGTCTGCCTGCAAGGATGGGGGGGGGCGGGCAAGCCTGGCCCAGATGGAGGAGGGGAAGGGGCTCTTTGGGGGGGGGAGCGAAAACCTCTGAAAAGAAGGAAGCGTAAAGGTGACTTGATCTCCAGTTGAAAATTTGGGGCTGTAAATATTTCCTCTTTACGCCGTTTCTCTGTTCCCTTAAAATATGAACAGACTAAGCGTGGTCTGAGAATCAGTATCTCCACTGGATAATGGACAGTTAAGCTGAAGCTCAATTAATCCAACTAAAAAATGGCAAACCTGGGGGGGGGGGAATCCTTTACCCAAACTTCCTCAAACCCCCAAATCAGTTACCCAGACCTAATCCACATATCGAAGGATGAGGTCTACGGAGTCAATTAAATCAGATCTCCCAGAGGAACTGCACGTTCACAGAAATAAACACACACACATACACACGCACACACATACACACCCCTCAAGTGTCACTCTAGAATCAGCACGTACACACACTTCCACGCCCAGGACAAGCTCCCCCTATAAAACAGTCTCTCGGCACCCCGTTTCCTGTAGCTGCCCTTACAGGCAAACTCCTTGCTTTTAGGAATAAATATTTCTTCTTTCCTCACAGCTGTCTGGATCTCATTTTTATTTATTCTTGTAGGAACCCAGCTCAAACTGGAACCCCAAATTATTCTTCTGATAAGGGGAAGGAAGCCAGCAGGAACACATGACGGCTGGGAACGTGAGCAAGGCCCTTCACCGCAATCCCGTCGCCAGATTGGGCAAGAGGATTGCCCCATAACGAAATGTAAGGAAACCCGTTTTTTTCCCCCTCCCGGTTTCAGTGCTGTTTCCTCATTTGGGACCTCAGCAATAGTGTCGGAAAAGGCTGCGGAAGCAGAATCCGGGGAGAAAAGGGGAAACCCCAGTCCAAATTGCTCAAAATGCCAATCATCCCTGGGAAAAAAGTGAAGAGGGGTCTCCCAGGGCACGGCTAAGCGGAAGGACCCCCTGGCTGAGACGTTAAATAGAGCTGCCACGGGCAGGACAGAAGGAATAACGCTTGAGGAAAGATTGCTTGAGCAAGGGGTTGGGCTAGAAGACCTCCGAGATCCCTTCCACCTTTTTGAAGTTACGGTGGCCCATTTGGGGAGAAACGACTTGCTTAATGACCAGGACATTTGCAGAACAACTGCTGTGTTCACTTAATGACTAATGCAAATGGCATTAACCCAGGGGTCTTTGAACTTGGCCCTTTGATGACTGGTGGACTTCAACTCCCAGAATTCCACGCATGCCTGGCTGAGGAATTCTGGGAGTTGAAGTCCACCAGTCATAAAAGGGCCAAGTTGGAAGACCCCTGCGTTAACCTATGACCCCTGCCTTATCCTATAACCCTGCCTTAACTTTCTTTCTATCATTCTGGGCTTAATTAAAGTTATAAATTGAGGGTTACCTATATGATTGGAGTCCCAATCGAAAGCAAAAAGACCAACATTATATCTTCTTAGAACATTCTTAGAACAGAATAAGAGCTGGAAGGGACCTTGGAGATCTTCTAGTCCAGCCCCCCGCTCTAGCAGAAAGAACCTATAATATACCATCTCAATTAAACCAAACGCAAGGGATTCCGTTCCTAAAAATCGCCAAACGTCCTGGCTTTGTGCCGACTGGCCCATTTGCCAAATGATTCACCTCCAATAATTTGCATTTCTCCTGCATTTTCAAAACAAACATTACGAACGGGGAGGGCTTCCCGTACATCGGCCCAGTGCGAAGCTACCCTTTTTATTTGTCTGGAGGAGGGGTTTGATAAAACTTCTGCTTGCCTTCATAGCTTGGATGAACTTGGTCATGAAAGCTTGTACACCAATTTAAACCGTTTGACGTGATGTGTGAAGACAGTCCAGGGGGGCTTAGTTACCTAACAGTGATTAAACAAATCAGTGTTGACTGCAGTGGAAAAGTTCAACTTTCAGCCCTCCAGTTTGAGCAATACCTTGCCTTGGTCAATAGCTGGATTCCCTGCAGGAAGGAGAGAAGCAACTTGAAATTAAGGAGAAACTTCCTAACGGTGGGAACAATTAACCAGTGGAACAGCTTGCCACCAGAAGTCGTAGGTGCTTCATCACTGGAGGTTTTTAAGAAGAGACTGGACAGTCTGGAGTGGTAGAGGGTTGGACTAGAAGACCTCCAAGGTCCCTTCCAGCTCTATTCTGATTGATAGAAAGAGTTTTCACAGCCACATCTTCCCAGTTGTCCCTCTCTCTTTTCAGGGTGGGAGACCCACAACTTCAGACAAATGGTTGTCCAGTCTCTTGCTGAAAACCTCCAGAGAACCCACCACTTCTGGAGGCAAGTCGTTCCACTGGTTAATCGTGGTTTCTCCTTAATTCCAGGTTGCTTCTCTCCTTGATGAGTTTCCATCCCTTGCTTCTTGTCTTTTGCCTTCTGGTGCTTTGCAAAATAAGATGACCTCCTCCTCTTCTAGGATAATTAGGTTTTGCCTAATCTGGATTTGTGCCTTTGCTTTTTTGTTTGTTTGTTTGTTTGTTCCTGCCTAGCTGTCAAACTTTGCTTTTCTCCACATTAAATGTCCCTCCTCTACGGGAAATGTACAGCTGGATTTTTCAGATCTGGGTGCTTTGCGAGGGTGTCAGCAACAACTCGGCCCCTCCCTGCCTCTCCCTCCGCCCACCCGGGCCGGCCTCTTCCCGGCCGAGCCCGCCCCTCGCCTTGCCTGCCTCGGCCTCCCCGCTTCGGGCTAGTCGCTGGCATTTTCGCTTTTCTCCCGCATCTAAATGAGGACGCGCCGTTGTCTTTACGCAGCGCTGGCTTGTTGCGCCCTGGAGATGTTATGCCTGCAGGTGAGTCGCGTCCCCCATGCAGCCCCCCCCTCCTTCGCCCTCTTCCCCCCCCCCAGGACCCCAGGACCCCTCTCCTGTCCTGGGGGAACCTCCACCGGGGATGGAGAGAGGGGTCCCAGCTTGCATCGTCCGGCACCAAAAGCCTGGGGGGGACCTTTATAGACAGCAGGTGCGCTCGGATGGGAAGGACTTTCTCTTTAGGGCAGGGGTCCCCAACTCCCTGTCCGTCGTCCCAGGACCGGCAGCGGGCCGCGGCATGCCAAAAACCGAGCCGGGGGATCCAGGCAGCACGCGAAACCACGGATCCCCCCCACTCCGGTCCGTGGAAAAGCCCCTCTCTCCACGGAACCGGTCCCTGGTGCCCCAAAGGTTGGATGGCACCGCTGCCTTGGAGGTCTCCTGGACACTCATTCCCATCGTTCCCAACCGGGATGGGGGAAGCGTCTGCTTTTCTTCTTGCCCTCCCGCGCCCCCTCCCCACTCACTGACAAGGAAGAGCGAACCAAGGGGGCGTCGGGGGGTTGTTGGTTTTTTTTTTTTTTTTTTTTTTACAGAATTCGGTTTCCCCTCGTTTCAAAGGCGAGGGGAAACTTCTTGTCGTGTGAAAATTTCCGCGCGTCAAAGGTCGGCTTTGCGTAGGCTCCCTTTAAGGGTGTGGGGGGGACAGTCCTGACCCAGTTTTGTGGGAGTCAGGCTGGACTTTCCCGCGAGCGCTTTTTCCTGCCCCCGGAGTGCCTACTCGGGAGTAAATCCCAGTTTACAAGCCAGGCTGCCGTCCTGGATGGGGCTGAAAGCCGATGCGTCTGTCTGAAGGAATGGTTAACGAGTGGAACGCCTTGCCTCCAGAAGTTGTGGCTGCTCCATCACTGGAGGTTTTTAAGGAAAAAAATGGACAGCCCTTTGTCTGGAGGAGTCTAGGGTCTCCTGCTTGAGCAGGGGGTTGGACTAGAAGACCTCCAAGGTCCCATGCAGCCCTAGGATTCTACAATTCTTAGATAGATAAGATAATGATTACGGCATCCGCTGGAAATCAGAAGGCCATGAGTTCAAGTCCTGCTGTAGGCACGAAGCAGCCAGCCACTCTCTCTCAGCCCTAAAATGGCAAATCACGTCGGAAAAAACCTTGCCAAGAAAAAAGCAGGGAATTGTCCAGGCAATCACCAGAAATCCACACAGGCTGGAGAGGATTATTGGGTTGAATCTGGCTTATAAATTGGTAATCTGTGTCCATGTTTGCCTCGCAAAGGGGCTGATTTTTTTTTAGCAGATGTTGTTGCTAACCCAGCTCGGAGAACAGGAACTCTGCAACTTCCCTTAATCAAAGTCAGCTCCCGTTTGATAGTTCCTTCTTTTGATTACATCCGTGGTTCCCTTTAAATCTAGAGAGGAGAGCCTCTAAGGTGACGGGGCCCAAATCCAACAGGTAAAGCAGCCAACTGGCTTTAATAGCCCCCCCTCCCCGCCTCCGTGGGTTTTACTCTTTGATTTTTGATGGGGAAAAAATCTTTGGTGAAACCTGGAAGAAATAGAAAAAGCTCTCCCCGTGCAAATAATTTTAGGGTTAGGGTTTCTCGACTTTAACGACTCTGAGACGGGTGGGCTTCAGCTCCCCAGCTGGGGAATTCTGGGAGTGAAAGTCCACCCGCCTTAAAGTTAACGAGGTTGAAGAAGGCCGATTTAGGTGACCCTCCAGGAGGGTGAAAATAGAATTTTAGTGCCGATATAGTCCTTCAGCCCTAAAACACCTCAGCCCCTTTCAACCTCTGGATGTAGCTAACCTTGTCCTGTTATGTTGTGATTGAAAATGGAACACCGGGGGGGGGGCAATGAGTATTTATTTATTTTATCTATCTATCTATCTATCTATCTATCTATCTATCTATCTATCTATCTATCTATCTATCTATTTTTAATTTGTCTGTCTATTTCTAGTAGACAGCTAATCCTGTCCTGTTATGTTTTGGTTGAAAATAGAAAACTGGGAGTCGTATCTCTCTGTCATCTATCTCAATCAATCTAGCTAGTTAGCTAGATTGGTAGATTGACAGCTATCTATCTCTCCATCCATCTATCTATAGCTAGCTAGTTATCATCTGTCTCTCTATCATTTAACTCTCTATTATCTAGTTAGCTATCTGATCGATCGATCTCTCTAACTATCTAGCTATCATCTATCTCTCTATCCCTTATCTATCTGAATCTATCTATCTATCTATCTATCTATCTATCTATCTATCATCTCTCTCTATCATCTAGCTAGCTATATCTGTTATCTATCATCTAACTAGCTATCATTCTCTCTTTCTGTCATCTATCTAGCTATCCAGCTATCATCTATCATTTCTCTCTCTCTATTATCTCTCTTTCTCTCATCTATCCAGCTGTCTATCTATTATCTCTATATATTATCTCTTTGCTTTTTCCCCCTGTAACCAGCCGGGCTCATTGTGAATTTCCCCAGCCCTGATGTAAATTAGAAAGAAGAAAGTTTCTTTTCATTCAGAACTAGGTAGGAAAAGACGTTCTCTTATTCAAGCGTGCACACACACCCAGAGAGACACACATAGAGAAGGACACACTACGTGGTTTACATGGTGACCGTGTATGGGCTGGATTACAGGAAGCGTGACTCAAAGCCTTTGCGAAGTGTGAGTCTCACGTTTACAATTCAGCTCTATTTTGGAAAAAAGCAAACACGACTTTATAAATGTTATTGGGCCCACTGGAAACTTAAAAAGCCACAACCAGCTGTAGCTGCCAAGGCACCTTTTTCTGCAAAAACATGAGCTTTGTCAGTCCCACAGAGAGCGGAAAGAGAATTTATTAGTCTCTTATTAGAAGTCGGGTTGGAGCAAATGCCTGCTCAAAGAGACCACAGTTTTAAGTCTGTGTCATGACATAAACTATCATGGCTTCTCCCAAACACTGATTTGGCCTCCCCCCCCCAATTTTGCCCTGAAACTATGAAATTAACCCTCGATTAAGCATGAAAAATATCGTTCCTTGGAAAGGGACAATGAATCATTAATCCGTGAGAAATCAGACTTCATTAATTGTAGAAACTCAACACTGGAACATTCACAACTTCTGGTGGCAGGTTGTTCCACTGGTTAATTGCTCTCTCTGTCAGGAAATTTCTTCTTCGTTCCAGGTTAATTCTCTCCTGGATTAGTTTCCATCCGTTGCTTCTTGTCCTGCCTTCGGGTGCTTTGGAGAAGGACACCAAGCTAAGGGTAGAAGCTGATTTCAGAGTCAAATTAAGGAACCCAAATTTGAGGAAGCTGAGGATTAATTTTTGATTTTTCTTTTAGCAAAGCACGACGGCCATGTGCGGCATCAGCTCCTTTGGCTGTTTTGCAATGTGGCCCATTGCTTGCTGAAAAAGTGGAGAGTCATCCCAGCAGAAGTAACTATGGGGTGAACTTAGGCAAAAAGACAGCAAACACAACCAACCGTCCCTGGGGAGAGCCTGAAGTTTTCCTGCCCCAGCTCATTAGATTTCTGGAATGGACTGGACTAGAATAGAATAAGGAATAGAATAGAATAGAATAGAATAGAATCTGGAAGGGACCTTGGAGGTCATCTAGTCCAACCCCTGCTCAGGCAGGAAGCCCTACACCATTTCAGACAAATGGCTGTCAGTCTCTTCTTAAAAACCTCCAGTGTTGGAGCATCCACAGCATTTGATCAAGAATGTGACACCACCACCAAGCCGGTGAATTTGACCTTTGGAAACTGGAGTTTGTTGAGACTGATTTGCCAAACCGTGGTTTCTGCTACCATTACAAATTGCAAAAAAAAGGGGGGGGCAGTTTTGCACAAAAGGGAACCACGTTGTACAAACTGGGGGTGGGGGAGAGAGCAAAACTGTTAAGAAACCAATCTTGAACTTACTAAGACCCGTTTGGTTCAAGGTCCTTCAACTGAGGAAGAGGGACGATTTCCAAATCTCCTGAGCGGATTTCTCTCTCTGTGTGTGTGTCTCTGGTTACTTAACAGCAAACCACGATCGATGGTTGCCTTCTAACTAGCAAACGAGGGCTCGGCTTTGTCCCGGGAGACAAAACCGTTTGTTTCGTGATCGGAGGAACCTCTAGTAATTGAGTACAGATAGTCCTTGACTTACAACAGTCCGCTTAGTGACGGAAGTTACAAAGGCACTGAAAAAAGGCGAATTAGGACCCTTTTCACACTGACGATCATCGCAGCCTCCCGCTAGCCACGTGATTAAAATTCAGACCTTTGGCAACTGACTCTCACGATGGTTGCAGCATTCCCGGAATCACGCGATCCCCTTTTGAAGCTTTGTGACAGGCAAAGTCAAGGGTGGGGGGGGAGGCAGCTTCATTTAATCAAGGAAATTAACAGAGCCTCCCGCGGTTACTCAAAGCCTGCACGAAAATAATCATAATAAAAAAAATAGAGTTCCTGTCTTTGTGGCTTCTCGGGAGATAGTTAAGCGTTTCCCTTGCCGAAAAAAAACCCCACAATATTAACGGAAAACGGCTCAGCTTCCCCTCCGCTTCCGCTCCAGAATTAAAAGGACTGAAATCGGCCCAGATGACAGGCAGTCCTCGGGTTTACGACTGCGATTTGGCCCGGCGTCTTTGTCGCTAAGCGAGACAGCTGTTCAGCGAGTTTTCCCCACCTTTCTTTCCACCGTCATTCAGCGTCTCGTCAAGTGATGGGTGTTGAGTGTGAAAAACGCTCCCACTTTTTTCCCCGGTGCCGTTGTGACTTTGAACAAGGGATCAGCTACAGTCCTTGAAAGAAAAAAAGGAAGAAAGTCAGAAATAAGGACTGTAAGATTCTTGAAAAAAAAAAGGCAGTCCAAAGCTTGTTTCGGTTTAGTTTCTGGACGTTTCGTTACCAGACTAGGTAACGTCATCAAGCCTGGATATATACGATATAGACAAAAAACCCGAGCTACGAGAATTTTCTATTATTTCGAAGCAGGATTTGCCCCCAGCTTCTTCGCCAGGGAGGCAGTAAGGAGCAGTGGTCGCACTCATCTGATTGCAAACTGGTTTTTCTTCCAATTTCTGCAGGCGCAGGTGCTGCCTTACACCCCCTCCCGGGGGTCTCGGTGCCTCGACCCCAAAGAAGAGTATTACGAAGAAAGCGTGCACAAATGTTGTCGCTTGTGCGGTCCAGGTAGGGTGCTGAGCGAGCGGCTCCGTGGATTAGTGGTTCTTAATTCTTCATCATTGATGAACCGATTCTGGTGAGGCTGGACGCCCAGACGTGGAAGGGGGGAGACCCCCAAAGTTCTCAAAACAGATTGGGCTGAACCTATCCGCAGAACTGACTTCCCCCCTTTTTGCCATTGCAGGTTTCCGGGTGCTTCAGAAGTGCAACGAGACTCACAACACGCAGTGCGCAGACTGCAAGGAAGGGTCATACAAAGAGGGCTGGAATCGGGCCCGGTTGTGTTTCAGTTGTTCACCACAATGCAAAAAAGGCAAGTGGAAGGCAGCCAGCGTTGACTTCCAGGGTCAGGCTCAATAAAGAGGATGATGATGATGAGGAGGAGGAGGAGGGGAAGGAGAAGGGGAAGGGGGGAGGACTGTGGGGCCCTTGGTCCTCTCTGAACTGGGTGGTTTTCTTGCAGACGTTTCATAACCCAGCTAGGTAATATCATCCGTGCTAGAACTAACCACCACCCCCTTTTTTTCCAAAACAGGATTTGTGGAGGAAAGGCCTTGCACCCCCACCCAGAACAGAGTCTGCTGGTGTCCCCCAGGCCACTTTTGCAGCTCGGCGGTCTCTGAGAAATGCTACCACTGCCAGCCCTACCAGAAGTGCGAGATCGGACACGGAGTGGTCCAGGAAGGTGAGCTTGGGGGCTCGGTCGGTGCCCGTCCAACATACCACACGGAAAATTGGGGTTTTTTTTCGTGCTACGTCGCAAAACGAGGTTGGGTGACAGCGAGATCCTGGCCTGTTTGAAAAGTCTATTTGTAGCTAGAAATTGAAATGGGGAGTCCTTTGGTGGTCTCTGAGCTGCGTGTTTTTTTATGGCAGACATTTCGTGACCCAACTGGGGAATGTCATCAGTGATAGAAGAGTGGAGGGTTTGAAGACAGGTGGAGGAGGAAGAGGAGGAGGAGAGAAGGATGAACAGAAGGAGGAGGACAACTGTGGGGTCCTTGGTGCTCTCTGGTGGTTTTTCTTGAGACGTTTCATGACCCAACTAGGGAACGTCATCAGTGCTAGAAGGGAGAGGGGTTTGCAGGAAGGAGGAAGATGATGGGAGAAAGAGGAGGAGGGGGAGGAGGAGGACTGTGGGGTCCTTGGTGCTCTCTGAGCTGGGTGGTTTTCTTGCAGACGTTTCATAACCCAACTAGGCAACATCATCAGTATTAGAAGGGAGGGGAAACGGAGGAGGAGGAGGAGGAGGAGGAGGAGGAGGAGGAGGAGGAGGAGGAGGAGGAGGAGGAGGAGGAGGAGGAGGAGAAAAAGACTATGAGGTCCTTGGTGCTCTCTGATCCTGATTGTTTCCATGCAGACGTCTCATGACCCAACTAGGGAACATCATCAGGGCTAGAAGGGAGGAGGAGGAGGAGGAGGAGGAGGAGGAGGAGGAGGAGGAGGAGGAGGAGGAGGAGGAGGAGCTGGGTGCTTTTTTGAAGTCCTTTCACGACCCAAACCAGGGAACAGCATCATCATTCCCAGCACATCATCCCTTAACAACAGTGGCTAGAAAGGTCGTAAAACGGGACAAACACTCCCTTAACAACTGTCCAGCTTAGCAACAGAGATCTGGGGCTGGATTGTGGTCGTAAGCCGAGGACTGCCTGTACAGACAGGAGCTGGGGAGGCCAAGATACTGGAGGAAAAAAGAAGTTCTTCCCACCCAGCCAGAGACTCCAAAACCCAACGTTTATCAACGGGAAAAGGAAGTTTAACAAAAAGGCAGGAAAAGGCTGGGCATTGCAGCCCGGAGTCGGTGGGACGTTAGCCAAGCAAACTCCTTTGCCTTCAGCTTTGGAAATTCAGAATTCCCAAGGAAGGAATGAGCTGGACACCCTCGACTTACGACCACAAGGGACCCCAGAACTTCCGTTGCTAAGTGAGACGCTAGTTAAGCGAGCTTCGCCACCGTTTTACAACTCGCGGCAAGCTGTGCAGTGAATCTGGCTTCCCCCCCCCAACAACCCTGTTTCCCACCTTCACAACGGCAGCGATTCGCTTAACGGCCACGGCGAGAAAGGCGGTAAAACGGGGCAAAATTCACTGGAGAACTGCCTCGCTTAGCAACGGAAATTCCAGGTCCCATTGCAGTCGTATGTCAAGGATTCGAAAGAAGAAGGCTGGAAAGCCTTTGAGAGGGGAGGTGGTTGCGTTGCAATTTCTGATATCTTTGTTTTTGCCTCCATTATCCTGGTTTCCCCCACCTTGTTGTTGTGTGTTTCCAAAGAAACACTTTTTTCCCTTCTTTTTCGGGCTCCAAAGTGTCTGTCCAAGTTTTCAGCTGTTTCCTCTCCTCTCCCTCCGTCGAGTTGCGTCCCCTTTTCAGATTTTCCCATTTCTCTGCCAGGCACGAGAGAAACGGACGTGGAGTGCGCCCCGTGCCAACCGGGCACCTTCTCTGACCACGAGTCTGACCGGAAAGTCTGCACCCGGCACCGGATGTAAGTTTGTGGTTGTGTTGTTTGGGGAGAAGGACGTGGTTAAGCCCTGGCAGGAAAAAAAAAACCACAATTGCAGGCCTCCAGCCTATCAAATTATTTATGATTATTTGTTACATTGGTTGGCTGCCCGAACTGTCCCCAAAGATTGGTCAAAAAAAGAACAATTAACCAATGGAACTGCTTGCCACCAGAAGTTGCGGATGCTCCATCACTGGAGGTTTTTAAGAAGAGACTGGACAATACATTTGTCTGAAATGGTCTAGGGTCTCTTGCCTGAGTAGGGGGCTGGACTAGAAGACCTCCAAGGTCCCTTTCCAACTCTGTTATTCTATAATCCCTGACCAATTAAAAAAAAGAGAGAGAAAAATGCTAAAATAAAAATTGGCACCGCACCCCAGGGGTTGGGAAAGATGACCTCTAGATGCAATACCTAGCTTCTTTCCTGGAAGCACCCCCATCGTCTTAACAACCATGACTTTCTGCTGACTTTCTGAGGGTAAGAAAAGTTGTGTCATAAAAATGTCACGTTTGCACAACAGAAACTTTGTCTGGAAACTCCTCCAGTTTAGATTACTTTTTGTCACTTGTTTATTTTTGTTGTGTTTCCCCCCACACACACACACACACACAAGCTGCCAACCGGTGCTCGTTCCCGGAAACAGCAGCCACGACACCGTTTGTGGCAATCCCGGTGGGCGCGTCAACGCCGGGACGACTTCTCCGCCACTCACAACCGTTACAAAGAGGCCACCGTTGCGCGCTGGGACCGAGAGGCCGACCTTTAACGATCAGGATCCGTCAGCAGACACCGGTGAGCAAACATGCTGGCTTTTTCATCCTGGGTAGAAAAAAGATGGTTTAGTTAGAGGAGGGGGTCTCTAAGCATTGCAACTTTAAGACTTGTGGACGTCCACTCCCAGAATTCCCCAGCCAGCATAGCTCTAAGACTTCCTGCCTGAGCAGGGGGTTGGACTAGATGACCTCCACGTTCCCTTCCAACTTTATTATTATTGTTGTTGTTGTTGTTGTTATTATACTTCAGCTCCCAGAATTCCCCAGCCAGTCAGAGGTCTCCAAACTTTGTGACTTGTGGACTTCAGCTCCCAGAATTCCTCAGCCAGTATAGCTCTAAGACTTCCTGCCTGAGCAGGGGGTTGGACTAGATGACCTCCAAGTTCCCTTCCAACATTATTATTACTGATCATCGCACAGTCAGCCAGATGTTCAGACTGGATTTGGCATTTTGTCTACCTATCGAGTCCTTACCCAGGACCTGGGATAGGCAGATGTGGATGTTTGATGGTATTACAGATATTGTCGCAGGATGGAAGCAGTTCCTAATAAGGCCGCCTTTTGCAATTGACTAATAGCGAATTTGTCAATGCCAATGGTGTTCAAGTGGTGCTCCAGCTGTTTTGGGATTGCACCCAAGGAGCCTATGACTATTGGTACTACCCTTGCTTGCTTTTGCCACAGTCTTTCTATTTCTATTTGTAGGTCTTTGTATTTTGTTATCTTCTCCAGTTCTTTCTCTTCTATTCTGCTATCTCCAGGCACTGCCACGTCCACTATCCAGACTTTTTTGTCTTTCTTATCGACAATTGTTAAGTCTGGGGTGTTATGTTGCAGGTGCTATTATTATTATTATTATTATTACTACTACTACTACTACTACTATGACGACGAGAATGATGATGATGATGATTGTTGTTGTTGTTATTATTATTATTATTATTATTATACGGCGTCTCTCTGCTGCCCTCTAGTAGCTGTTTAGAGTTTCCACAGCTTAGATGCGATACACAGCAATACATCCTAAACCAGGCTGATGAATTTCCCGTGGTTTTAACCCGATTTTCCCCCAGTTTCTTTCTTTCTTCTTTCTTCTCTTTTTTGCAAGCGCAAAAAGTTTCCAGGTACCTTCGCCTCGAGTCTTCCCGGCACAGAGAAGGCAGACGGAAGCTGCGATTTCTTAGCACGGCTTGGCCATCCTAACTGTGCCTTTTTATCCGTTTGTTTTGTGTCCAGGGAAGATTGTCGGCATGACGGCTATCCCGCTGGTGCTGCTAGTCCTCATTGGCTTCGTCGCCTTCAGAAAAAGTGGTAAGTTGGAGGCTGAGAAAAAAAAAGGCAGAATGGAAGACTTCTCTTCACGTGTTATTTCCTTGTTATTAAGGGTTTTTTTTAAAAAAAAAATCAGTTTGTTCCAATCAATTAATTGTTCCAACAATGAATCAGTGGAACTCCTTGCCTCCAGAAGTTGTGCGTGCTCCAACACTGGAGGTTTTTAAGAAGAGACTGGAGAGCCTCTTGTCTGGAATGGTATAGGGTTTCCTGCCTGAGCAGGGGGCTGGACTAGATGACCTCCAAGGTCCTCTTCCAGCTCTTAGCTGATTGATTGATTGATTGAAATGGTCTAGGGTCTCCTGCTTAAGCAGGGGGTTGGACTAGAAGACCTCCGAAGTCCCTTCCAGCTCTATTCTGATTGATTGATTGATTGATTGAAATGGTCTAGGGTGTCCTGCTTGATCTGAACTTTTCCTAAAAGTTTTTAATTTTCCCTCCGGCAGGCCAAAAGTGTCTTCCCATGTGGGAGAAGAAAAAACAGGTGAGCGCTGATTTTTTTTTGCCTCTCTAAATCAGAATTTGAGCAGCTTCGTCATCAGAGAAACCCCAAAAGTGAAACGGGGCCTCCATTTTTTTCCCCTGCTGTCTGAGCCCCTCAATGAGGACTTGGAACTTGCATTGGCGAAGGGCATAAAGAGTGGAAGTGAAGTCCCAAAAACAGGAAAGCTGCCAAATACCATTTGGGTCTGGGGTCCTGGCTGATCAATGCACCCCTGATGTTTGGCTTCTCCATTTCCTTCCAGCCTTTCTTGCCGGCTGAAAAATTCCCGGGCAAGTGGCCACAGGTTCCAGAGGCTGTGGGGCAGGAGAAGTACAGCCTCTTGCAGACGTCGCCCTCCGGCCTTTGGGACGGTCCAGCCGGGTCTGAGAAGAGCCAAGAAAGCAGCAATGGAGACCCCCACCGGGTGAAAACGGACAGCGTCGAGCAGGAATCGCTCCCCCTGAACGACGGGCCGTGCTGCAGCACCGTGGATTCAAGTGAGACCCCTCCCCAACCAGACTAGATCGGGGGGGGGGTGAGGGCACCTCCGTTTCTGGGGTGCCGGGTCCCATCTGGCTGGGCTGGGTCATTGCAAAGCTGAGGATGGTGGGGTCCTTGGTGCTCTCTGAGCTTGTCTGCGAGACGTTTCATGGCCATACTAGGTAACATCATCAGTGCTTTCTTTTTCTTTCGCTCTTCCTCTCTCTTTCCTTCCTTCCTTCCTTCTTTCTCTTTTCTCTCTCTCTCTCTTTCTCTGTTTCCTGGTTTCTCTTTCTTTTCTTCCTTCCTTCTTTCTTTCTTTTTCTTTCTCTCTCTTCCTGTTTCTCCTTCCTTCCCTTCCTTCCCTCTGTTTCCTGCTTTCTCTTCCTTCCTTCCTTCCTTCCTTCCTTCCTCCCTCCCTTCCTTCCCTCTATCTCTCTGTTTCCTGCTTTCTCTTTCCCTTCCTTCCTTCCTTCCTTCCTTCCTTCCTTCCTTCCTTCCTTCCTCCGTTCCCTCTCTCTTTCTATTTTCAGGTTCCTCTTTCTCTCTCTTCCTCTTCCTCTCTTTCTCCTTCCTTTCTTCCTTCCCTCTCTCTTTCTTTGTTATCCGGTCTTTCTTTCTTTCTTTCTTTCTTTCTTTCTTTCTTTCTTTCTTTCTTTCTTTCTTTCTTTCTTTCTTTCTTTCTTTCTTTCATCGATTAAATTTTCTTTCCTTCGTCCACAGGGATTTCAGGAAACGGGAAGGCCCACGTGAACGTGAGCTGCGTGGTCAGCATCTGCAATGGAGGGGGCCACAGGGCTCCCTCTCCGGCCTTGAGCCCCTCGGGGGCCGCCCACCCCAGACCCCGCCCAGACCTTCCTCTCTCGCAGGAAGAAACTGCCGCCAGAAGAGGCTCCGGCCAACAAATTGCGGTGGAGGTAGATGACAGCATGGACTTCTTCGACCCCAGGGGGGGGAAGCCCCTCCCGCTGGGGGTCCAAGACGCCGGCATGAAGAGCTCCTGAGAACGACGGTCCAGCCGGCCGGCCGGCCAGCACAGACAATATTCCAGGCCAACCACTTCCACTCTGCTCGAGAAATCCTACGAAAGACGATAAGGCAGAAACAAAGTTGGCAAAGGGAAAAAAAAAACCTGTTTTGCAATGATTTGTTTAGCGATGGCACTGGAAAAAAGCGATCCTCGCACTTACGACCGTCCCTACGGCCACACGATCAAAATTGGGGCCTTTGGCAACTGGAATGTATTTACGACCGTCATAGCGTCCCAACAAACCTTCCCGGCTGGCTTCTGATGGGCAAATTCAAGGGAGGGATTGGGGGGAGGAGAGCTGGATTCGCTTAACGACCATGTGATTCACTTAACGACAGCATCACAAAAATGATTTTTTTAAAAAGCTATCAATCCGTTTGTTGATTTGGGGATGAGGAAAGGGTTTGATCCTCAGGAGCCCCACCCTTTAATTTGGGGGAGATTTAGGGAACTCTGCAAATGGGGGGGGGGAGAGGAAAGTCTTGGACATAAATTGAATTTCTCAGGGTTTTTTTTTCTCCTTTTGTTCCTGGAGAGATAAAACGGTGAAGCTTATTTTGGGCTGAACTTTCAGTTTTGGGGGCATTTTGCTCCCTCAAAGAACAGGAAGCCGAAATTCAAAAACGCGGAGTGGATCCGAATCTCGGAGGGAAAAAAAATCCGGGAAAGGAGAGCTAACTTTGGGAAGAAAATCTCGTAGTTTAGAGAAACGATGGTGCTGGATGGAGCGGAAAAATAGGCAGCTTTGGATCAAAACCATCCTTTTGGGAAAAATAAGGGCATTTTCGGTCCTCCCCCGAAGCTTGAAAGCATTCTGGCAGTCCTCACTTTACGACTGTTCGTTTAGTGACTGTTGGAAGTTGCAACGGCACTGAAAAAATCGACTTAGGGCCGTTTTTCACACTTAGGACCGTCACGGCGTCCCCCGTGGGTCCCGTGATCAAAATTGGCAGCTGACTCGTATTTACGACGGTCGCAGCGTCCCTGGTGTCGTGTGATCCACTTTTGCAACCTTCCAAGAAGCTAAGCCAACGGGGGAAAGCCGGATTCACTTAACGCCCATTTGAGTAACTGAACAACGGCAGTGATTTGTTTAACCACAGGGGCGAAAAAAATTGTAAAAGGGGGGCAAAACTCATTGTCTTGGCAACAGAAATCTGGGGCTCCCTTGTAGTCGTAAACCGAGGACTTCCTGTAGTTGAATTTGAGGCATTAATTGTCCACAATCCCAGAGGGATGATTTGCAATGATTCTTTAAAAACAAAGAAAACGCACAATATATATATACACACTCTGAGTTTTGGGGGTGCCAAATTTCAGATTAGCTAGGAATGTCTCCCTCTGCTGCCCCCTTCTGGCCACCCAGATTTCTGCAGCCAAATACTAGCTTGAGTTTCGGCTTTTAATCTTGTTTTTGTCGTCTTTTCTACTTTTCTACTATTTCTGAATAAAGTCCTATTTTAAATAAGATAATGGCTTGGGAGACCACCATGGTTACGTTTATGACGGCTTGTGCAACATGTTAATTCAACCCTCCAACGGTCTTCGGGTGTGGTGAATCCTTGTTACTCCAGGTGTCACCACCTCCCCTGCTCTGCCCTACCTCCCTTCCCCATATAGGGATTTAGAGGCCACGCTAACCAAAAAACACCCTCCTCCTTTTTAGTGTGCTTGCTTGTCACACCTGACGGGTTTCAAACTGCTTTTCCCGGCGATTGATTTTTTTTAAAAAAAAAAATCCCGGGATCTCCTGGTGGTGCCCCATCCCAGCAGGAATCCCGCTCTGAGATCCGCCTTGAGATTTGTGGCTCGACACCGCCCTCTGCTGGCGGAACGTCAGTCTCGGCTCCGCCCGCAGAGAAAGGGACTAAGCCGCGTCCCACGCCCGCTACGGCAACCGCCAATCAGGGCCGATCCGCGGGAGGAAGCCACGCCTCACGCCCGCCACGCCGCGCCTTCTCCGTCGCCCCGGCAACCGGCTCTTCTCCTCGCCCCGCCCTCCCACCAATCAGGGCCGAGATGGGCCGATTCGCGGCTCGGCGCTCAGCCGGCCGGGCTGCGTAGCCGGGCCTCGACCCGACGCGGGGCGGGACTTCCGGCGGGGCCGCCGCCGCCGTGCCGCGAGCAGCGTCGCAGGTTCGGAGCAGGGCCTGGGCGGGGGGGCGGCTCCTCAGACCCGGGGGGGTCCCTTGGGGGGCGCCGCGCGGCCCCCCCGCCCGAAGGAGGCGGAGGGGACTGTTACCTCAGGCCGCGCACAGCCTGTCGGGAAAGGAAGGGGAGGGGGAAGCGCGGAGGAGCGCCCCCCGCCCTCTCGCTCGGCCCCCCAACACCAGCCCTGCGAGGTGGGCCAGGGCCTCGACCACCCCCGTATTTATCCCCCCCCCACACACGTAACATAAGATAAAACATAAAATAAGATAAAACAAAATAATAAAATAAGAGAAGGTAAATAAAATGTAAATAAATAAAAATAAGTAATAAGAAGTATATGTAGGGGTGTGGGTCTATATACAGATGTTGTACATAGTATGTTTAGGCGTGTGTCATGTATGTGTTTCACTCAGAGCGGGCAACTAAATTTCATTTTTGATGTGGGCTGTTGTGCCCACAGTAAAAAAAAAAAAAATAAAGGTTATTTTATCTTAAAATAAAATAAGGTAAATAAAATAAGGTAAATAAACTAAGAGAAAATAAGGTAAGTGAAATAAGAGAAGGTAAATAAAATAAAATAAAAGGATGTTTCTGCTGCTGCTGCCCCCCCCCAACCTCTTTCTTTCACGAGGGTCTTTTTTCTCCCCCTTTTGGTGTATTCCCTCCTCCTGAGGACAGTCCTCGACTTACGACCACAGCTGACCCCCCCAAAAAAACTTGCTATTACTAAGCGGGTTCGGTGAGCTTTGCCCCGATTGATGACCTTTTCTCGCCACGGTTGTTAAGCGAGTCACTGCAGTTGTTAAGCCAGTTGTGCGGTCGTTAAGCGAAACCGGCTTCCCCCGTTGACTTTGCTTAAGGTTGCAAAAAGGGGATCATCGCCTGACCTCAATGAGGCTGCGGCCATCACAACTGTGAGTCACATCCATGAGAGAAAAATAACCTCTGCCTGGTGCAATCTTGGCATGGCACCTGGGCTTTATTGTGTTTTATTCTCTTTGATCTGGGTGTGTGAGGCAGGTCTGGCTGCATTCTTTGTGTTCCTCCCCAGCCAGAAAAAAATAAAAGAGTCTGGAAAAGTTTTGTTTGTGTTGTCTGAAGGGCTGCCTTTCCTCTCTTCCTCTATTTTGACTTAAAATGAATGTATTATTTAATGTCCCTGCTCCCTCCTTTCTCTATGTGTGAGAAAGTGTGCTCTTCATTGGCTTCTCCCTGGAGCTCTTTTTCGTAGACTGGGAAGTGGCTGCAGGGGTCGACAAACCAATGTTTGTTTCCGTGCAGAGAGTGGGCCTGCTCTGAACCATGGAAGGAAGGAACCGGGAATGATGGACTGAGTCTCCTCATTTTCTATAAGTCGTCATGTTGGAAGGGCTGATAGCGTGGGTCCTCAACACTTACCTGGGCAAATATGTCAGCAACCTGAACACAGACCAGCTCTCAGTAGCTCTCCTCAAAGGTAAGGTCTTTGGGTAGATTTTCACCAAATCTTGCCATCCAGTGGCTTTCGGCCCCTTTGGGGCTTTAAATGGGTGCCAAAAAAGCACCGGATTAACTCTGGCAGGAAATGAAAACAATGAAAATAATTCTCCAGTGATGGTGGTGGTGCTGCTCCAGGTAGTCCTCGATTTATGACTGCATTTGAGCCCCCAAATTTATGTTGTTAAGATACTTCTTAAGTGAGCTTTGCCCCATTCTACGACCTTTCTCAGCCTTGGGTGTTAATGGAATGGTCGTAATTCCAGCAGCGTCTGGAATGCCCTCATTTCCATGTCCGATGTAAACCATGTTATTAACTTCCCATTATCCTTATTTTCACGAGACTTGTGCGAAGATGAGATAGTGTGCTTGCTGGCTGAGTGATCAGCATTCAGGCTAAGCTGTGGCTTGTTGGCTCTTCATACATCACACACTAGGTCAGCAGTCATTGTGGTAAAACCCTCATTGTCTGGGCTTGTAGCTCTCCTGCTGAAAAAGTAAAATGCATCGTTTTGTGGCTTATGACAAGAAGGGCAGCCAGCCTTGTCTCTTTCCCTTATCTAGATATTCTGGGATATTCAGGGCATCGTCAGAAAGGGCTGGGCTTTGGCTTTTATTTAGGCTTTGCTATCTTTTCCTATGTTTTGCCTTTTTTTCCCCCTTTCCCTTCAGGGGCCGTAGAGTTGGAGAACTTACCGCTCAAGAAGGATGCCTTGAAGGAAGTGTTGCCATTTGAAGTGAAAGCTGGTAGATATTTGGGAAAGAAGGGGGGGAGAGAGGTGGAGAGAGAGGGGAGGGAGGAGAAGAGAGACAAGAGACAGAGAAAGGGGGAGATAAAAGAGGTAGGGAGGGGGAGAGAGGAGAGGGGTGGGAGGGCAGATGAGAGATAAGATAGAGAAAGGAGGGAGGGAGGGGGAAAGAAGAGGTGGGGAGGGAAGGGGAGAGGAGAGGAAGGGAGGAAGGAGGAGAGAAAGAAAGGAATGGAGGGGAGAGAAGAGAGAAAGACAGACCCTCTAGAATAGGGGTCTCCAACCTTGGGCCCTTTAAGACTTGTGGAGCAACTCCCAGAATTCCTGAGGCAACCAGGCTGGCTGGGGAATTCTGGGAGTTGAAATCCACAAGTCTTAAAGCGCCCAAGATTGGAGAGGCCTGTTCTAGCAGGCATAGGGCTGTTTAAGACTCCTCCTGCTGGGATGGTGGTTTGCATTCAGACCTGGCCCCCTCCTCCTGATCCGCGTGGATCGTGTCCCGTTCCTCCCCCTCCCCAACTGCAGGGTTTGTCGGCAAGATCACCTTGAAGATCCCGTTCTACCGTCCCCACATCGACCCCTGGGTGATCTCGGTCTCCAAATTGTACCTCATCGGCTCGCCCGAAAAGCAAGAGGACTTTGTCGAAGCGAGAGAGAGGCTGCTGGATCAGGAGAACAAGAAAGCGTTTCTCCTCGCTCTGGAAGAAAAATGGAAAGTGAGTCCATTTTGCATGAAAGAATAAAAAAGTCGAACCATTTCTACTCTTCGGCTTGCATCGGAGACCCCAAATCTGACTCCGTGTTCTCAGCATCTCCAGCAACAACATCCCGAGTACAAAAACTGGCTTTTATGTTTTGAAATAATCGACCAGATGAGCTGAGATGGGTAGAAAATTTGTATATATTCCCCGCTTCTTAGGCCTTTTCAAGCTGTGCCTGTATTTGGTGAGATGACATGTTTTGTGAGATGCAGTTTTATCACTCCATCACAGAGGTGGAGAAAGCAGCAGACGGAGAGCTGATTTTATTTTAATTTCTCATTTTTATTTTTTGATTGGTAAAATGTATTGGTCCTCCGTCTTACCACACGGCCACTCTTAATCTTAAAAAGATTTAAAACCATACGGAAGCTTTTCCTCTTTTGCTGTGAGCTCTGCAGCTGAGTGGAATTGTTCTGTGGACCATCTTGGCCAAATGGGATTTATTTTGACCTTTTGGGCCCTTGATTTATTTGCTGGCTTCATCTACTGCCTGAATTGGAAGACTCTGGGGGGGGGGTTGTTACAAGGAAGTGGGAACACAAAACCCCACAACGGTATACATCACACCAAGGTGGCCCCTCTGCCCAGTCAATTAGTGGCTTCCTGAGAAACTGATTAACCTTAAAACCGGAGTTTGAGCTGAGTTTTCTCTCCTGCCTGTCCTCTTTTTTTTAGAAAGAACGGGAGCAGATTGGAGAATCTTATTGGTATTCAGTCACCGCCTCGGTTGTCACAAAGATTGTGGAGAACATCGAGGTAAGTTGAACGGCTGGAGAATTCTGTACAGGCAGTCCTTGGCCGGCAACCGTCGTAAATATGAGCCAGTTGCATCTGAATTTGGATCACCCGACCGCTGCAGCGGTTGTAAGTGTGGAAAAAGGGTCCTAAGTCTCTTTTTGGGGGGCTGTTGTCACTTGAAACGGTCACTAAACGAATCAGAACAACATCCAGATTCGGTCACAGTTCTGTTCCATGTGGCGTCAGTGACCTAGGACCCTTTTCCACACTTAACGACCATTGCAGCATCCTCACGGTCACGTGATGAAATTTGAACCGCTTGCAAACCGCATTTATGACGGTCGCAGTGTTGGGGTCATGTGATCTTGTTTTGATAAGCAAAGCCAGTGGGGAAGCCAGAGAGACCCCCCACCCCTTGTTTTCCCTCTACCCACCAGCTCAACATTCAAGATGTCCACCTGAGATTTGAGGATGGGGTCACCAACCCCTCCCGGCCTTTTGCCTTTGGCGTCTGCATCAAACACGTCTCCATGCAAAATGCCACGGGCGAGCCGGTGAGTAAACACTAACACCCCCCCCCCCCATTAAGGCCACCAAACAGCGGCACCTTTCCCCCACACAATTTGCTTCGTCCAGGGACCACACACCAGCCATTGTCAACAGCCTGCCCTTGCCAACAGGAACACAACCTTCAGCCCAGCCATTGTTTTGCTGCAAGGCAGGAAGACTAACAGCGCAATTGTGTGGCTCACGTGCCATTTTTCTTACTTGAAGGTGGAGGAGCTAATGAAGAAGAAACAGCTGGATATTTCCGACTTCAGCATCTACTGGGACAGCAGCTGTAGCCTGTGGGGAGACTTGCTCCCTGGGGAGCTGCAGGTACATTGCTCCTGTGTTCAATTTACACAACTGTGCACGCTCATCGATGAGATTTTTTTTAAAAAAAAACAACCCTGAATTAACATGGTTCTGATTTCCAGGAAGCTATGGATAACAGCATGGAAAACCGGGATCATAAGTACATTGTGGAGCCCGTGTGTACATCTGCCCTCCTCAAGAGAAACTGCTCCAAGGAACCCCTCCGCTCTCGGAATAGGCCACGCCTGGAGTTTGACATCCAGCTGGAAACAATCCCTTTGAAGCTTTCCCAGGTGGAGAAAAAATAAATAAATCAGAAACGTAGCATTCCACTAAAAGGTAGTCGCCACTTTGAGTGGTGATCGTCGTGGTCATCCGAGGACTATTTGTACGACGAATCTATCGTAGTTCCGCCTTCTCAAACAGCGGGGTGGCATTTTAATGAAAAATACTGGGTTTCCCTCCTGGTGTCCAGCAGGGCGTTGTTTAAATGCCAGGACGCTTCTCCGTCCACTGATAACGTTATTTTATCCGTTCAGATGCAGTACCGACAAATTATGGACTTTCTGAAAGAACTGGAAAGAAAAGAACGGCAGCTCAAATTCAGAAAATGGAGACCGAAAGTCACAGTGATGGGAAAGTACGAGTTCTTTTTATTTGTTTATGAAATAGCCTGCCACCTCCGCAGTTTCTAAAACAAGAGGAGGAGAGCCAGTGTGAATCAAGAGTCTGGAGGGATTTTCCCAACCATTTTATTTGATTTACAGCTCACGAAAACTTAACGCCTTCGGCTGAAGTCTGTTAGAAAATGGGCTGCCAAACTCCTGAATTTTTTTTTCCTAAAGTGGTTGAGGAGGGATCAAAGTAAACACCTATTTATACATAATTAGGTTTATTTTTGATACAATATTGAGCGTGGCAGTTTGACGCACACTTTCGGGCATAGAGGCAAAGGACCATGATTCTCATTGACAAACCAAAATGGGTTTTTTGGGTGCGTGTAATGTCACTTTAACCAGCATTTTCCCTCAACCCACCCTCACCCAGCTGTCAGTTAAAATTTTTATTAATTTAGTGGTTCTCAAGCTCTTCTTCACCACCCACCCCCTTTGAATACCCCTTGTGGCCACATTCCACAGCCACGGACCCCCAAGACTTAAGATTTAAATCCTAACATTTCTTTAAGCCTTCACAGACCCCCTGTGACATCGCGAGCCCCCCCTCTCCACGGGTCCACACACCACAGGTTGAGAACCACCGATTTAGGGGGCCTTAACCTAACCACAATTGCTTGTTTGGCTCGTTCCAGCTGCCAAGAATGGTGGCACTTCGCCCTGAACACCCACCTGGCCGAGATCAGAGAGCAGAAGAAGCGTTCTTCCTGGGAATTTGTGTTGCGTCGCGCTCACGATGCAGTCTTATACACAGATTTGTACTACAAGAAGTTGAAGGATTTGCTGCTTTCGGAGGAAGAGCAGGTAATGAGAGCCTGTAGCATCCTGAGACGGTTAAGCCAGCATTTGTGGTTTTCCTTCAGAAGGGCCCTCGCCGATTACAACTGAAACCGTTCGTTGGCACTGAAAAATGCGACTTAATGGTCGTTTTTGACACAAGCATTGCAGCAAAACATTACTTAACCCATTTCTCATTTAACAACCCAAAATCCCTGGCCACGGTGGCCATCGTTCAGACAAGGACTGCCTGCAATCTCTTAGCAGTCCCTCACGGTTTTCTGTTTTCTACCTGCAGGAGGAAATGGAACGCATCGAAGACGAGCAGGCGTTTGAAGAGCTGAAAATCCTACGGGAAGTAGTTTACAACCGGTTCCAGGAACTGGCTGAGGTGAGAGAGGAACCGAAGGTGTTACTAGAGGTTGGCCACTAGTGAGAGTGGCACGGCGGCCCAAATTTTGCAGAGCTGCCCTTATGGCCGGCATTGGCCCTTGCTAGCTCGTTTAATTTTTTTTTAAAACTATTACCATCTGTCAGATGGTCCAGGATAATAAAAACAAAGAACAAACAGGTTGAAAAATAGGTTTTTTTTCATCCCAGAGCTGTAACCATATTAAATACCACAGTATAGCGCGACATTGAAGTGCAGTATTAGAGGCAGTGTGAAGGACATGCGTAATATAAGGTACGTTCTTGTGGTTTTGACTTGTGTGCAGCGTGCACTTAATTTCATTGTGAGTTACACAAGGGCAATAAAGATAATCTAATTCCGAGGAGGCCCTACCAGAAGTTAAGCCAAATATACGCGTATTTGAGTTGGAACGCATTTGTCGCAAGCCCGTGCCGTCCGGGTTAATTGCATTCTTATTTTTTAAATTAAAAAAAAATGGCTCAGGGTGCACTTATTCCCCTACAGACCACGAAGAAGCCCGATTTTCTGGATTCCACCTCGGAGGCTGACCTGGGAGGCGGCCGCAACAGCAGCAGTGGGATGCTGCGGTACCTCCAGTCCTGGTTCCCCGGATGGGGAGGTTGGCACAGCCAGTCCCAAGAAGCGCTGGAAACCAAGGCCATCGAAAAGCTCCTTTCGGACACCGCGGAAGAGTGGCGGCAGGAGGAGATGACCGGTACGTTGACTGAAGAGGCCTTTTCTTGCAGACATTTCATGACCCAACTAAGTAGCATCCTCAGTGCTCTGTGAGCAGACCCGTCTCCCTCCTAGCACTGGTTGGGTCATGAAACATCTAAAGGAAAAACTCAGAGAACACCAAGGACCTCCCAATTCAACCCAAATGTTCTCTTCTATTAATAACTAGCTTCGTAAACCGAACTGGGTTTGTCTTATTGTCCCCTCAGTTTTTTTAACGCCTTGGTACTTTCTTCCCGCAAACCAGGAGCTGATGATTTTTTTGATCCAGCGACCGATGTCTCCAGCATAAATACCTTCACCAAGAGGGACCACGTCCTGGTCAAACTAAACCTTTGGCTGCAAGGTGGCTCCATCACGCTGTTGCATGCAGCGAAGAACAGCCGACAGGCCAGCGAGAAGGCCTTCATGCAGCTGCAGTTTTCAGGTGCTTGGTCCCATTTTGTTCTTGTGAAATGGATGCTGGTCTTAGAGAGAGAGAGAGAGGGAGAGAGAGAGAGAGAATGTGACAGACAGACAAACAGATAGGTATAAAAATAAGTGATAGACAGACAGATAGAAGGATAAATGATAGGTAGATAGGTAGAGATAATAGAGAGAGTGAGAGATAATAGAAAAAATGTCGTCGCCGCAGAGTAAGGGCCTAATTTACATTTCTCTTATAACTGCTGCAAAAGGAAATTGGAAGTCCTGTCTTTATATTCTTATTTTTCCCCCCTCTTCTGCTTCCTGCCCTTGTATCTCGTCTGCTCTCCTATTGAGACGGAGGACTCAAACACCATCAAGCAGAAAGAACTGCCTGGAACAGAACTGAGAATCTGTTGGGCATCTAAGGCTTGTTCTGACTCACGGCTTCTTCTGCCCCCTTTCCTCCCTTAACGGGCTACGTCCTTGGCGGGACTGAGGGCATCCTAATCCTGGTTGGCTTGGTCTGTGTTTTCAGGCGTGACCATCCTGGCGGAAACGCTCCCTCGCAGGAATTCCTCTCTCCTGAAAGTTCAGCTTGGAAGCCTCTTTGTCCGAGACTTAGCCACCGAAGGGACCATATTTCCAGTCCTTGTCTTCCCTAATCCGGTACGTTGAACTCCGTGCCATGCAGGCAGCTTCTTTGCTGTTCCCAAACCTAAAACTAACACTGATAATGTTAGCTAGCTGGGTCACGAAACGTCGGCAAGAAAACAACCAAGCTCAGAGAGCACCAAGGGCCCCACAGGCCTCCTTCTCCTTCTCCTCTTACTCCCTGAAATTCCCACTCCCCTTCTAGCACTGATGATGTTCCCTAGTTGGGCCACGAAATGTCTGCAAGGAAACAGCCAAGCTCAGAGAGGACCGAGGACCCTGCAGTTCAACCCTGAGCTACCGATATTCTCCTCTATCTATCTATCTATCTATCTATCTATCTATCTATCTATCTATCTATCTATCTATCTATCTATCTATCTATCTATATTTCTCTTTGTTTTCTCTCCCTAGCTCAAAGAAGTCGGCTGCGCCTCTTCCGTCAGCCTCCAGACCTCATCTTCCGACACTAGCAACCAAAGCAGCGGTAATATTTTCGTTTTGGCAGCCGTTCAAAATAGTCCCGGCATTTGTGAAATGTGAACAGAAAGAGGGCTGCCTTTTAGTCTTAACGGCCCAAAAACATACGTACTTTGCAGCTTCTTTGTGTAATGTTCAACCTCTTTGAATCCCATCGATCCCATCTTCTTTGCCCAGAAAAAGGAAGCAAAGCACAAATCTCAAAATTCCTCAAAGTCAGTCTGGCTACGCAGGTTGGTTTTTAATTTTGGAGAGCAGCTGAACTATTCAGCCATCGCCAGGCCCTCCAAAAGCAGCTTAAAATTGGACGTCGCCTGCCGGATGATGCTGGAGACTTGTATAATCCTGTTGCCCCATTTCTTCAAGTGAATTATGTGTTTATTATTATTTTATATATATATAGAATCTGAGTTTTGCTGACAGTTACTCTTTCCTCCTCTCTCTCTCTCTGCAGAAGATGCTGTTCCAGTTTTTGAAATGCTGTATGAGAAAAACCCGGCTCGCAGCAATTTTGAGAGACGGTTGGAGGTCAGCACCCAACCCCTGAATATTATTTACAACCCCCAAGCCATTAAGAAAGTAGCTGACTTTTTCTACAAGGGCAGAGTTCTTTCCTCAGGTGAGCCTTCTTGGTCTATTTCTTTTCCCATCTCTTTTTTCTTTTTCTTCTTACATTTTAGGTTGTTTTCCTTATTGGTTTCACCCAGAGATTTAAGATTGTTGTTTGTTTAAGTGAAATGGTTTGTTTTATTGTTAAACCGTAGATTACACGGTATAAAGAAGCCTTTGTCAAATGCAGGGGGGCTTAGTCTGTCTCTGGCTCCTAATCAACAATAGCCAGATTCATTTTTTCAGGCTAAGCCGTGAACTTTATGCTTTAAACTGCCATGCTTTAAGTTTTGACGTGGTGGTGTATTGTGCAAAATCAGTTGTTGTGACTCAGAAGCCACACTTTGCAGTCTGTATGAACAAGCCTTGTTTAAATGTGGCTTAGCGTGATTCTAAAGGACAGGGTGTCTGTAAGCAAAAAATAAAGATTTTTACTTAAGCTTCAAAAAAACAACTTCAGTTGAAATTTAACTACCTGGCTGAAAAGGACCATTGCCTTAACAGAGTTGGAAGAGGCCTTGGAGGTCTTCTAGTCCACCCCCCCTGCTCAAAGCAGGAGACCCTAGACCGTTCCAGACATTCACTTCTTAAAAACCTCCAGTGATGGAGCACCCACAATTTCTGGTGGCAAGCAGTTCCACTGGTTCATTGCTCTCCCTGTTAGGCGTGTTCTCCTTAGTTCTAGGTTGCTTCTCTCCTTGATCAGTTCCCATCCGTTGCTTCTTGCACCGCTGCTGGACACACAACCTCAATATCTTGGTGACCCTTCATGCAGGTTTTGGATGTCAGTCTGAGCTGGAACTGAGAGTGGCCGAAGCTGCCAGAAGACAGTACAACAGGCTCAAGATGCAAACCAAGGCTGAAATCCGCCAGACCATCGACCGGCTGCTTGTCGGGGATTTTATTGTGAGTGTCGCTGTGGGGATCTTTTTTTTTTTTTTTTGCAAGTTGTAACGTGGTTGTGTCTTTGCCTGAAACCCAGGACTTCAGGAAATCCCATTTTGGGTTGGAAGACAGATTAGGCCTACAGCCTAACCAGGGTATCTGAACCCTGACAACTTTTTAAGATGCGTGGATTTCAAATCCCAGAATTCCTGCATGCTGGCTGGGGAATTCTGGGAGTTGAAGTCCATGCATCGTAAAGTTGCCAAGGTTGAGAAACACCGGTCTAAACAGCTTTCTGTTCTAATATGAAAAATACAAGCTGGATTTGACCATCATACTATCCCAACCATACAGGTTTTGGATTCAGCCAGTTGTGGAAAGTCAGCCGTTTTCATTTGTAAACCACGATTTTAGGCTTGTCATACTTCAGTAAACTACGGATTATTCAAGTGCCCGTTTACATCTAATGAAGACAACTCGATGTGTATTAAAATCAACAATCTTGATTAAAATTGGTCCCTTTGGTATATCTGTTGAATTTGTTCCCCTAGGATACACACTTCTAGTAAACCTGTTTCTAGATTTGTTTTTACGGTTATTGTGCTTCTAAGCCTGTGCTTTTAAACGTGAGATTTGTACCTGGAGAATCATTTTGACTGTTCGAAAGATAACTACATTTTGCTTGCTTTTAGGAGGAAAGCAGGCATTGGTCCATCTGCCTGGATATCTCTGCCCCTCAGGTGATCTTCCCGGACGACTTCAAATTTTCAGACCCTGTTTTGGTCGTGATTGATTTGGGCAGAATGCTGCTTACTAATTCTCAAGGTGTGGGCTCTTAATTTATCTCTGAGTTTACAATCAAAGAGTCTGTGTCTCTGCGGGATGGGATAACTCGCCACGGCCATGGGACAACACACTAGAGGACCGTCCCAACAATTCAACTTAATTATTTAAAACATTATTTTAATTTTTGTCATTCACATTTCATATTGTCCCTCCTTTGGCATCCTTTAATGATTCTGTTCCACTGTTTCTTCGATATCAGTGTAACTCTTGTCCCTTGGCAAATTGCCCTGTAGTGAGTTGACCATGGCGAGTTGGCCATGGTGAGTTGGCCATAGCGAGTTGGCCATGAGTTGACCATGGTGAGTTGGCCATGAGTTGGCCATGGTGAGTTGGCCATAGTGAGTTGGCCATGAGTTGGCCATGGCAAATTGGCCATGGTGAGTTGGCGGTGGTGAGTTGATCATGGCGAATTGTCGTAGACCTGTGTATCTTGTGTGTGTTTATCAAAGATCATGTGGCTGATTTCTTACCCTCATTTTCTAGAGGAGCACAGAAAGAAGAGTCCGGACAGCCCGTCTCTAGAGCTGAGCGATTTGAGTGACGACGAATACAAGACTCCTCTTGCTACCCCTCCCAACAGCCCCCCTCCTGAAGCCCACCTGACTGGAGAGGAGGACAAAAACAGAGAGGAGTTTCCGGGCGTGGAAATTAGCGAAGAGCAACTCCAAGCCCACCTGATGAGCAAAAAAATGTATGAGACCTACACCTTGTCCTTCATGGACCTGCAGATCATGGTGGGGCGAGTGAAAGACAACTGGAAGTACGCCCAAGACATCGAGGTGGGCCCAACCCACATGGTGGAGAAATTCAACGTCCATTTACAGCTGGAGCGACGGTTGATCTACACTTCCGATCCCAAGTACCCCGGAGCTGTCCTGTCTGGGAACCTCCCTGATTTGAAAATACACATCAACGAGGACAAAATCGTGGCCTTGAACAACTGTTTCGGCAGGCTGACCACCCCTGACTTGGAAACCCCGGGCCCTTTGCAGGTCGGGAAAGAGCCTCCAGGCTTGGAGCAGCGTGGAAGCCTGCACAGCTCTGTGGTGAACTTGACCCAGAGCGTCATCCTGGTGGAACAACACACCAAAGAAGTCCTGGTGGAGTCGCAGCTGCTCCTGGCGGAGTTCCAGGTCAACTGCATGCAGCTGGCCGTCGAGAGCAACGGCCGCTACATCGCGGTCCTCAAGGTGTTCGGCACCAACGCTCACTTTGTGAAGAGGCCTTACGACGTCGAGGTCTCCCTCACGGTCCACGGCCTGCTCTTGGTCGACACCATGCAGACCTATGGCTCCGATTTTGACCTCCTGATGGCATCGCACAAGAACCTCAGTTTTGACGTCCCGACGGGGAGTCTACGGGACAGCAAAGCTCAGTCCCCGGCGAATGTCCTTAGCGAGCCCCTCTTAGTCCAGGATGTCTCTCTCGCCGAGAAGTTCACCCTGACGTCCCAGAGGCTCTCAGGCGTGTCTCCGAAGCGAGACGAGTCCTTAATCAAGCTGGAATACCAATTTGTCACCGCCGAGTGCCCTTCGATGAATTTGGACAGCTCCCTCCAGGTGCTGACGGTCCAGATGAACAACCTGGACATCATCCTGAACCCGGAGACGATCGTCGAGCTCATCGGCTTCCTCCAGAAGTCCTTCCCGAAGGAGAAGGACGACGGCAGCCCCCAGCCCCTAATGACCGATGCCGAGAAGACCCTGCACGAGCGAGAGATTTTCCAATCCACCCATTCCCAAAGCACGGAGGTGGCCGTGGAGATCCACTGGCTGAACATCCTCCTGCTTCGGACGGTCACCCTGCTCAACCGAGAGAAGTTCGGCCGGAAGATTGCCACGGCCAGCATCGGGGGCACCAAGGTGAACGTCTCCATGGGCAGCAGGCTGGAGGTGAATGGGTCTCTGGGCTGCCTGTATCTGATGGACCTGACCCAGGACAACGTGAGGAACCAGTACGTGGTCAGCATCGGGAACACGGAGCGGTACGGCGTGGGCTACGCCAAGCCCACCTTTCCCCAGTTTGAGGATGCCAGTAGCCTCCCCGATGCCTTGAGCTTCACCTTTCAGGAGCAGTCCCCCGTGGAGTGCTCCCTTCTCCTCCAGATGGCCTCCCTCCATTACAACCACTCGGCCAAGTTCTTAAAGGAGGTATCTCTGTCACTGGACGAGCTGGAAGAGAACTTCCGCAGCATGCTGAAGACCGCGGCCAGCAGAGTGACCACCGTCCTGGCCACCAAGACGGCGGAGTACAGCGAGATGGTGTCTCTCTTCGACACGGCGCCCAAATCCAGAGACCCCTTTAACCTGGAGCACGACGAAGGGGACGAGCCCGCTCCCCTGTACCCCAAGGCGGAAACCATCAAGCTGGTCTTAAACGTGAAGATCGAGTCGCCCGTGGTCTCCATACCCCGTAAGCCGGGCAGCCCCGAACTCCTGGTGGGTCACTTGGGACAGATCTCCATCCAGAACTTTGTGACGGGCGAAGACAACCTGAGGAGCGACCGCCTGCAGGTGGAGATCAAAGACATCAAGATGTATTCTCTAAATTGCAGCCACTTGGCCGGGAAGAAGGACTCGCCGCCGGAGGCGTGGCCCGTTCTGCCCTTGCCATTGGGCAATCCCACCAGCTGCGGCTACCAGGAAGAGTCGCAGTTCACTCGACACGATTTTTTTGAGTCTTTACACAAAGGCCAAGGTAAGCGAACCGGGAGACTCCGGCTGCCTTGCAGCGTCCGGTCAGAATTACGGATTTATCGGCCTGCAAAGGAATTGGGATTGAAATTAAATTTCAAACAGGGTTTGTCAGTCTGGCCCACTTTTAAGATACGTGTCAGTGAGAATGGTTTGTCATCCAGGTAGAGTGAGTTAGGGCAAGTGGATTTGTTTAATGTTGAGGGTCCTTGGTGCTCTCTGAGCTTGGTGGATTCCTTGCAGACGTTTCATTCCCGTTTCATTCAGGCGAGTCCCCTTCCGTTTCAGCTTTCCACATCCTGAACAACGCCACCATCCAGTTCATCCTGGAAAAGATCCCCATTGAGTGCGGCGCGGAGCTGGCCTTCTCTCTGAGCGACGATGTCAACATTGCGAGCCTGATGAGAATCGAGGGGAAGTTTGTCAACCCTCTGCAGGTAAAACACACCTGCAGGGTCTTTCCTTTCTCTGCACCTCCGCTCCCGACCGCGAGGAACCGTCGGCCTGAGGAAGCAGCTAAGCTGGATATTTCTTCCCAGAAGTGACCCTGAGAAAGAACTTAGAAAGAACAGAATTGAGCCAGTTGGCTTGGGGCTCCACTGGGGGAGGGGAAATCAGTCCAATGGAGGGGGCTGATTGAGTAATAACAGATCCCATTCCCCCCCTGCCCTCCCCATGTGTCTTTGGATGCAAGGTTTGATTTTAACTTTTTACGTTTCAGTTAAGATGTAACTGTAAGCCACCCAGAGTGGTAAGGTGGGTGGGCAATAAATTCTACCAATAAATCAATTGTATAAATGAAAAAAAAATTATAAGTAAGTTTTATAAATAAACAAGCCCCCTATTCTAGCAGGAAACCCTATCCGATTTCAAACAAATGGCCGTCCAGTCTCTTCTTAAAAGTCTCCAGTGTTGGAGCATTCACAGCTTCTGGTGGCAAGTTGTTCCACTGGTAACTTGTCCTTCCTGTCAGGGAATTTCTCGTTAATTCCCTCCTGGATGAGTTTCCATCCGTTGCTCCTTGTCCTGCCTTCAGGTGCTTTGGAGAATAAGTGGGACCCCCTCTTCTTTCTGGCAGCCCCTCAGATATTGGCATAGCAACTTTAAGGAGGGTGGTGGCCTTCCATGGTTTATAAACATGAAATATATATATATCAAATAGTCCATAAAATTTGAACTGATTATGTGGTATTAATTTGCAAACCACGCAGGTGATTTTAGCCAAGCACGTCTTCGAGCAACTGATGCAGACGCTGGACAACCTTGTCTGCAATGAGGACTTGACCAAGCCACCGTCCAGCTTCCCGTCGCCCGCCTACTCCAGCTTGGGTTCCCCTTCCGCCTCGCTTCGGAGCCTAAGCGCCGATTTCTCCCTCGGCCGAAAGGAAAACGGCTTCTTCACCCACTCCAGCTTCTCCACCGCCCAATCTCTGCCGCCAGTCAAGGGAGCGGCCCAAACTTTCACGCAGCTCCAAGCCACGTTCCACATCGCCCAGCTCCAGGTTCAGCTGAGTGGCGACCTTACCCTGGGAGCCCAAGGCCTGGTCAGCTTAACCTTTCAGGATTTCGACGTGGAGTTCTCCAAGGACCATCCCCAGACCTTGTCCATCCAGATCGCCTTGCGTTCTCTGCTGATGGAGGATCTCCTGGAGAAGAACCCGGATTCCCTGTACAGGAACCTCATGGTCTCCCACGGGGCCCCCAAACCTTCCCACTTGGCGCACAAGGAGTATCTCTCTCAGTCCTGCCCGCTGGTCTCCAACGTGGAGTACCCGGAGATGCCACGTTCTCTCCCCTCTCACATGGAGGAGGCCCCCAACGTCTTCCAGTTCTACCAGCGGCCTTCGTGCGCCTCTCAGCCCAAGCACAGAGAGGACGCCGAGACGGGCTGTCCCATGACCCCACCGCCGTCCCCCACGGCCAAAGAGTTGAGCGCCCCCACCGGGAAGAGCGACTTTGACGACTCCTTGGTGCACGTCAACGTTCTCCTGGTGGACAAGAAACACCCGGAGTTCGCCTCGCGCTACGGCAAGACCCACCGCAGCGTGGACATCGACTTCAACTGCCTGGACGTCCTGATCACTCTGCAAACCTGGGTGGTGATCCTGGATTTCTTTGGGATCGGGTCCACGGCCGAGAATCACGGGCTGAAGGTGCAGAGCGGAGAGGCCCAGCAGGCGACGAAATCGGAAATAAATCCCTTGCCGGACAACGAGGTGCCAGAGGAGTCTGTAAACGCCAAACTGGATCTGAAGGTACAGAGAGACGTTACCCCACGCCGTGGTTGATTTCATAAAGGCAGGCAGTCCTCGGCTGTAATGGCCACAGTTGAGTTGGGGTGGCTAAGGGAGACATTTGTTAAGGGAGTCTTGCCCCCTTTTACAACCTTACTTGCCACCCTTGTTAAGTTGTCAAAAGTAGTTCCCCGGTTGTGAAGTGAATCTGGATTCTCCGTTGACTTTGCTGGGTGGGAGGGGACACTGCGACCGTCATAAATGCGAGTCAGTCGCCAAGCGGCTGAGTTTTGATCACGTGACCCTGGGGATGCATGACCCCAGGGACATTGTGACTGTCATAAATGCGAGTCAGTCGCCAAGCAGCCAAGCTTTGATCACGTGACCCTGGGGATGCATGGCCCCGGGACACTGCCACACTGTCATCAATGTGAGTCAGTTGCCAAGCGTCCGAATGTAAATCACGTGACCATGGGGGTGATGCAACGGTCGTAAGTGTGAAAAACTGGTCCCAAGTCCCTTTTTTTCAGTGACGTTGCAACTTCGAACAGTCACTAAGTGAGGCTGTGGTTAATCAAGGGTCATCTGTACTAGGCTGGCAATATCTTGAAGAAAGGGGATGATGGGTGTGATGGTTGTTGTACCAGTGGTGCTGTCTGCCCGAACAGGTCCATTCTCTGTCCATGGTGCTGAACAAGGCAACCAACGAACTGGCCAAAGCGAACGTCTCCAAACTTGTCACTCACCTGGAAACGGCAGGTGAGTCTCGGTTACCTGCAGGGTGTGTGTTTGTGTCCCAGTCATCCTTGGGGGGGGGGGTTGTGTTCCAGTTTTCAAAGTCCTTCCTATCCCGTAAAAAATTCCTCTCCTTGAACCACACCGTCTTGGTGAACGGAGCCAAAGACTGTTTTTTAGTCAACAAATCACAGTTCGGCCAACCGCGATGGGTTTCAAGGGTGGGTGGGGCTGACCCAGGCCCTCTTGTCCTCGCAGAAGGCGACCTGACCTTTCGGGGAAGCATCGGAAGTTTCTCCTTAAGCGACCTGACCTCCCACGGGGAGCTTTACCGAGAGCGCTTCACCACCAGCGGCCAAGAGGCCCTCATCTTTCACGTCCTCAGGTAGGAGACGGAATCACCTTCTCTACCTGGGACTGAGCGGGGTTTTGTGCCAGGATCCCATTTTGGCTAACAAACGAATTGGAGGGGGGGGGAAAGGGGGAGACTCTTTCCTCCCTCCCTCCCTCCCTCCTTTTGTTCCTTCTCTCCCTTCCTTCCTTCCTTCCCTTTCTTCCCTTCCTTCCTCCCAACTCCTTCCTTTCTTCCCTCTCTCTTTCCTTCCTTCCCTCTCTTTCCTTTCTTCCCTCCCATCTCCTTCCTTCCCTCTCCTTCCTTCCTTTCCTCCCATCTCCTTCCTTCCCTCTCCTTCCTTCATTCCCTCCATCCCTATTTTCTTCCTTCCCTCCCATCTCCTTCCTTCCTTCCTTCCTTCCTTCCTTCCTTCCTTCCTTCCTTCCCATCTCCTTCCTTCCTTCCTTCCTCCCTCTAATCCACTCACCCCATTCATCTCCTACTCCGCTTCCTGAGCTTAGCATGGTTTCCCAAGACTTTCTTTGCGCCCCCTTTTCCTCCTTCTGAAAGCAGGGATAAAAATATTGACAAGGCGACTTCGGATTTCTCGGCCTTCGCCTTGCTAAAGGCCCGGAATCCGCTCTGTTTTGACCAAAGATCCAGCCTAAGCCCTATTTGGTTAAAAAGAGAGCCTGTTGGTTGTCTCCTTTTCCCCCCCAGGTATGGCCGGCCGGACTTGTCCCTTCAGAGAGAGTGTGACATGCGTGTCAGCCTGCGGATGGCTTCGGTGCAGTACGTTCACACCCAGCGCTTCCAAGCTGAGGTCATCTCCTTCATCCAGCATTTTACACAACTGCAGGATGTCCTGGGCCGTCAGAGGGCAGCCGTTGAAGGACAAACGGTGTGTAGCACAAGGAGTTGCCTTGAATGAGTCTGGCTAGGGAGGGAGGGAGGGAGGAAGGAAGGAAGGAAGGAAAGAAAGAAGAAGGGAAGGAAGGGAAAGGAAGGAAAGAAAGAAAAGCACCTTTGGGACAACCACAACCTGGATGACAGAATCTACATAGTCTTCTCTCCTTGAGATACTTTTGAAAATCACCCATGACCTTCTTTTTAAAACCTGTCCTTCCTTCCTCCAGGTGAGGGACCAGGCCCAACAAGCAGCCAGGATTCTTCTGGACATCGAAGCGGGAGCTCCTGTGCTCCTTATTCCCGAAAGCTCCAGATCCAGCCACCTTATCGTAGCCAACCTGGGAAAACTAAAAATCAAGAACCGCTTCCTCGTGGCGGGCAGTTCCGCTACCTTCTCGCTCCAAGATAAGGTCAGCCTCCCGCAGTTGAGCTCCTTCCGTTTCTCAAAAGCGTTGCGCCTCTTTTGGGAAAAGCGTTAAAAACCACGACCGTGTAACTTTTCCCCATGTTGACCTTCTTCTCTTTGGAGGATTCGATTTTGCAGGGCAAAGTCTGCAGGGATCCTGTTTTTTAGGAGGTATTTTACAGATCTGTCTGGGCGCAGGGTGCTTTGAGCTGAGTACTTTGGGGGGAATTTTGCAGCTTTCTTGAATTGCTTCCGAAACGGGCAAGCGTCTAAAAGCAACGTCCCTTGGGACTGCTGTTTCTTGAGTTATATTTTTTAGAATTCCACAGACAGAATGTTTGGAATTGAGAAGTTAGGATTCCTACAAAAGTTAGAATTCCAAAAAGCTGCAGAATTTTTTTTTTTTTTTTTTTTAAAAAGCTAGTTTTAGAGTTTGGTTTGCTGTGTCCATGTGCTGTGCAAAACGTATTTTACAAATAATAAATGGAAAAGTTTCATTCCAAATGAATGCTATTCAGCCGCCCGTGTATTTCTTGATTTCCAAGTAGAATTTTTTATGAGATGAGTTGTTCTTGGAAAAGGTTCCCGCTAAAGGAAACCAGTTCGGAAGCAAATTCTTCTTCTCTTGAGCATAATTCTATTCTGCTATCATTTAGCTGCCATTCAGAGCCGCTGACCCTTACAATAAATGGAAATACTTCATGGATTTATTGATTTGAGTGGACTGGGACAGGACTGCAGAACGGCCTTGCTGTGAAGACTTAATTTTAAAAAGCAAACTTGCTAATTTATACCGTCCCTTTTAATTAGGACCCTGTTCTGCTTTCCTCACCGCTGGGGACCCCAAAGCATAACGCGAAGAAAACTCCGAGTGGCGAGAAGGCGCCCCGTTTCTCTGACGGTTTGCACACACAAGAGTCCTCTTCCGTGCCAATTCTCAGCAGTCAGAAAAATGAGCACACCCCGGAAATTGAGGCAAAACAGACCCCTTCCTCTCCTTTCTCCTCGGTGGATAATCCTGGTAAGTAAGAGGGCTGCTACTCCAGAGACTCTCGTTCCTCCTTCTCTCTGTTGGATGAATTCTGGGTGGGTCCTGTTAATGATGAATACAGATAGTCCTCAGCAAACTCTCTGTGGGGTCCTTGGGGCTGTCTGAGCTGGGTGGCTTTCTTGCGGACGTTTCATGACCCAGCTAGGTAACATCATCAGTGCTAGAAGGGAGGAGGGTTTGTGGACAAGAAGAGGTGGACTGTGGGATCCTTGCTCCTCTCTCTGTTATATTTTTATACCTGTGTTGAACCCCGGAGCTTACCTGTTTCCTGAGAAAGGTTAGCTCTCCACACGCCCAATAAAATGGGTCCCTCTTGATGATTCATATCCAGTACATACGACCTGGTTATATCGGGATGTTTTCCCATAATTCTGAGCTCTTTCCTGCCGAGAAAAATTAACCCTGCGAGGTTGCTCTTTTGCAGAGGGACACGCCTGCCTCCTGGACTGCATCATGGTCGACCTGCAGGACATGGACATCTTCGCTGCCGAAAGGTGTTCCCGCGAATATTCCCAGCCCGTGAAAGACGCTTCGGTGGATTTGACCTTCCCGTCTTTCGTCATCAGGCAGACGGGAGGCAGCCTCTTAACGGAGCCCTTTCGGCTGAAATTGCAAGTGGAGAGGAACCTGGACAGGTGAGTTCGGGCCTGGAGGCCTTTCACGGAGTCTCTGGTCTGCTTCCGGGGTGGGGCTTGGGGACAGTTCCGGAATGGAGTGATGTGGAATATGAAATGAGTGGAATGGAATGGAATAGGAATAAATGAATAGAATAGAATTAGAATTAGAACAGAACAGAATAGAATAGGAATAGGAATAAATGAATAGAATGGAATGGAATGGAATAGAATAGAATAGAATAGAATAGAATAGAATAGAATAGGGGATAGATATGAATAGAATATGGATAGAAAATTAGAATAGAATATGGAAATAATGGAATGGGATAGGATAGGATAGGGTAGAATAGAATAGAAATAGAATAGAAATAGGAATAGAATAGAATAGAAATAGAAATAGGAATAGAATAGAATAGAATAGAATAGAATAGAATAGAATAGAATAGAATAGAATAGAATAGAATAGAATAGAATTTCTGCTCAGCAGCAGAAATTTCCGGGCTCCATTGAGGTCCTAAGTTGAGGACTGCCTGTGGTTCCCTTGGGTTGTCCGATGATAGCCGATCTGTTCTTCTCCTACAGGGAGATCAGCCACGCCGTGCCGGATATCTGCGTCCACGGCATTGTCTCGTCAGTCCACTGTTCCCTGGACCTGAACAAATACAAGCTGATTCGAGGCCTCCTGGAGGACAATCTGGGGGAGCCGGTGGAAGAGTTCATACGGCCCTACGACCTGCAGGACCCCAGGATACACGTGAGATGGGTGTTGGTTGTGTCACCTGCTGTTAATATGTCATCGTTAGTCCATGGAGACCTTTAAAAGAAATCCCGTTTTTTTTAACGTTCAGCCCCCTGTCATCCCCGGTGAAAGGAAGTAGCCTGTTCCTGTGTTAGTTCTTCATTTATTTCCTTCTTTCCTCCCTCTCTCTCTCTTCTTCTTCCTTCTCTCCCTCCCTCTCTCCCCTTCTCTTCTTCCTTCTCTCCTTCCTCCTTCTCCCTCCCTCTCTCCTTCCTTCTTTTCCTCTCTCCTTTCCTTCCTCTTCTGCCTTCTCTCCTTCCTCCTCTCTCTCTATCCCTTTTCCTGCCTTCTCTCCTCCCTCCCTCCCTCATATAAAACCTATAAAAGCAAACTTGAGGGGTGCCTAATAGGCCAGATGGACTGTGGGGTTGGGATTGTTCCCCATCTGGAATTCGGCAAAGCCGGTAAATATCCGTGCAAAAGTTTTACGTCAGAGTTGAGCGTTTTTCTTTCCTTCAGACGGTGCTGAGTGGCGAGGTCTACACCAGTCTGTCCTTCCTCATTGACATGGTCAACGTGAGTCTGGAGCTGACCAGCCCCCAGGCTAAGCAAGGCTCACTGGCCAGGTACCGTCCCTTAATCAAGATAACAATTATTAAAATTGTTAAAAGGATTATTAGTAAGGTTCATCAAGGTAGTTACTGAGAAAATATCTCTCTCTCTCTCTCTCTCCCCTTCTCTCCTTCTCTCCTTCCAATTTGTTTAGGTTTGACTTTAAAAAATCAAAGCTGCTCTTTCAGAGTTTCTCCAATCAAACCAGATCCATCAACCTGGTCTCCCATTCCATGATGGCGTTTGACACGCGATACGCTGGGCTGAGGCCTCCTTCCGCCACGCCCAACGTCTTCAGCTGCATTTTCCAGCCTTCGAAAAACAGCAGTTCTCAAGGAGCCATCCAGATTGAGCTGCATTACAGGTAAAGGAAGCCTCACGTCACTTTTTCCCAGAAGGCCCCAGCGGAGCCCAGAAGCCTGGAGTTGGAAGGGTCCTCCGTGCTCTTCTGAACAATTAATTAAAAGTGAGAGCAATTAATCAGTTGAACCATTTGCCTCCAGATGTTGTGGCTGCTCCAACACTGATAATTTTTAAGAAGAGTCTGGACAGCCCTTTGTCCGGAATGGTCTAGGGTCTCCTGCCTCAGCAGGGGGCTGGACTAGAAGATCTCCAAGGCCCCTTCCAACTCTTGTTATTCTGAGAGGCGTAGAGGGAAGAGGGAGCCCACAACTCACTCTGGATTCCAGCTCTTCAGCACTTGAAATCTAGAGACACTGTGTGGGAGAAATCTATTTAAATACAATTTTAACATTTGACATTTCAGCTGGAAAAGTTTCACTGTGGCTTAAAGTACTAACCATCTTTAATGAAGAGGGAGGGAGGAAGAAGGAAGAAAAGGAAGGAAGGAAAGAGAAGAAGAAATGAAAGAGGAGGGAGGGAGGAAGGAAGGAAGGAAGGAAGGAAGGAAGGAAGGAAGGAAGGAAGGAAGGAAGGAAGGAGAAGTGAAGGACAAGGGGGGAGGGAGGGAGAGAGGAAGGGAGAGGGAAGGAGATGGAGAAATGAAAGAGAAAGGAAGGAAGGAAGGAAGGAGCTTATTATTGTTGGGTTAAGAAATTGGCCAGTCTTCAAGTAAGACCGTTGGGATCAACCAGCCTCTTCCTTCCTCCCTTTTAGATCTACAAAGGAGTCCTCCTCCTTCACGGTCGTCCTGAACAACCTCCGTGTCTTTCTCATCTTCGACTGGCTGGTGCTGGTCCACGACTTCCTTCAGACCCCCAGCGACCCCAAAAGGCCATCCAACCCGCCTCCCTCTCGCCAACGTAGCCTCGGTGGCGAACCGGCGGTCATTCCCAAAGCGGTCAAGTGCGGGATAGTCACCAAGCGTTCTTCTCTCCAGATCTCCACCGAGAAACAGCTGGAGGTCAAGATCAATGTGACCGGTAAGAGAGATTTCTGCGGGAACTTCAGTCGCTCAGCGAAGGGTCGTTAAGTCCAGGGCTTCCTCTGTTAAATACGTTCAGTGGAAAGGAAGACCTGTAAAGGCAGGAGGCCTGATCAGGAGGGAGGCCACCTCTTCCCGGTGAATCCTCCAATAATTCAGCTGCCCTTCAGATACGGAGTTCGTGGTGGTGGAAGACATGACCTGCACGGACACCAACGCGGTGATTCTGAAGGGGACGACCGTCCTGACCTATAAGCCCAAACTGGTGGACCATCCTTTCTCCGGAAGCCTGTCGGGCATCGAGGTAAGAGCCCTGGGTTGAATAGAGTAGAGTAGAGTAGAGTAGAGTAGAGTATATAGAGTACAGTAGAGTAAAGTAGAGTAGAATAGAATAGAATAGAATGGAATAGAATAGAATAGAATAGAATGCAGAATGGAATGGAATGGAATGGAATGGAATAGAATAGAATAGAATAGAATAGAATAGAATAGAATAGAATAGAATAGAATAGAATAGAATGCAGAATGGAATAGAATAGAATAGAATAGAATGCAGAATGGAATAGAATAGAATAGAATAGAATAGAATAGAATAGAATAGAATAGAATAGAATATGGAATGGAGAATAGGATAGGATAGGATAGGATAGAATAGAATATGGAAAGGAATAGAATAGAATAGAAGAATTAGAATAGAATTAGAATAGAATAGAATAGAATAGAATAGAATAGAATAGAATAGAATAGAATAATAACTTTATTGTCACTTGAAAAGTACACTAATCAGAACACATCAAAATGAGATTTCCTTGCATACAGCTCTCAAGGGGTAACCACCTCCAATATATACTGCATAAACATGACCCAAAAAATAATAATTATCATGCAAATACCTACATACACACACCTGCACGCGCACACACACACACACACACACACACACACAGACAGGGTTTCCAGGTTGCCGCCTCCTCCTCCCCCCAGTCCTCCTTCAGGTAAGGCAGCCTCCAAGGGTCTACCCTACAGAACGAATTCTGCTCCTCCAGGTGTTCTCCTGCCGGCTGGGCAACGAGCAGGAAACGGCCCTCTCCATCCTCGATCCAGCCCTGATCCAGGTCGAACTGGTGGGGAACTCTTCCTATCCAAACGGATCGGGTCTGTTGGATGCTTTCAACGGGGGAGACTTCCCTCCCCTTCTAGAGGTAGGTTCTTTTCCCCCCCGCTCCCCAAAAGTGTTTCCCGCTTGGAATAAGGTGTTGTCTCAAACTCCAGATGTTTCCAGCACGCACAGAATATCCCTTTTCATACTCCTTTGTCATACTCCAATTTTCATACTCCCTTTTCGTACTTCAATTTTCATACTCCTTTTTCGTACTTCAATTTTCATACAATTCGGGGGAAGACAACCTGCCTTGGCAGAACTTCTGGCCGTCCGCTCGATGCTCAAATGGGTCTTTTCTTCTCATGGCTGCAGATCCAGTTGCAAACCCTGGACATTCGACTCTCTTACAACGACGTCCAGCTCTTCCTGGCGATCGCCAAGTCCATTTCTAAGCAGACCAGCGGGGGGCTACCGAGCCCTCCTGCCGCCGTGGACCCTTCGGCTCCTACGGGCGCCTCTGGTGTAAATGAGGTCTCGGGAACCGCCGCAGAACGAACCGAGACCGCTAAGCGGCTGCTGGATCCGGTTCTGGGTAGGAACACAATTTTCAAATTGGGGTCGACTTCCCTGCCTCCGCACCCCATACTACGTGCTGCTACTTACTACACGTTGCAGCCTCAACACCTCCATGTTTCTTTCCAGAGGTGCAGCTGGCCCGCCTGCAGGAACTGGGATTCAGCCTGGATGACTGTCGCAAGGCTCTCCTGGATTGTCAAGGTGTGTGTCATTTTTGTTGTTGTTTTTGTTTTTTTTTTAAATAAAAACGCACAATCAATTGCAACCAGAATACCGTTCGAAGTCGCCAGGGCGCTGAAAAAAGCGGCGGACGACCGTTTTTCACATTGGCCACCTTTGCAGCGTCCCCCGCAGTCACACGATCGAAATTCAGAGGCTCGGAAACTGGCGTGGACTTAGGACAGTTGCAGGGCCTTGAGGTGACGTGACCCCCTTTTGCGACCAGATTCACTTAACAGCCGGGTTTACTGACTTATCCTCAACCGCGGTGATTCACATAATAATCCTGGCAAGCAGGATTTGCAAAATGAGGCCAAACCAACGTCTGACTTAACAACAGAAATTTTGGGCCCTGTTCTGGTCATAAGTGGAGGACACACACACATACACACACACACACACACCGTGTGTGTGAAATAAGCCAACTGACAACGCCACTGATTCCATCTCTCTTTCTCTCCGTCTCCTGCTTGATGGGGTCAGGTCAGCTGAAGAAAGCGGCCAGTTGGCTGTTCAAGAACGCCGAGCCTCTGAAACGCTCCGGGTTCGATTCCAGCAGTCCCGACGGGCAGAACTCCAGGGCTCTCCGACTCATCTCCGGAGTGGAAGTCAAAGCTGAAAGCATCTGCATTTGTTTTATCGACGACTGCATGGACTGTGACGTTCCTCTGGCCGAGCTGACCTTTTCCCGTAAGCCTTTAGAGTACAAAATAAGAGAATAAACGAGTCGGAAGGGACCTCAGAGGTCTTCTAGTCCAACCCTTTGCTCGGGCAGGAAAAACTAGTACCCTTTCAGACAGGTGGCTGTGCAGTCTCTTCTTGAAAACCTCCCAAGAGACGGAGTACCCACCAGTTCCGGTGGCAAGCAGTTCCCCTGGTTAATTGTCCTCACTGTCAAGGAAGTGTCTCTTTAATTCCAGTTTGCTTCTCTCCTTGATCAGTTTCCATCCATTTCTATGTTTATTGAGGTCAGTTCCTAAAAATGTCTTGCTATGAATAGCCGCGCAAGCTTAAAGTCATAGAAACATAAAAGAAAGAAAATATAGAATCACGATTGGCATTTATTTTCTGTTTTCTTTTGGAGAGGTTTCAAAGTGTCGGAACCGATTAATCGTTCTTTCCCGACAGGTCTGAACTTCCTTCAGCACTTGAGAGCCAGCCCGGAAGGCTACGCCCATTTTACGCTCTCCGGCGACTATTACAACCGCGAACTCTCCGGTGAGTGTCTGTCTGCCGCCACTGCAGCTGGTCCCCGACTTCGTTTAGTGGCCGAAATGTCTTTTTTTTTTTTTCTTCCACCCAATTCTTGGAGACCGCCCGGTTAAGTCCCTGCCCTTTTCTAGGGGTTTTTTTGGGGGGAATTCGTTTGCCGTTGCCTCCTTCCTAGGGCTGAGAGAACGTGGCCAGCCCCAGGTCATCCGCCTGGGACGATTGGGACTCCCAGGCTCTCCGCAGGGGAGAACGGCAGCACCGTAATTTCCGTTTTTCTCCAAGGCTGGGAACCGTTCGTGGAGCCTTGGCCCTGCTCCGTCTTTTGGCAGTGCCAGCCGGCCAGCCGCCTCCACCCGTCCCGGCTGAAGCTGGAAGTGAAGGCGAAGCACCGTCTGGACGTCAACGTCACCTCCAGGCTTCTTGGTAGGGGGTTGGGGGGGAGCCCCCTTTCCTGATGGGGCTGAGAGAAGGGCCTGGAGCAGCTCTCCCAGCTGTGGGGCAGGGGCCCTCCCCTCCCTCCCTCCCTCCCTTTCTTTCTTGCCTCCTTCTTTTCCGCCTTCCTTTCTTTTCTCCTTCCTTGCTTCCCTCCCTCCCTCCCATCCTTCTCTCCCTCTTCCTTCCTTTCCTTCCTCCCTCCTTCCTTCTTTCCTCCCTCCCTCTCTTCCTTCCCTCCTTTTTTCCTCCTTTCTTTTTTCCTTCCTTTCCTCCCTCCCTCTTCCTTTCTTTCCTCCTTCCTTTCCTCCCTCCCTCTCTTCCTTCCCTCCTTTTTTCCTCCTTTCTTTTTTCCTTCCTTCCTTTCCTCCCTCCCTCTTCCTTCCTTTCTTTCCTCCTTTCTCCCTCACTCTTCCTTCTCCCTCCCTCCCTTCCTTTCCCTCCTTCCTTCCTTTCCTCCCTTTTTCTTTATCCCTCCCTCCTCCCTCCCTTCATGGCTTTTTGTCTCCTTCCCCAGAGCAATATGCCAGCACCAAGCAGTCCTGGATGGCCGATTACTGCAGCCAGGAGATAGAAGCCCCGGAGCTTGAATCGGAAGAGTGGGGGGCTGGCTCTTCGGTGGATCCCCCTTCCTTTAGGCAAGGTCTGATTCCCCTCCCTCCACCCCCCACGTTGCCTTGATGCCTGCACAGCATGGGTGTCGCAGCCTTCACCACCATGCTTAGGACCCCTTCTCCTCTCCACAGACGTCGTTCCCCCCCTTCTGCCGAATCCCCCCCTGAGGGCTCCCCACGAGGCAGCCCGGCTTGACTCTCGTCTCCTCTCCCTCTGCTGCTTCTTCAGACACCAATTTTCCCTTTCACTTCTCCCTGGGGCTTTTCTAAGTTAGGGGTGTTCGGTGCCCAGGACCCCCTGGGTCTGCCCAGCCCTCCTCTGGGCTTTGCCGTTTCAAGGTCGCAGCTCAGCCTCCGTAAAAATGGCTGCTCTTCAGCTTCCGGTGTCTCTCGGGGTCCTTAAGCCAGGCACGGCGTTGATTCAGTGCCGAAGCCCCCTCCGTATGGGGGCCGAGGGCTTCTGCGCCCCCCCCCACGCAATCTTTCCACCCTTTTCTCGCTAACACCGTCTTTCCTGTCTGCTAGGCCTTCCTCTTGCCTACCTTAGAACTAGGAGCACAGCCAGTCTGACTAACCTAGAGCACCAGATGTATGCTGGAGGTACCGTATTTGCAGAGTCCAGACGCTTTCCTCTTTTCCTTGTTTTCAGGCCTCTTTTTTTTTCTGACAGATATTAACAAAAAAAAAAATATGGCGTTCCAATTTTCTTTCTAAAAAAAAAAATGTCTTGATTACATTGGCTATTTCAGAAAGCTTGGCTCAGGTGTTGTACCTGGCTTTCGGCATGATGTTTTGGGTTTGTGTTTTATGCCTCCCTTCCCTTTCCTTTCCCTTTCCTTCCCTTCCCTTCCTTTCCCTTTCCTTTCCTCTCCTTTCCTTCCCTTCCCTTTCCTTTCCTCTCCTTTCCTTTCCTCTCCTTTCCTTCCCTTTCCTTTCTTCTCCTTTCCTTTCCTTTCCTCTCCTCCCCTTCCCTTCCCTTCCCTTCCCTTCCCCCTTTTCTCTTCCTCCTTCCCTTCCCTTCCCAATATCTGGGTGGGCTTTTAGGGGGCACACCAGCCCAAGCCATTGAGACTTGGGAAGGGGTCTGCTTGTCCCATAAAGGGAAAAAGACCCCCCCCTTCTCTTGCGGGGAAGACATTCCTGACCCAGGCGAAAGAGGCTGAGCCCTGTGAGTTAGGCCAGCGCTTCCCTCCCTCACTCGCTCTTCCTTCTTTCTTTCTTTCTTTCCTTCCTTCCTTCCTTCCGCAGCTGAAATGAAGGCGCCTAAGCGGAGGCAGCCCTTTGTGCCCTTCGCTCTGCGGAATCACACCGGTTGCACTCTCTGGTTTGCCACGATGACCACCACCCCGACTCGGTAAGAAAGCAGGGGTGGTGGTGGGGGGTCCTCAATCACTTTTTTTCAGTGTGTTGTAACTTTGAATAGGTCACTAAGAGAACCGTTTTAAGTCAAGGACTGCCGGTATTCATTTGACGAATTACAATAATAATAAAATGGGAAGGGACCTTGGAGGTCATCTAGCCCAACCCCCTTGAACTACTCAAGACAGCGAATATATCCAACACACTGTCCTCCTCCTCCTCCTCCTCCTCCTCCTCCTGTTTTCCCCCCTGTGAAGCAAACTGAGATTAACCGGCTGAAGGTCACTCAGCTGGCTTTCCTCGCGAAGGCAGGACTCGAACTCACCGTCTCGATTCTCGCTTTCCAGAGCGGCCCTCCTGCACAGCGGGAGCCCCCCGGTCCTGCCAGAAGAAAACAAGACCTTTCTGGACGAAGCCCACAAAGTCAGCGAGTGGCGGGAGGTCCTCGCGGGAGAAGAGGTCCCCTTCGCCTTCGAAGCCAAGGGGAAACTGAGGCACAGGTAGGGCAGGAGGGGGGGGGGAAGGAAAAACTAGCTGTTCTCTTATTGAACATCATTTTATTACACGTTTTGTACTTTATTCAACATTTTATTTGGTGTTGTAATCTAGAAAAGACGTAATAATTTTATTTTCCTGGTTTGGGATGTCCGTTTGGGCCTGTCTGTCTCATAAATACCGTTCCGTGGGTCTTAAATGTAAATTGATTTATTTTTAACCCACCCACCCCACCCAGGCATACCCACGATCTGAGAATTCACCAGCTGCAAGTAAGAGTCAACGGCTGGGAGGCCGTCAGTCCTGTGTCCGTTGACAAAGTGGGAATATTTTTCCGGTATGCGGCTCCCGATAAAAGCAATTCTTCCTCCACGGTGAGTCCAACCTTGAGTACTTTATTCTTTTCAGGAAAACGGTTTACGTTTAGCACTAAACACAAAACTCTTAATTATAAAACATAACAACCTGACTCTGAAACCGGAGGCGGGGTTGGACTAGAAGACCTCACGATCCCTTCCAGCTCTGTTATTCTGGAACATTAAAACCCAAACGTTACAACGCACATATTTTTTGTGTGTTACTGTTTTTTCCAATCATCCAGCCCACCTAGCGTAATTTCATTTTTTTTCTGTCTTGTACAAAAAGTCCAGCTTCCAGTCACGATTAAAGAATAATCAAATACGTCAATCTTGCCATCTTAGCAACTTCCGTCATTTTCACTATCTACTTTTTCAAGAATTCAGTTTGCGCGTGTGTGTATGGGGAGGGGAGAATCTGGACTATTTCCCTTGAGATAGTGGCTAAATAATCCACACCCCGAACACCTGTTTGTTTGTTTTTTTCCAGAGAAAGATTGTGCTCCATGAGCAAACTGGCAAGTTCCCCAAGTGGTCATTTTGTGTGTGTCCGTGTCTCTGTGTGTGTATGTTGTGCGCAGGTGCCAGCGTCTAACATTAACTCGCTCTTTCTTCACCTAGGTTGGCAGCCCAATTAGTAGAACCAACATCATCCATCCACAGGTTTATGTGAGTTGAAATTCCCCTCCTCCCTCCATCCTCCAAGTTCTTGTTAGCCGTGTTGGATTGTTGGATTTGTTTGAACCACAATGGCTGTAACAAACCAGATGTAGGAGAAGGAGTGGCAGAACCTGAGGGCGGAGTCAAAAGAGGGACCAGCCTAGAATCCTTACGTCGTCACAAGCGGAGTCCAACTTCCAGTCTAATTCCTAGCAGGGGCAAAGGGTTAGCTGAGAAGCTGGCTGTCCATCAGGAACAATAAACCAGTTCAATGGATTGAAAGTCGTAAAACAGGGCAAAGTTCACTTCCCAAATTTTTCACTTAGCAACAGTAAGTTCTAGGCTCAATTGTGGTCGTAGGTCAAGGACTACCTGGGTTTAATTGACCTTCAGGCCCAAACATTTGCTCGTTTAACAAACCGGGAAATCATTGGCCCCTAAAAGTCTGTGCAAGTGGTTGTGGTATTTGTGTGCCTTGGCCTCCACCCTATCTGTAAAATCGATTCCATTTCTTTCTTTCTTTAAAATATATGTGTGCGTATGTTTTTTCACAGTTCTCTTCATTGCCTCCCGTTCGCGTGGTCTTTGCGGTGACCATGGAGGGCAGCGCCCGGAAGGTTATAACGGTCCGTTCTGCCTTGATTGTGAAAAACAAACTTGAGATGCCAATGGAGCTGAGGCTGGACAGTCCTTCAGCCCCGGACAGTAAGTGCTTCAGAGTTTCCCAAGTGACGACACAAACCCTTTTCAATCCGAATAAGAGCTGGGAGGGACCCCGGGGGTTTTTCTAGCTCCAAGCAGGAGACCCTAGGCCATTCCAGACGAGAGGCTATCCAGTCTCTTCTTTAAAAACCTCCAGTGAGGGAGTAGCCACAACTTCTGGAGGCGAGCAGTTCCACTGACGGATTATTAACCATTATTATGAATCATCGTTAATCATAATCATTACTAATTCTAGCCGCGATGATGTTCCCTAGCTGGGTCGTGAAATGTCTACAAGAAAGCAAGCCCACAGAGCACCAAGGATCCCACAGTACTTCCTCCTCCTTCTCCTCCTCCTTTCTAGCACTGATGATGTTACCTAGTTGGGTTATGAAATGTTTGCAAGAAAACAGCCCAGTTCAGAGCATCAAGGACACCACAGTCGTCCTCCTCCTCCTCTCCACAAACCCCCTCCCTTCTAGCCCTGATGATGTTGCCTAGCTGGGTCCTGAAACGTCTGCAAGGAAGCCGCCTAGCCCAGAGAGCACCCTGGACCCAACCCACGATAACCCTGCTCTTTCCACCTTGGTGCAGAACCCGTGGTGCTCCCGGCGGTGATGCCCGGCGACTCCTTTGCCGTCCCCCTGCACCTGACCTCCTGGCGCCTCCAGGCCAGGCCCAAGGGCACCGGCGTCTTCTTCTGCAAGTCTCCCATCCACTGGACCAACGTCCAGAAGGCTTCAGAGGTCTGCAGCAGCAAGCGGGAGTGTCACTCCATGGAGCTGGACAACAGCCGGTTCTTCAGGTGAGCCCCCCCCCTCGCCCTCTTTTCCTGCCACCGACGCTCAGATGCAGAGAAGCTGACTCGGGGGACGGTGTGTGTGTGTATGTGTGTGTCTTTGGCTTTGAGCCCCGAGATGTGTCCCTGCCGACACAAGGGAGAAGGACACATGAGCTGGGAGTGGAGGTCAAGCTCCACAGAGGAAGAACGAGGAAAAAGACTTTTTTGCATAGCGAGAAGCTAAAAAAACGAGGCAATACTCACTTCACAGATCTTTTTCCCTTAGCAACACAAATTTGGCAACCGTAACTCTTGCCTGCATTTGACGGGGAGTGTTCCTAGGAGCCTCGGAAGAGGCGGGGATTTCTCGCTCTCTAAATTGTCCGCCGTGCTCTTCCTCCCGCAGGTTTTGCGTGGCTATAAAGAAAGAGAACTACCCAGACTACATGCCTTCCAGCATCTTCTCCGACAGCGCCAAGCAGATTTTCAGGCAGCCGGGACACACCATTTATCTCTTGCCCACCGTGGTGTTGTGTAACCTGCTGCCTTGCGAACTGGAGTTCTACGTCAAGGGCGTGCCGATCAACGGGACCCTGAAACCCCGGAAGGAAGCCGTCCTGCACACCGCCGACACTTCCCAGAACATCGAGCTGGGTAAAGAGACAAAATGCATTCCTCCCCCCCCCCCGACTCCTCCAGCTCAGGCCGACTTGCTTTACGACCGTCGTGAATCCTGACCGTAATAGGCAGCCTCCATTGCAATCATAGGGTGTATTTAAGAGCTTGTGTTGTGTGCCTCTCCTCACAGCCCTGCCAGCAAACGAGGCAGCTACTTCGAAATCCCCCCCCAAAAAAGAGCATTAATTTCCTTCCTGCTTGATTCCAGGGATCTCCCTCGAAAACTTCACCCACTGCAAGGAGCTTCTGATCCCGCCGGGGACGCAGAATTACGTGGTGCGGATGAGGCTGTACGACAACAACCGGCGTCTCTTGAACCTCACCATCCGGATCGTGGGCCAAGCCAAAGGGTCCTTGAAGATACTCATTTCGGCTCCATACTGGCTGATCAACAAAACAGGTGAATCGCCGCTCCAGGCAACTTCCGTTTTTCCATTTCGAGGGAGGGGGAAAAAGTAACACCCCCCCCCCCAAAGATCTTAATTTTGTGGAAGACGGATGGATGCCGGTTGTGGGAACGTGGTCCTACCGGTTACGCTGCGTTTTCTCTTGCTGGACCAGAATGAGGAGGACAAAAATGGTTTTAACAAAAACAAAACAAACAGCCTGAACCGTGTAGTATCTAAACGTGTTCTTTGCCTGGATGGCTTTTAACTCCAGCAAACTGTTTTAACAGAATGACAGAGTTGAGAGGGACCCGGGAGGTCTGCTAGTCTGACCCCCCCCCTGCTCAGGCAGGAGACCTGGCCTAGACCATATCAGACAAATGGTTGTCCACTGTCTTCTTAAGAACCTCCAGAGATAAAGCATCCACAGCTTCTAGTGGCAAGTTAATTCTCCTCCCTGTCAGGAAGTTTCTCCTTAATTCCAGGTGGTTTCTCTCCTTGGTTTAATTTCCATCCATTGTTTCTTGTCTTCTGGTGCTTTGGAGAATAAATGGACCCCCTCCTCTTCTTTGGGGCAGCTCCTCAAATTCTGGAATGCTGCTCCTACGTCACCCCTTTTCATTAAATCAGACATACCCCATTTTGTTTGGATATTATTGTGGCTCTGGATGGAGCAGGCGATTGCGAAGGAACAATCAATTGCTTCCAGTGCCGGTTGAGTTTTTAAATCCCTCCCCCCCCCCCGCTTGCATCCAAAGGGTTACCATTGATTTTCCGGCAAGACAACGCAAAGACCGACGCGGCCGGCCAGTTTGAAGAACACGAGTTGGCCCGCAGCCTGAGCCCCCTCCTCTTCTGCTACGCCGACAAAGAACAGCCAAATCTGTAAGCTTTCTTTGGGGGCGCAGGGTGGGGGTCTCCTTCCGTTTAGCAAGGTGGACCCAGAAACAAACAGCTCTAAGTCCCTTTTTTTTTCAGAGCTGTTTCTTCCTCAGCCCACAGTGGAGGATATGGGTGGCTGGGGGATTCTGGGAGTTGAAGTCCACCCAGCCTAGGGTCACCAAGGTTGAGAAACACTGAGGCAGACCATGCCTATCCATGGACACTTGTCTGAGGGTTAACCATTGGGCTCCTTGACTCGCACAAGAGTTAACAACTTAGTTTTATTCTGGTGGTGGTGTTGTTTTTGTGCAGTTGTACCATGCGGGTTGGGAGAGGCATCCACCCCGAGGGGATGCCTGGATGGTGCCAGGGGTTCTCCTTGGACGGAGGAAGCGGCGTCCGAGCCCTGAAGGTGATCCAACAAGGAAACCGGCCGGGCCTTATTTATAATATCGGTATGTCTTTCTCACCACATGGTCTCTTTTCCTCCATCCCTTGCAATAGGAATGGGACATTGTTGTTGTTATTTTGGGGTGGAGGGTCATGATTTTTTTTAAAAGTTTCTTTCAGTGTTTTTTTAATAGTTAGCCGCTCAGAGGCCTTTGGGGTAAGAAATAAGAAAATAAAAAAATGAATGCAAATGGTCCACAGCTTACACCACAGTTGAGTCCCTCCTCTTCTGACCGGCTCTGTGTTAACTAACCAGGTATCGACGTTAAGAAGGGCAGAGGGCGCTACATGGACACTTGCATGGTGACCTTTGCACCTCGCTACCTGCTGGACAATAAATCCTCACACACCCTCGCGTTCGCCCAGAGGGCCTTTGCCAGAGGACAGGTAGTTTATCTATATCCTCTTTCTTTCTTTCTTTCTTTCTTTCTTTCTTTCTTTCTTTCTTTCTTTCTTTCTTTCTTTCTTTCTTTCTTTCTTTCCTTCCTTTCTTCCTTCCTTCCTTCCTTCCTTTCTTCCTTCCTCTCTTCCTCTCATCTGTCTATCTATATCTATCTTTTTCTTTCCTTCCTTCCTTCCTTCCTTCCTTCCTCCCTCTCTCTGTCGTCTGTCTATATCTATCCTCTCTCTCTCCCTCTCTCTCCCTCCCTCCCTCCCTCCCTCCTTTCCTTCCTTCCTTCCTTCCTTCCTTCCTTCCTTCCTTCCTTCCTTCCTTCCTTCCTTCCTTCCTTCCTCCCTTCCTCTCATCTGTCTATTTATATCTATCTTTTTCCTTCCTCCCTCCCTCCCTCCCTCCCTCCCTCCCTCCCTCCCTCCCTCTGTCGTCTGTCTATATCTATCCTCTCCCTCTCCCTCCCTCCCTCCCTCCCTTCCTTCTTTCCTTCCTTCCTTCCTCTCTCATCTGTCTATCTATATCCATCCTCTCTCTCTCTCTTTGTCTCCTGTTCTTGAATTCTTCCAACCAATGGTGCCAGTTGGGTCTTTCTCTTCCCCGTCTCATTAGGGAACATCCAACCCCGACGGCTACATCTCCACCCTCCCGGGATCCAGTGTGGTCTTCCACTGGCCGCGGAACGACTACGACCAGTTGCTTTGTGTCCGGCTGATGGACGTGCCCAGCTGCATTTGGTCCGGAGGCTTCGAGGTCAACAAGAACAACTCCTTCCACATCAACATGAGGTGGGAAAGGGGGAGCGCCAGGGAGTCCTACATTGGCCGTTGTGAGTCCTTTGGTGTGTTGTTGCCTCTGGGTGCCGCCCTCGTCGTCCCGTTAAAGGGTCCCTCTTGTTTACGTGGAGTTTCCCTTAAAATTTTAACATCCGAAATCAGATTAACGTGGAGGCAGAACCGATCAAAGGATGGATTTGATTGGGATGTTGCGGCCGTGACAGGTTGGGAGGGGGACTCTGCAGCCATCCTTAAGTGTGAAAAACAGTCCTACGTCCCCTCAGTGTAAGTACGTCATAAGTCGAGGACTCCCCATAGGCGTTACTACACAGTGGATTTTTAAAAAACAATTGGTTTACACCTGAGCATTTGTAGTGAGACGAAGGGAACGTTGTCCAAACGCACCAGGCCTTCTTTCCTTTGACCTTCTCCAGGGACACCCTGGGGCGATGCTGCTTCCTCCAAGTTGAGATCACCTTGAAGAGGGCCACGTACTGCGTCTCGTTCAGCGACACCGACAAATTTCCCCCTCCGTACCGCATCGACAACTTTTCTAAGGTAAAAAAAAAAAACAAAAGGCTGCTTCTGAAAGCGACAACCGAGTCTTTAAATGCAACGCAGAGGGTGAAGGATGCCGACTGGAGCTTGGATAACCGATAAATCCTCAATTTACGACTGTTCACTTACGGCCAGTGCTGGCTGGGGAATTCTGGGAGTTTGAAGTCCACGAGTCATAAAAGATCCAAGGTTGCCTACCCCTGGTTTAGGTCAGAGTCCCGGCCGAGCTTCACCTCTCCCTGGACCGAGTCGTAACCCCAAGGGTGTCCCTCTCACAGGTGCCGGTTGTGTTCGCCCAACACGGCGTGGCCGAGCCCCGCCTCAGCACCGAGGTGAAGCCCTCCACCTCCCTGGACTACGCCTGGGATGAGCCCATCCTCCCACCCTACGTCAGCCTGACGGTTAAAGGGGCCGGCTCCTCCGAAGTCACCTGCTGCATGAACGACTTTCAAGAAAGCAAGCAGCTCTATTACGAAAACTTCATCTACATCGCGGCCTCTTACACTTTCTCGGGGTAAGCCTCTAAACCAGGGCTTACAGGGCTTCCTGCCTGAGCAGGGGGTTGGACTAGAAGACCTCTGAGGCCCCTTCCAACTCCATCATCATCATCATTATTATTATTATTATTATTATTATTATTATTATTATTATTATTATTCATGGCAACTGGACCAAAGTTTATTAAAATAAACGGAGATGTTTCTGTTATTCATCTAAGTGACTTCTTGGGTCGAAATGGAGAATTTTGGGTTTTAGGCATAGACTCAGAGAGTTAGCTGGAATGAAGTCCCTCTTCTCAGAACTGAACAGAACAGCATCAAAAGGGACCTTGGAGGTCTTCTAGTCCAACCCCCTGCTTGAGCAGGAGACCCTAGACCAGAGGTGGGCAACGATGGCTCCTTTATGACTTGTGGACTTCAGCTCCCAGAATTCCTGAGCCAGCCATGCTAGCTCAGGGATTCTGGGAGTTGAAGTCCACAAGTCATCAAAGAGCCATCGTTCCTCACCCCTGTCCTAGACCATTTCAATCAATCAATCAATCAATCAATCAATCAAAATAGAGCTGGAAGGGATCTAATGTTTTCCACTCCAGAGTTTGGATAAAGCTAAATCTCTCACTGTGGTTGGTCGAGTCTCTTGTCTCTTGTGAATCTCTTCTTACCCTCCCTTCTCAATTTCCTTTGACATTCCAGGGTCCAGGAAGAGACGGGAAGACCCGTTGCTACGAACAAGGAAGTGGACTGCGCCGAGCTGGTCCTGGACGTCTCTCCCAAGACGCAGAGAGTCATCTTGAAGAAAAAGGTACGGAGATGTTTCAGGGCCCAACTCAATAACCTCATCAGTGCTAGAAACTTATTCAGTGAACTTATTCAATGAACATGCACTCTTGCTGGTTGGGTCCCCTAGTTGGGTCCTGCAAGAAAACCACCAAGCTCAGAGAGCATTAAGGACCCCTCAGTCATCTTTCCTCCTCCTCCTCCTCCTCTTCCTCTCCGCAAATCCACTCCCTTCTAGCACTGATGATGTTCCCTAGCTGGGCCATGAAACGTCTGCAAGAAAACCACCAAGCTCAGAGAGCCCCAAGGATCCTACAGTCCTCCTCCTCTTCCCCCTTTCTGCAAACCCACCCTCCCTTCCGACACTGATGATGTCCCCTAGCTGGGTCATGAAACGTCTGCAAGCCAACCGCCAAGCTCCGAGAGCGCCAAGGACTGCTCAGCCCAGCGCTGCAGAGATTCCTTCCCCAATAATGCTGCTTAAAAGGCCTTGGAAGAGGGAGGAAGACGATGCCTCAAAGGATTGTCACACAGCCCTGGTTGCATTGCCCCTTTTCCCTCGCAGGAACCCGGGAAACGCTCTCAGCTGTGGAGGATGACCGGGACCGGCATGCTGTGCCACGAAGGCTCGGCGGTCCCCCGTCACCCGAACAAGCCCTCCCCACCTCGCTCGGCAGAGTCCTCCATGATTCTGGACATCGCTGGCTTGGCGGCCGTCACGGACAACAGGTGGGCAAAGCTCAGGAGCTCCTCTCCACCTGAGAGGCTCAGTTAGGAAAACACACTTGGGGCCAGACATTCTCACGTGCAGGTGGCCCTCGACTTGAGCCCGAAATTTCCACGGTCTCTGCTCGTGCAGGGGGTTGGACTAGAAGACCTACGAGGCCCCTTCCAGCTCTATTTTGACTGACTGACTGGTTGGTTGGTTGATTGATTGAAATGGTCTAGGGTCTCCTGCTTGAACAGGGGGGCTGGACTAGAAGACCTCCGAGGCCCCTTCCAGCTCTATTTTGACGGATGGATGGATGGATGGATGGATGGATGGATTGATTGATTGAAATGGTCTAGGGTCTCCTGCTTGAACAGGGGGCTGGACTGGATGACCTCCAGGGCCTCTTCCAGCTCTATTTTGACTGATTGATGGATGGATGGATTGCAATGGTCTAGGGTCTCCTGCTTGAACAGGGGGCTGGACTAGAAGACCTCGGAGGCCCCTTCCAGCTCTGTTCTGACTGATTGGTGGTGGTGCTGGTGTTGCTGTCCTAGATACGAGCCTCTGATGCTGAGGAAGCCAGACAGACGGAGAAGCACCACCCAGACATGGAGCTTTCGAGACGGCAAACTTCTGTGCGGCATGCACGGACTCGCAGTGCAGGTAGACGGAGATCCTTTCCCCGTGATGGTTTGGGGTGGACAGGGCCGCTTGTGGCCGAGGCGGTCATTTGCCTCCTTTTAGAGAGTCATCGAGGCCACTTGGAGAAGGCTCCACATCCATTTGCACCACTCAGCTGCCCCCCGAGGTCACAGACAAGCCTCCAGGTGGCCTCAAGGACTCTCTCAAAGGAGTATAAATCCTTCCCTTCCCCACCATCCGGTCACAGCTGAAGAAGCAAAACGAAAACAAGAAAGTCCAGTGGCCTCCAGAAAAAGGACCTTTGGGACCACCAGGGCCTGGAGGTGGGAGCACCTCCACAGACCCTCCCCTTCAGCCCTGCTCTCTGTGGTCACCTTCTGTTGTGTCTCTAGGCCAAAGGAGGCAGAGCTGGGCTGCGTGATGGAGCAGAAGTTGTCCTGGGACCCGACACTTCCCTGGAACAGTTGGGTCCCGTCCCTCCGGACCAGCAGTTCATCAACCAGAAGATGCGGCCTGGGTCCGGAGCCCTGGCCGTCCAGGTGATTCCCGACGGTCCCACAAGAGTTCTGCAGGTGATGGTTTTGTGTGTGTGTGTGTGTGTGTGTGTGTGTGTGTGTGTGTATTTGTGCGTTTGTTTGTACTTCGATCTGAACCAAACCTGGTCATAAGCAATTGTAACCATTAAGCAAGGAACAATAAAGGAGAATATTTGTAGCTTCAGAGGCCTTGGGTGCTGTCTGAACGTCTTGTTGTCTTGCAGGTGTTTTATTACCCAGCTAGGTTACATCATCAGTGCTAGAAGGGAGTGGAGTTTGAGGATAGAGGAGGAGGGAAAAGGAAGGAGGGTGTCAAAGCAAGAATATACAGTATATTCTTGCTTTGACAGAGGGAGGAAAAAAGAAGGAAAAAGGAGGAGGAGAACGATCACTGTGGAGTCCTAGGTGCTCTCTGAGCTGGGTGGTTTTCTTACAGACGTTTCATGACCCAACTAGGGAACCTCATCAGTGCTAGAAGGGAGGGGGTTTGCAGAGAGGAGGAGGAGGACGACGACAACCACAACTGGGGGTGATGATGACCTACTTTGGGCAATGAAAACTCTGCACGAAAACTACCAAGCTCAGAGAACACCAAGCACCCCTCAGACACAATAATCCAGAATAGTAATTCCCCCACCTCCTCCATATTTTTAAGAAAAGGAGAGAGAGAGAGAGAGAGATTCTCTTGCAATTCCCTAGAACAAGACCCAGGCTGGGGGCAGATCACCTGGACAGTTGTGGATTTCGTAGGATTTGCACCCTGGAAGAACCCTAATTGTGCTTCCTGTATTATGTTAGATCACCGATTTCAACCAGCGCAGAAACGACCGCCTCTCATACGAAGGGGAGGAGTTGGACCAAGACCTGTGGAAGTTGAAAAATCCAGACCTGGAGCAAGAGTTGGAAGTGAGCTTTGCAGAGCTGGGAGAACGGCCTCCGGCCTGGCGCTTGTAATTCCTTCCCAACTAACAGCCACTCTTGGTCTGTGTGTGTTTTGCCCTCTTTGCAGGTCCAGCTGAAATTGGAAGGAGGGATCGGCTTGTCTTTGGTTAACAAGGCCCCCGAAGAGCTGATCTTTGCAACTTTCATCGGCATCAATGTCCATTTCACCCAGCTGTCCGCCAGCCAAGTGCTGGAACTGAGTATACAGGATGTGCAGGTAATTGAAAGCGCCACGGCAATAGCAGCAGCTATAAGTCTTAAGACTTACAGGCCGCTTCACAGCCCTCTCTAAGCGGTTGACAGGGTCAGCAATCTTGTCCCCCAACAATCTGGGTCCTTATTTTACTGACCTCGGAAGGACGGAAGGCTGAGTCAACGTTGAGCCGGTGAGAATCAAACTCCTGGCAGTGGGCAGTGAATTAGCCTACAATCCTGCATTCTAATCACTAGGGAGGGAGGGAAGAAAGGAAGGAAAGAAGGAAGGAAGGGGAGGGAGGGAGGAAGGAAGGAAGGAGATATGGAGAAAGGGAGGGAGGGAGGAGGGAGAGGGAGGTAAGAAGGAAGGAAGTAGAGAGGGAAGGAGGAAGGGAGGGGAGGGAGGAAGGAAGGAAGGAAAGAAGGAGAAAGGAAGAAACAAAGGAGGGAGGAGAGGAAGGAAGGAAGGAGAGTAAAGGTTCTGGAGATTTTTACAAAGTCCAGGGTCTAGAAGGGGGTTGGACTAGAAGATCTCCAAGGTCCCTTCCAGCTCTGTTCCGACTGATTGATTAATTGATTGATTGATTGCAATGGTCTAGGCTCTCCTCCTTGAGCAAGGGGTTGGACTAGAAGACCTCCAAGGTTCCCTTCCAGCCCTGTTCTTCTGCAAGCTTCCTCCGCTTGCTCGTCCATTGATCAGCTAATAGATTTGGGCATCTGTTTTCATAATCAGAACCCAGAACTCTGTTTATTGTCCAGAGCTTGAAAACCTCTAAATATCTCTGTCTGCCTCCTCCTTTCTTCCCCAGGTCGACAACCAGCTCCTCCGCACCACTCAGCCCTTCGTGCTGTTCCTCACCCCCAAGATGGGCGAGAACGAAGTGGCCGATACGGGCCCAGCCGTGCAGCTGAACGCTATGAAATTTCCTAGCAAAACCCCTCTGAGTGACATATACAAGGTAACCCATTCCCACCCCAGTCCTCGGATGGGTGATGTTGCAGAACCGGGGGGGGGGGGGAATCTTCTAATCTCGGCCCATCGCTCCCTTGGATCAAAAACCAAAAAAAAAAAAAAAGGCAAGAAAAGAATCAAGGGCCCCATCATGCTCGGATTTCTTGGCCCTTCTAAATCAGTGTTTCTCAACCTTGACCATTTTAAGGCATGTGGACTTCAACTCCCAGAATTCCACAGCCAGCGTTGGTCAAGGTTGAGAAACACTGTAATCTAAATCCACCGGATCCACCCAATACGCAAGAGGCTGAAATTCAGAGCACTTGAATTCTGGGGCTGCCAGCTTCTCTTACATAAACTCTCTTATCAAATGCATTTCTTTCTGGCCTTTTATCCCCGTTATCAAATTTAGTTGCTGCCCGTTCCTGCGGTTCAAGATGACCTCTTGGTGCCCTTTCCTTTTTTTTTTTTTTTTTGGAATACTCTAATAGCCCTCTTCCGTTCCAGCACCTGATGATCACAGCAAGCAAGTTTACGGTTCAGATCGAGGAGAAACTGCTCCTTAAACTGCTCAGTTTCTTCGGCTGCAACCAGTCAGAATCGGGTACGTTCTCCCGTCAGCTGCAAATTCTGTGTACGGACCGGCCCATCCCTAATAAGAGTTGTTGTCAGAGAGTTGTGTTGCAAAGAGACTTCCCTGAACGTGGAGCCCCCCCTCCCCAAAAAACACATTTTTTAAAAAAAAGAAAGTCTTAACGGAGGAGGTCCTGCCGAGTTCTCTCTTTCAGAACGGATCTTAAAATGTGATTTCCGGCCTGTACAGCTAGTCCTCAAATTACAGCCAATGACGGACGGTTCAAGGTTACAACGGCACAGGAAAAAAAGTGACTTTTGACCGTTTTTCACAGTTAACAACTGTTGCAGCATCCTCATGATCATTTCTCCAAGCTAGAACTAAGGAGGAATGTCCTGACAGTCAGAACAATTAAGCCGGTGGAACAGCCTGCCTCCAGAAGCGGTGGATGCTCCAACACTGGAGGTTTTTAAGTAGAGACTGGACAGCCCTTGGTCTGAAATGGTGTAGGGTTTCCTGCCTGAGCAGGGGTTGGACTATAAGATTTCCAAGGTCCCTTCCAACTTTATTGTTGTTGTTGTGATTAAAATTTGGACGCTTGGCAACTGGCTCGTATTTATGACGGTTTTGCAGTGTCCCTGGGGCCACATCATCCCCTTTTATGACCTTCTGGCCAGCCAAAGTCAATGGGGAAGCCATAGTCACTTAACAATCGTGTCACTTACTTAACCCCTGCAGCGATTTAACAACTGTGGCACGAAAGATTGTAAAAAGGGGGGAAAATCACTTAATCTAACGTCTCACTTCAGCCACATAAATGCCGGGCTCCCTTGCAGCTCACGGACGTCTCTCTCTCTCTCTTCCTTCCTCACCTGTTGGCCACACAGAGGTTGAAAATTACGACGAAAACCTCCACGAAAAGCCGGCTGGTCAAGAGGTTGCCCGGAAGAGATACTATTTCGAAAACCTCAAAATTAGCGTGCCCCAAATAAAACTCAGCGTCTTTACGTCTAGCAAGCTCCCCCTGGATCTCAAGGTAAGACTTTGGGGGTGTCTTTCTTCACTAAGGTGGGTCTCCTTTGGTTGCTGTCCCAAAATAGTAAAGCTCAGCCTCCCCACAAAAGTCCTCTGCTGAGCTTGGTCTGCAGTACCCATTTTACAGAAGGGAAAGATTCTAACAACTGACGGGTTCTTCCTGGCTGTTCCGAGCTCAGGCACTGAAGAGCACGCTGGGATTTCCTCTCGTGCGCTTCGAAGACGCCGTCATAGACCTGGATCCTTACACCCGGGTCCACCCCTACGAGACCAAGAGCTTCATCGTCAACGACATCCTCAAGCACTTTCAGGAAGTAAGTGGCTCCCGGGTTGAAAGGCTTTAAAGATCCTTTATTTCTTGTTCCGACGGGGGCAGCCGTTCCCGAGCGGGTGGCTCACGCCGTGAGCTCCACCTTGCAACATTTCCGCCTCGTGTTTTCCAGGAACTGCTCAGCCAGGCGGCCAGGATCCTCAGCTCCGTGGATTTCCTGGGAAACCCCATGGGGCTCTTGAACGACGTCTCCGAAGGGGTCACCGGGCTGATCAAGTACGGCAACGTGGGCGGCCTCATACGGAACGTGGCTCACGGCGTGTCGAACTCCGCGGCAAAGGTAGGCAGCCCGGAAAGGGGTGACTCGGGCCTGGCCTGACAACTGACAGGTAGCCCTCTGCAGGTAGCAGTAGTGGGTGGGTGGGTGGGTGGATGGATAGATGGATGGATGGATGGGAGGGAGGATGGATGGATGGATGGATGGATGGGAGGGAGGATGGATGGAGGGAGGGAGGGAGGATGGATGGATGGGAGGGAGGGAGGATGGGTGGATGGATGGATGGATGGATGGATGGGAGGGAGGATGGATGGATGGATGGATGGATGGATGGATGGATGGATGGATGGATGGAACAGCTTGCCTTCAGCAGTTGTGAATGCTCCAACACTGGAGGTTTTTAGGAAGAGACTGGACAACCATTTGTCTGAAATGGGATAGGGTTTCCTGCCTGAGCAGGGGGTTGGACTAGAAGACCTCCCAGGTCCCTTTCAGCGCTGTGATTCTATTATCATCAGTGGGACTGCTTCCCTCCAGAAGTTGTGGGCGCTCCACCACTGGAGGTTTTTAAGAAGAGACTGGAGAGCCTCTTGTCTGGAATGGTATAGGGTTTCCTGCCCGAGCAGGGGGCTGGACTAGATGACCTCCAAGGTCCCTTCCAACTCTGTTATTCTGTTAAAATATTGCTCTTCCCCTGCAAGGAAGCTCAGCCTGAGCAGCTGACCAGGGCTACAGCTTCTCTGTGGATGCTGTCAGCAAGGAGAGGAAGATTAATGACGGAGTCTGCTCCCCAGATCCTTCCACCTGATTCCAAAAAAATGCCAGACGCTCTTTCATCCTTGTCTGCCTCTGGCTGGGGGGCTGGAAATCACAGTTAAATGTCAGGAGAAACGCAGCCCCTTCCCCTTCTTGGTTATCTCTTCTTCAGCCAGGTGGGCCTTTGGACTCTGAAGCTGAACAAAGCTGAATTTTAATAACCCCTTTAAAAAAAAAAGCATGCAAAAAAAAATAATCCTTCTTTATGGGCCGCATCTGGTTTTGCCATTGTCTGGATTTTTCGCTTGACGATCCCCATAATGGTTTTTCCATGTATCTTGGAAGCGGGGAATGGCTTCTCTCAAACGTCCTGAGTATTGAAGTTGGCACAGAGATCTCGGATGGAGAAAGTTCACTGCAGTTTGATCCCTGGTGTGTGTGCTAGGAAAGGACTTTGATCCTAAATATAGGCCTTGGAGTGAGTTTCCATTCCCTTTGCCCTGGAGGCTGCTGGCAGAGAGAGAGAGAGAGAGAGAGAGAGAGAGAAACAAACAAAGGGAAAAAGGAAAAGGAGAAAAGAGAACGAAGGAAAGAGACAAAGGAAGGAAGAAAGAGAAAGGAGAGAGGGAGGGAGGGAGAAGCAGGAGGAGGAGGAAGGAAGGAAGGAAATGGAAGGGAAGGAAGGAATACTATAATATAATATACAATATCATATAATACAGTACAATACAATATACTATAGTATATAATACAGCAATATGATATAACATACACTGTACTACAATATACTGTGCTGTAATATATAATATAGCATAATATAATATACTATGCTATACTATAATATAATATGGCAATGTAACATAGAAGACAATACAATATAGCCATACAATGCATAATGTAACGCAATGTAGTGTAACCTAATATGTAAAATACATAATATAAAATACTAACAGCGTGCTACACAACCTCTCGGGATCGCAAAAGAGAGAGGAGGTAAACCAGAGTTCACTGGCCGGGATGGGGAGGAAGAAGGTGCTAAAAGATTTTGGGAACTGACAAATCTCAGCAGAGGAGACGACTAAATCCCGAGCCGGGCCTTTCATGTCGGAAATTTTATGTTTTCTTAGGGAGTTTTTGATTTCTGCTGAGGCAGCTGCAGCTGTAGCCCCCCACCCTCCCCGCAGCAGCCCCCTCCCTTCACTCAGGAGCCATCAGGAGGGGAACATTTAAGGCGAACTGGGAACTGCGCTTTTTCATCCCATGTGCGAAAGACGCTCACCACTATCCACGTGCTTTTTTTTTTTGTCTAAAAAACCCCAAACGCTGAATTTGGCCGAATTTCAGAAACCAGCTCTCGTCCTACAGGTACATAGTCCCAACTTAACGACCACAGTGGAGTCCCACATTCATCTGTGGTTGTACGTCGAGGACCACCTGTGTTCCCTCCACTTGTTTTTTTTTCAAGTCCTCGCCTTCCTGGCGTGGGTTTGGCCACACGAGAGCGTATTTTCTCTCTCTCTCTCTCTCTCCTTGTGGCTGGCAGGAGGTGGTGTTGTCGCGCTTCCAATCACAAAGCAGCTCCAAAGTTCATGGATTATGAGCCCAGCGCAGGAGGGTGGGTTGTGTAACTCTGGCGTGTGGCTGTGTGTGTGTGTGTGTGTGTGTGTGTGTGCGTGTAGGTGAAGAGTTGCCCTGGGTTTGTGTTCCCAAAGCCCTCCCTCCCCGTTGTAAATCTCCATCAATGCTGACTTTGAACCCTGGCGAGGGAAACAAGTTATTTGTGTGTGTGTGTGTGTTTGCCTCTTGCCTGGATGTTCTGTGCCCTACGACAAATAAGCATTCATAAGTGAAAATCCTTGGCAGCTCTTCCTGTTTCCTTTGCTTTGGGGAAAGGGGAGGGGGCAACAACCTGATTTTTTTTTCCCAAAAAAAGCACTTTATTACAGCCATAGGGCCAGAAAGAGTAAAATACCCAATTGCCTACATACACATATTTAAAAAAGCACCGAGCGTGACCTCATGACGATGAGGAGCACCTATAACGAAATTAATTTTAAAAAACTGGGATGGGAGGGCAGCGATGGGACCCAACGGGAGCAAAGATGCTGCATTAAGGAGTCGGGTGCATTGCAATTGATCCTGGGGGGGTGTCTGGCTTTGCTTTGCCCCCCCCCCCAAAATGATCCATCGTAGCTTAATAAAGCCTCACTTGCCCCAGCAGTGAACCCCGCCAGCGACTGAGGTCATTTCAAGTTCACTCTGGACTTTTGACAGCCGTGTGTGTGTGTGTGTGTGTGTGTGTGTGTGTGTGTGTGTGTGTGTGTGTAGGGAAAACAGCCGGTGGGGCGGGATCTCTCGCATTCAGGCCTGTAACACAACACGGTTGCCCGCAGGGCCCCGCTGTGCAGCTTCACCGGAGCTGCCTCCCGTCAGGCCTCCGCGGAGGGGTGGCGGGCAACAGCCCGGATGCCCCACTTCATTGGGAGTCCGTGGAGAGCCCTGCTGGACCCCTACCCGGTCCTCAACTTACAACTGAGCGTTTAGTGCTCACGATGTTCCCTGGTTTGGGTCATGGAAGGTCTATAAGGAAACCAGCAAGCTCAGAGAGGAGCACGGAGCCCATAATCCTTCCTCCTCCTCCTCCTCCTCCTCCCTGCAGACCCCACTCCCTTCTAGCTGGGAGGGTCTGAATAAATTGGCCTGGGGCTTGGGGAGCTTCCAAAAATGGGAAAAGCCTCCACGGGGGAATGGCAAGCCCTGAATTGGGGCTATTAACACTGCCTTCGCTAAGCTTTTGTCCGAAGCTAATCCCCACCTCCCACCTCTTTCTCAGCCAGGGCATCAGGCCTTCTGCCACCAGCCATGTGCCAGTTTTGGCAGGCCACAGAAAGGGAGCTGCTCAACAAGCCTTCCCTTGGCCAGCAGCCCGCCCCTGTCTGGGTTTTGTGTTGTTTTTTTGAAGGTTCTAAACTGAATTCTGGGCCCTTCTCTAGCTAATCCACCTAGGAAGTCAGAAGATCCTCAGATCAATTGGGGAAAAAAGAGTGCTCCGACTGACCTATGGATGGACGGATGGATAGATAGATACATGATAGATATAGAAATAGATACAGACAGACATGTATATGTATATATGTTTATTTTCTGAGGTTTTCGCGGGTGTTTGTATGTAGGTCTTTGGTTATTTGGGTTTTCTCCTGCGTCAAATTGGAAGTGTCTTGGCGACGTTTCGACGAAGTCCCATTCATCTTCAGGCTGGTGTTTTCGGCTTCGTGCTTCGAGGAGCAATGTGTGATCGCACATTGCTCCTAGAAGCACAAAGCCGAAAACAGCAGCCTGAAGACGACGAATGGGACTTCAGCGAAACATCGCCAAGACACTTCCAATTTGACGCGGGAGAAAACCCGAATAACCAAAGACCTACATATATGTTTATGTATATATACAGTATACATATATGTGTGCATGACAGAGAGCAGGCATCAGAATTTCATTTTGATGTGTGCCATTGTGTACCCAGAAATGAAGGTTTATCTGATCTTAAATGTACAGGAGTCCCTGTCCTTGGAATGTAATTATATAGCTGCGTAGGTTAGTTATGTTCTGGGCAATTAATAGATGCCTTTTTTTTTTAACCTTCACGGCAGTTTACGGGAACTTTGTCTGACGGTCTGGGAAAGACGATGGATAACCGGCATCAGACGGAGCGGGAATACATCCGATACCACGCAGCCACCAGCGGCGAACACCTGGTGGCCGGCATCCAAGGCCTGGCTCACGGTAATCAGCGTCCACTTTCTCTCTCTCGCTCTCTCTCCCCACAAAAGACACTTTGGCTGCCTTTGCGTTCCACTCCTTTTGGCGGTCCTTTTGTCCCAAAACTTTTCGTTCAAGCCCTCATCAATACCTGCCTCCTTTTTTTTCCCAACAGGCATCATCGGCGGGCTGACCAGCGTGATCACGTCGACGGTAGAAGGGGTGAAGACCGAAGGCGGAATGAGCGGCTTCATATCCGGTCTTGGGAAAGGACTCGTTGGCACCTTAACGAAGCCGGTGGCCGGTGCCCTGGACTTTGCCTCGGAGACCGCCCAAGCCGTCCGAGAGACAGCCACGCTGACCGGCCCCAGGTGAGTGGAACGGGTTGGGTTGGTGTCCGTCTTTCGTCAGGTGTCATCGTACATCCTCAGCTTACGACAAGTCATTTAGGGACCGTTCCAAGTTACAACTACACTGAAAAAAAGGGATTTGGGGCTGCTTTTCACACTTAACGACAGTTTCCTAACTGTGAAGACAACCAGTGGAACAGCTTGCCACCGGATGTTGTGGAGGTTTTTAAGAAGAGACTGGACAGCCACCTGTCTGGAATGGTCCAGGGTCTCCTGCTTGAGCAGGGGGATGGACTAGAAGACCTCTGAGATCCCTTCCAACTCGGTTCTGATTGAGTGATCTTTGTGGCTTTTCTCTGCACTCTTTCTAGACCAGTGGTTCTCCACCTGTGGGTCGGGACCCCATTTGGGGGTCAAACGACCATTTCACGGGGGTCGCCAAACAACGCAGTCCGCCATTTTTTTCCCCCTTTTCCTTAGCTGTGCTGCTCCCTTTTATTCTATTGGCTTTTGAAAGCCAACAGAATAGACTCTCTTGAATAGAGTCTGATTCTATTGGCTTTCAAAAGCCAATAGGAATTGTCCAGGCTGTCTCTGCCCTGCTGAGCCCGCCAAAAGTCCCATTCTGCAAACGGTGCTGCACCCGTTGAGTTAGTCCTCGACTTACGACCGGTTGGATAGTCCTCGACTTACGACCGGTTGGGGGTCACGGCATTAAAAAGGTTGAGAACCACTGTTCTAGAGTCTCCACATCTGTTTCTAATATCGTGGCTCCTAAAACTGGATGCCATATTGCAAGTAGAGCCTCCTCCTTCTTCATTGTGACCGTCAGTGGGAAAAGTGGGGAGGGGGTGTGTTTGGTGCCCGCAGGGGGGGGGGATGCAGCCCGACCCCACCGAAACGGTTTCCCAAGACCGCATCCTGGAAAGCTGGGGATGAAAGCCAGGTTGTGCTACAATGAGGATTGTTTTGGCTGAACTCCACTTGAACCCAGAAGCCTATCGCTAACAATGATGCACTGATTACCTGCTTAAGGTGGGGGGGGGGGTCAATGGGAGTTTGTCTCCCGTCCCCACCCCTCCCCTCCCCTCAGCCCCTCCCTCCTCCTTCCACCCAGCTTTCATCCTTGGGCTTTCTACCTTCCCCCACTTCCTCTTCAAAACCAACACAGAAGGGAGAAATAAACAAATAAATAAACTAGGAACGGACGTTTACACGCCCCGCTTGGCAAACAAGGTGTGTGCAGCCTCTCTGGGACTTGAAAGGTCTTTTGGAAACTGCAAGGAGACCAGTGAAGGGGCTGAAAAAGGAAATTAAATGACAGGCAGAAAGAGGGGGAGGGGAAGATAAGCATAACAACCCCGGTGTTCGCTTAATGACCGACTGCGGCGATTGACTTAACGGCCACTGCAAAACAGAAGATCTCTGCTTCCAGCTCTTATTCTGATTGATTGGTCTAAAATTTCTCCTGCCTGAGCAGGGGGTTGGACTAGAAGACCTCCAAGGTGTCTTCCAGCTCTGGTCTGATTGATTGATTGATTGATTGAAATGGTTTAGGGCAGGGGTGTCGCACCCACCCCAGCTCCAGCAAGGGGGAAAAAAGTCGCAATATCTCGTGGCACGTCCTGTGACGCAGCGAGTTTGACGCCCCTGGTCTAGGGTCTCCTGCACGAGTAGGGGCTGGACTAGAAGACCTCCAAGGTCCCTTCCAGCTCTTAATCTGACTGATTATTATTATTATTATCGCCTCGGTATTTCTTTGCATTAGCACTGCAGTCTCCTGGCTGATGCAACGTTGCGATACGCTGAATAAAATAGATTTGCTAGGGCAAGGATTGGATCTCTGGGTGAAAGAAAGGTGTCACGGATTGGCCAGAAATTCGCAAACCAACAAACAAAGCCAATGAAATGATTGAAGGCTGAAGGGTTCAATTTCTCCACTTTTTTTTCCCCTGCTCTAGAGATTTCCACCTAATGAGGTCTTCCTGAAAAACCACTTGAGTGTCAATAAAACGGCATCCAGAAGGCTAACATGAGTCACAACTATTCAAAGGGAGGGGAAAAGGAGAAAGAGAGAGAGAGAAAAAAAGAAAGTTTCCTTTCATTCTTTTTAAGAGTCTTACATAAAGTGACACCAGAATGAGAAATGGATTATTTTCAGCTCAGGAGTCCAAGGGAGTATTCAGAGTTCAGCCAACACAAGGAAAAGACATTTGCAGTACATTTCTCTTCCTCCCTCCCTCTCTCTCTCTCTCTCTCTCTCTCTCTCTCTTTCTCTCTCTTTCTTTCACTCTCTTTCTCTCTCTCTCTTTCTCTTTCTCTCTCTCTCTCTCTCTCTCTCTCTCTGGCTTGGAAGGGGGAGGGAGGGAGAAAGGTTGAAGTTTCAAACAACAGGGAAACTCAGGGCACCTTAGCTGGGTTCAGAGGACAGAATAACACAGTTGGAAGGGACCTTGGAGGTCATCTAGTCTGACCCCCCCTGCCCGAGCAGGAGACTGACCCTACACCATTCTAGACAAATGGGGTTTTCAAAAAACCTCCAGTCTTATCGATAGAAACTTCTTTTTTTTTTTTCCCCTTCTTCCTTGGAGACATTGTGGACGCGCTCGCAAAAAGGGTGGCGTGGCGAGCACAGCCACAGAGCCTCTATTTCTCAAAAAGCAGACTGGTGAAGTTTAACAGACTAACAATGTTGGAAGGGACCTCGGAGGTCTTCTAGTCCATCCCCCTGCTCAGGCAGGGAAAAACCCCAGGCCGTTCCAGACAGGTGGCTGTCCAGTCTTCTTCTTAAAAACCTCCCGTGTTGGAGCATTCGCAACTTCCGGTGGCAAGCTGTTCCGCTGGTTAATGGTCCTGACCGTCGGGAAATGTCTCCTTCATTCCAGGTTGATTCTCTCCTTGGTTAGTCTCCCTCCGGCCTTCAGGTGATTTGAAAAATAAGTGGACTCCCCCTCTTCTTTGGGGCAGCCCCTCAAATACTGGAAGACTGCTATCCTGTCACCCCCGGTCCTTTTTTTTTTTCTCCCCTAGACTGGCCCTACCCAATTTATAGGTATAGGATTTCCTGTCTGAGCAGGGGGTTGGACTAGACGACCTCCAAGGTCCCTGATGCTGATGTCCCCCATTTAGTCCTGTCTGATTCTTGGTAATTCCACAGGGCAGGTCTCGGCTCATCTTCTTAAAATCTTAAAATGGCTTCTTTTGAGTTGTTCTCTGCTCCGGCCAGCGTGGGCTTTGACGGTTTCCTTTTACTGCTAACGGTTCCTGGCATGGTGGCTTTCTCCGTGAATTCCCCCCCCCCCCGTGGTATGGCCAGAATGAGTGAGAGACGGTTTTGTGATTCCTTTACCCCAATCCCACTGTGGCTTAGGAATAACTGTTTCTCACACACACACACACACACACAGCCTTGGGGAAAAATATCCATGCACGCTCAGCCTTTCCAAGGAACAACACCCAGCGTAGAGCAGATGTGTCTGTGCAGAGAGTTCTTGCGTAGGAATTGGATGTGGACTGTCTTAAGGACGCTTGCAATGCTAATATAGGTGAGCCACATGGCGGTTCTCACCTGCTGGTAATTTACAATGGGTTGGCAACCTATCCATATTCTGTGGCTTCTGCTGCTTTTCCTTTCTTTCTTTCTTTCTTTCTTTCTTTCTTTCTTTCTTTCTTTCTTTCTTTCTTTCTTTCTTTCTTTCTTTCCTTCTTTCTTTTTTTCTTTCTTCTTTCCTTCCTTCCTCCTTTCTTTCTTTCTCTTCCTTCTTTCCTTCCTACCTGCCTTCCCTTTTTCGCCTTCCTTTCCTTTTTCCCCTTTTTGTTTGTTCCTTCCCTTTCCCGCCTTCCTTCCTTTCCTTTTTTCTCTTCCTTCCTTTGTTTATTCCTTCCCTCCTTCCTTTCCTATTTCCCTCCTTCCTTCCCTCCCTCCCATCTTCTGTCCTTTCCTTCCTTCTTCCTTCCCTCCCTCCAACTTTTTCTTCCTTCCTCGTGTATCTTTTCATTCCTTCCTTCCTTCCACCCTTCCTTCCCTCCCTATTTCCCTCCCTCCCTTCCCTCTTCTGTCCTCTTTTCTTCCTTCCCTTTTCCCCCTTCCTTCCTCCTTCCCTCCCTCCAACTTTTTCTTCCCTCCTTGTGTATCTTTTCCTTCCTCCCTTCCTTCCATCCATCCATCCATCTGGCTTTCTCAGCTTTCCATTTGCAGTCGTAAGCCGAGGACTCTACGTAGGCCTTTGCGAGCAGGAAGTGCATCACCCCTCCTGTAGCACCTGCCTAGGACAGTTGCTTTTCGGCCGTGGCTGGCTGGAGCGTGCCCCCCAGCCCCTGCACTGACCTGAGGGCCCCCCTGGCAGCCGGGGGAGGGAGTGCCCCCCCTGCCTGGCAGCCCAGATCTCCCCCCCCATGCATTCACCCTCGGCCTGCCCTCCTGCTGACCTTTTTGTCTCCCTTTGAGCCTCTTTGCAGCTCTCGGCAAAGCACCTCTCCTTTGCTGCACCAAGGCCAGCCCCCCCCCCCCACCATCACACACACACAGACACACCCGTGGGGGTCCCATCCCAAGCCGGCCTGAAAAGCTTGGGGCGGGTAAATTTACCCCCTCCCCTCCAGCACGACAAAAGAGAGCTGATCTGAACTTGGCTGATGATGGGGGGGGGAGCAGTGGGGAAGGAAGGTTGCGTCCCATTGATTGCGGTCTGGCGGGGAGCCAGGCCCCGGGTTTGACCGACGGTTGAACTACAGCGTTAAGGCGTGTGTAATGCTACTCGGGGTTTTGTACGGCCGCCAACGAGTACATATGCAGAGGGCAAAAGTTTAGAGCGAGCCCGGGCTCTCCGAATTAACCCTCTCGCGCAGCACGTAACGGATCCCTTTCCTCCCCATTCAGGAAAATGCGATCCCGCAATTATGGCTTTATTTCCGAGTTTCGGCCCCAAAGAGCAGCGGGCGAGGGGGGGGGAGACAATAGGAGGCATTGATGGCTGGCACCCTCCCTCCCCCCCCCCAGCAGTGGGGCATGGGCTAGAGGATCCTTTTACTTGCAACCGTTCGAGCTTACAACAGCCTTGAGGAAAGGGAGTTAGCGCCCTTTCTCACACTTAAGGACTGTCATTGGGGTCACTCCTTCAAAATTCGGACCTTTGTATTTAGGACGGGTCGTAAACAACCGTGTAACTAATTCAACACCTGCAGCGATTCACTTCACAACCGGCGCACAAAACGGGGCAAGCCTCGCTTAACCAGTGTCTCGTTTAATAATGTCTCAGTTAGCGATGTCAACGTTGGGCTCCGTTGCCGTTGTAAGTCGAGGACAACCTGCAACTGTGCCGGCCTGCCTTTAAAGTCTGTTTAGGAAGATTGTGAAAGTCGTGACCCGTTTGATCTTTTTTTAAAAAAAAAACAACAAAAAAAACGAGGATGTTTGGTGAAAAATGTAGCTGCACAGGTTGTGTTGCACAGGTTGTGTTTTTTTCAGCCTCCCCCCCCCCCCTCAAAATTCCTTCAAAATAGCTATTTTCTCTGGTTAGTTTGCAACAGAGCAAGTTTCTTATCAGAAAGACAGGTTTTTGTCTGGGCCAAGACAAAAATACCCCCTTTTCACACACACACACACACACACACACACACACACACACACACACCCCAGCTGTGATTAACAGTCACTCTCTATTTTTCACATGTTAATTTTTCGGTGTGTTGCTACTGCAAAAACCGGCCCAGGTAATCCAATTAAAAAAAAATGCCGTATATTGTGTTTGAAAGCCTCCTTGCTATCCTCTGTCAAAAAAACAAATAGAGGGGGATTAAATCAAAACAGATCACGCCTCTAAAAACGTTGGCGAGAGCATAAATCATCGGAAACATATACTAGAATATTAAAAGTTGGAAAGTTGAGAGAAAAGAAAGGAAAAAAAAGAGGGGGGGGACAATAAAAACACTGCAAGCTTGTATCACAAACCCAATCAGCTGGAGAAAAACTGGACCAGACTGCAGACTTGACTCCCGAAGAGTTTGTCATACGATATCACAATGACATATTTCCCCCCCCCTCCTAATTTTTAGTCCCAGATCTCAGACACGATGCAATTTGCTTTGGAAACTGCCAGCAGAGGAAAATGTTGCTTGTCTGCCAGCAGCCCTAAATACAGGCGCTCCTCGACTTAACGGCCGTAATTTCAGCTCAAAATTGAGGCCGCTAAGCAAAACCTTTGCAAAGTGCAGCTGTAAGTTGAGAACTTGGTTAGAAAGGGAAGTGTCTTAAAATTAAAAAAAAGAAAAAAGAGAGATGCAATGTGTAATTTAAGACCCAAAAGAAGAAGGATAGATAGATGATAGATAGATAGATAGATAGATAGATAGATAGATAGATAGATAGATAGATAGATGATAGATAGATAGATGATAGATAGATAGATAGATGATAGATAGATATAGATGATAGATAGATAGATAGATAGATAGATAGATAGATAGATAGATAGATAGATAGATAGATAGATAGATAGATGTGCTATGTTCACCACCATCCCTGCCAAAGAATTTTGGCTTAGCCATCTTAAGGAAGGTAAGATGTGTCTTTGTGTGAACCTGAGTTGTGTTACTGAGGCTTCTCGTTTGCACATCAGGACGGCTGGCCTCCTTCGCCTCCATTGTGCTTGTAAAATATATTCGGGGCTCCTGAGCCAACATTAACGTCGACTCCAGCAATCCGAAACTGCCTGGCTGAAAAGCAGATTTTTTCCTGCCTTTTGGCAAGTTTCCGCGAACGCCACGATCCTCAGAATAACAGTAAACGAGACGGAACTTTTGGGGGTCTGTTTTGCTTTTCTTTGGAGAAAAACCTCCAAGGCTCTCTTGGAACAGTAGTTTTCTGTTCAAGCTGTTCGCCCGCCCCCCCCCATCTCTGCATTTTTTTTTTTGGACCCTCCTTTTTTTTTTAAAGCCCTCCCCAAGCTTTGTCCTGTGTGTGTGTTTGCCTTTCCAAGGGGAATCAGTCAATGAATGGGGAGCTGGGTTTAATAAAACCTAGATGCAAACAATTCACCATGCATTTAATTGGCTTCTTTTTTTAAAAAAATTGCATTTGCAGCTTTTTGTATGTTGCGCACATAGACACATACACACACACACACACACCCCAAGTGCTCTTTATTTGCAGAAGGCAGCCAGACAAACCGGAGTTTAAATCGTCCTAATATTCAAGAGCTGTGCAATGTTTATTTTCTCATCCAGCTCAAATAAGACGCAGTTGCCAGAAGCTCACAGTTCATTGTTTACAGCATCCAGGACTGTGGGGGGGGGGACTGGGGAAAAAAAAGGTCTTAACAACATTTAAACCATGTTAGACCAAGATAGCCATGCAAACTAGGATAGAGACTGGTTTGATTGGGCTGGTAATTCTACCTATACATTATTTATTTAGTCCAGCAATCTCATTTATTTGGGGGATTTATCCGAGAATTCCTTCCCCGTTGCTATTTTTGCAACATTTGTGGACAACTCCACTGTTGTTTATTTATCATCTTGTCTCATTCAATGACTTCGATCCAGACGTCTGGCACAGGCTCTGTCTGGAGGGTGCCTGTGCAGACAGTCCTTAACCTACGACCGCTTTGTTCAGCGAGACGTGTGTCAAGGGAGTTTTCGCCCCGTTCTTGCCACAGCTGTTAAATGAATCACCGCGGTGGGTAAGTCGGCAGCGCAGTTGTTAAATGAATTTGGCGTCCCCCGCTCACGTTGCTTCTCAAAAGGGGATCACGTGACCTTGGGACACAGCGACGGTCGTACGTATGAGCCCGTTGCCAAGCATCTGAATTTTGATTACATGATCGGGGAGGGGGACGCATCAAAGGTGGCACGTGTTCAAAAAACGGTCCTTCTTCCCTTTTTTTTCCTGTGCGGTCGTAACTTAGAACGGTCGCTAAACAAATGGTTGTAAGCCAAGGACTACGTGCAAATTCTTGCCTGCTTTAATTCAGAAAGAAGAGCACAATTTTTTTCTCTCTTTTTTTGCGCAAGTGTTTTAACTTTTATGTGCCTGCAAACTGGGCCAGCCTGAAAGGAGAGGGCTGGGTGGCGTTGTGTTATCCCGAGTTCAAGTTCTGCCTGCTTGGCAAGTTCCCTCCCTCCCTCCCTCCCTGGTTTGTGATGCATCTGTCCATTGGCTTTTGGCTTTGGAACTGTAATTTCCACTCCTGGAAGGAAGTGAACACTTTGCGCTGGGAGAGTTGGATGCTACTCTGGGTGAACCGTGGAGGGTGGGGGGGGGACACGGGGAGGGGGGGAACCAGCCAAGCTGGTGGGGAGCCAGAGGACAGGCCGTGCCAGAGAACAGAACAAAACAGACAAAAAGAGTTGTGTGCTAAGAGGCAATTCCTCCTTCGCTTCATTCTGCAAATATGGGCAACCTGGCATTGGCACCATGGTCCGGAACAATCGCCCCCCCCCCCCATTCCTGTGCCCTAGATGTTCCCGGGGAGCCCTCAAGCCTTCTGTCACCCAGCTGTTCCTTCCCTGTCCTTTTCTTCTGCTGCATCGGACACCCAGTCCTCAACTTAAGGCCACAAGTGAACCCACCAAAATTTAGGTCGCCCCGTGAAACATTCGCTCGCTGGGTTTTGCCACCGTCGCGAAGCAGATCACTGCCATTGTGAAGTTAGTAATAGGGTGGTTGAGGGGATTCCCCCTTGACTTTGCCAGTCAGAAAGTCGCAAAGGGGGGGATCGTGTGACACACACACACACACACACACACACACACACACACACAGGGAAGGCCGCCACCGTCATAAATACGAGTCGGTTGCCCGAGCGTCTGAATTTTGATCCCGTGTCCACGGGGAATGCAGTGCGAAGAACGGTCCTCAGTCGCTTTTTTTCCGATCCTGACACAGCTTCGGTCGCAAAGCGAATTGTTAGTAACACGGTGTTAAGTGAATCCAGGGTCGCTTTTTTGGGGGCACCATTGTAATTTCGAACAGTCACTAAACGAGCCGTGGTAAGAAGTAGCGGATGGAAACTCATCAAGGAGAGAAGCAATCTAGAACGCAGGAGAAACTTCCTGACAGTCAGAACAATTAACCAGTGGAACTACCTGCCTCCAGAAGCGGTGAATGTGCCAACACTGGACGTTTTTAAGAAGAGACTGGACAGCCATTTGTCTGAAATGATGTAGGGTTTCCTGCCTGAGCAGGGGGTTGGACTAGATGACTTCCAAGGTCCCTTCCAACTTTATTATTATTATAAGTCAAGCACTCCCTGGATGTGGTACCTGGAGATGCCCTTGGCCTTTGACCTCCCCCAGCCCCAAGTGACCCCGTTCTTCCTCTGTGTGATTGACAGGACCCAGGCCGAGCGGATACGGAGGCCGCGGTGTTGCCGGGGGCCGCAAGGCCTGTTGCCGCGCTACTCGGAGAGCCAGGCGGAGGGGCAGGAGATCCTCTTCAAGCTGACGGACAACATTCAGGATGAGTTGTAAGTACACTGGGTAGGCGGTCCCCCTCGGAGGGGACACAGTCCTCGCTGGCCTCCTCCTCGGGCAGCCTCGCTGCAGCCTGGCAGGGAGTCCCCGACTTATGACGGTCCCATTCCTGGTGATTCCACGATCAATGTGATTTTTGCCGGAGGCAGTCCGAGTTTTTTTTGGGGGGGGGGGGGAGCATCAGGGCCATAAATTCCCCGTCAATTTATTTAAATTGGATTTTTATTTGCTGCTTTCGGGGGTGGCGGTTGCATTCGCTGAGATTTCTGGATTTGCAATTAGTTGGGTTGGAAAAGCTGGCAAAGATTTTAGGGGTCATCAGGGACCTCTTGCGCCGGAGAGCTTACTCGGTGTCCAGAAATAAGCAGACTCTTAGCTTTACACACACACACACACACACACACACACACACACACACACACACACGAAAGTAATTGAATTACTCAGCAATGTTTTTCAGAAGTGGAACAGGGAGCCTAGCTAGGGAAAACAATGTGGAATCACTTAGTAGGGGAGAACAAGATATTTTGAAGGGGGAAAAAGAAAAACCCAAAAACTTTTTTTTTCTTTTAGAGATTTAACTCCGAAGAAAAATATGCAGATCACTAGGACTTTTTTTTTTTTTTTTAAGAAAAAAGAGGGAGGAAAAGGGGGAAAAAGATCAAATCACAAGAATTTGATTAGGGATGGGGTCCAGGCGGGGAGAGTCTGGGGTTTCCCACGACAAAAACAAGCACCATAATTCAGTTAATGACCGTTTAAAGTTACAGCGACACTGGCAAAAGGCAACCCAGGACGCATTTTCTCACTTAATGGCGTCCCCGTGGTCACGCGATCCAAATTCAGACACTTGTGTTGATGACGGTTGCAGGGGGACGGGGGGGGGGATGAAAGTTGTCAAGATTCTCAGCTTGACCAGCTGCAGGTTGTAAACCTCGGCCGGAGCAGAGAATTCTGGGAAATGTAGGCCCAGGATGAGCCCTGAGCCCTTCTCTCCTTGCCCAGCTTCATCGCGGTGGAGAACGTCGACCGCTACTGCGTGATCATCTCTTCCAAAGCGGTTTATTTCCTCAAGAGCGGAGAGGCCATGGACCGGGAGGCCATCTTCCTGGAGGTCAAGTACGACGACCTCTACCACTGCCTTATCTCCAGGGACCACGGACAGGTCTACGTCCAGCTGACCAAGAAAGCCATCAACTCCGCCAGCGGCGTGGCAATGCCCGGCCCGTCACACCAGAAGCCCATGGTGAGTGGCCGCTTGGAGGGTTTGCTTCGTTGGCATGGAAGGGAGGCGGGGGCTCGGAGTGAAATAATTTGGCTTGGGAGAGGAACCCATGGGGGCTTTTGGAAAACTCTTGTTAAAAGGTAAGGCCTCGACTGATGGCTGTCGTTGAGCCTGAAATTTCCGTTGCTAAGCGAGACAGGAATAGAATAAACAGAATGGAATAGAATAATGCAGGAATAGAATAGAATAGAATAATGAAATAGAATAGGAATAGAAATAATGAATAGAATAGAATAGAATAGAATAGAATAGAATAGAATAGAATAGAATAGAATAGAATAGAATAGAATAGAATAGAATAGAATAGAATAGAATAGAATAGAATAGAATAGAATAGAATAAAATAGAATAGAATATGGAATAGAATAGAATAGAAATTAGAATAGAATAGAATAGAATAGAATAGAAATTGGAATAGATAGAATAGAATAGAATAGAATAGAATAGAATAGAATAGAATAGAATAGAATAGAATAGAATAGAATAGAATAGAATAGAATAGAATAGAATAGAATAGAATAGAATAGAATAGAATAGAATAGAATATAATAGAATAGAATAGAATATAATAGAAATAGAATAGAATAGAATAGAATAGAATAGAATAGAATAGAATAGATAGAATAGAATAGAATAGAATAGAATAGATAGAATAGAATAGAATAGAATAGAATAGATAGAATAGAATAGATAGAATAGATAGAATAGAATAGAATAGATAGAATAGAATAGATAGAATAGAATAGAATAGAATTAGATGAATAGAAATGAATAGAATAGAATAGAATGAATAAATAGAATAGAATAAATAGAATAGAATAGAAATGGAATAAACATTAGAATAGAATAGAATAGAATAGAATAGAATAGAATAGAATAGAATAGAATAGAATAGAATAGAATAGAATAGAATAAACATTAGAATAGAATAGAATAGAATAGACATTAGAATAGAATAGAATAGAATAGAATAGAATAGAATAGAATAGAATAGAATAGAATAGAATAGAATAGATTATGATTAGAATTAGAAAGAATAGAATAGAATAGAATAGAATAGAATAGGAATTAGAAATAGAATAGAATAGAATAGAATTAGAATTAGAATTAGAAATAGAATAGAATAGAATTAGAAAGAATAGAATAGAATAGAATAGAATAAGAATAGAATAGAATAGAATAGAAATAGAATAGAATAGAATAGAATAGAATAGAATAGAATAGAATAGAATAAAAATAGATAGATAGAATAGAATAGAATAGAATAGATAGAATAGAATGAATAGAATAAATAGAATAGAATAAAATAAATGAAAAATATATAGAATAGAATAGAATAGAATAGAATAAGAGTAGAATAGATATAGAATGAATAGAATAGAATAGAAGTAGAATAGATCAGAATAGAATAGAATAGAATAGAATAGAATGAATAGAATAGAATGAAGTAGAATAGAATGAATAGCATAGAATAGCATAGAATAGAATAGAATAGAATAGAATAGAATAGAATAATAGAATAGAATAGAATAGAATAGAATAGAATAGAATAGAATTAGAATAGAATAGAGAGTAGGAATAGAATAGAATAGAATAGATAGAATAGAATAGAATAGAATAGAATAGAATAGAATAGAATAGAATAGAATAGAATAGAATAAATATTGGAATATAGAATAGAATAGAATAGAATAGAATAAATATTGGAATATAGAATAGAATAGAATAGAATAGAATAGAATAGAATAGAATAGAATAGAATAGAATAGAATAGAATAGAATAGAATAGAATAGAATAGAATAGAATAGAATAGAATAGAATAATAGATTGTTGAGGATTACCTGAAGTTCTTAGCCAGCGAGTTGATCGTGAGGACTATTTTTTTAATTTTTATTTTATTTTTTTAAAAGCAGCCCTGGTCGTTTTCTTTCTCCACCCCCCCACCCCCCCCAGGTCCACGTATCAGCGGAGGACGTGGCTGTCTGTCTCTGCCAAGAAATCAACTATGCAAAAAGCCTTTTCTACGAACAGCAGTTGATGCTCCGATCCAGCGAACACCAGGAACAATTAGAATTGGATTCCTGACCCAGAGAAAATGTGGGAGGACACACACACACATACAAACACACACACGCGCCCCCCCTCCCTCGGCTCAGTCAGAGAATCTGCCCCCTCCCCAGGGCGTAGGAATAGGAAAGCTTTGGGTAAAGCAGAGAAGCTAAAAAAAGTCTGCAGGGAAAAAAATCAACCTTGTGCTGCGGGCCGCTCGGAGTCACCAACACTGGAGACCCATTAAGGGGGGGGAAAAACCTGGGATTTTCTTAACCATTTGTGTATATATAGTATATTTATATATATATATATATATATATACATACTTGTGTGTATGATGTGTAGATGTTACACGTACCTTACACACCGTCGAGGTTGTATAAAAGTCTTTTTCGTGTAAAGAAATGATAGGAGAAGTTATATTGCACTGATTTTGAGCATTTTTGGAAAGGGCACTTTTTTCCCCCTCTTCCTTTCCCTGGAAGCCACAAAGAGATAGAGCGGGGGGGGGGGAGCCTGGCCAGAATTTGGGCACCTCAGAACAGGGCAGGGGGGTCCTGATCTCTCTGGGTGAGAGAGGGTTGCCCACTCAGTCCTGTCCAGGATCAGGCTAAGTTTTGCTTTCCGGCATCCGGATGGGGGAAAGGGGAGTTTTAAGGAGACCGAACGAGAATGCCGGTTTATAAATGTAATATTGCAAAAAAAAAAAAAACCTGCAGTCTGATCCTGAGGATGAATTAAAAAAAGAAAAAGAAAAAACCACGGCTGCTCCTGGAATCTTGCAGTTATTTCCACAGTAGTCGTGGGAGCTCCATCATGGGAGGTTTTTAAGAAGAGAACTGGACAGACACTTGTCTTAAATGCTCTAGGTCAGGGGTTCTCAACCTTGGCCACTTTAAGACTTGTGGACTTCAACTCCCAGAATTCTGGGAGTTGGAGTCCACAAGTCTTAAAAGTTGCCAAGGTTGAGAACCCCTGCTCTAGGTTCTCCTGCTCGAACGGGGCTGGGGGGGCTGGACTAGAAGACCTCCAGGGTCCCTCCCAGCCAAAGCCAGCCAGCTACTCCCCCCCCCCACCCCCCACCCGTGCCTAAAAGAAGACTAGACCTCACAGTTTTCTCCTCCTTTACGAGTGGCACTTTGCAGCCTCTGTCACAAGCCTCGCAAAGCACAAAGCAGGACGGCGCGCCTCGGATTTACATACCTGCCAAAGAATTCATTTGGAGAGCCAAAAAAAGAGTGATCGGGAGGGAGGGAGGGGTTGGGGAAAAAAATGTACTTTTGGCAGCCCCGGGATAAGAGAAGGCCACAAGCAAAGGGCCAACTTCGCTGTATTTCTGCAAAATAACGATTCCAGCGAGAATGTCTTGCTGTGAGATCCGTGTGGACATTGGCTAAGCGAACAAGCAGAGTGCAACCGAGGCTTGTGGCTTAAAATACCTCCCTTTTCCCTGTTTCCCCCCCCCTTCCCCAAAATACAAAATGTTTACCTAGTCCTAGTGGATAATCGCTTAAATAGGAGCCAGCCGCGTGCGGCAGTTGCCGAAAAAGCCAACACGGTCCTAGATGGCATGAACAGAGGGATAGAATTGAGATCAGGTGAAGCGTTAATACCACTTTACAAGGCCTTGGTCAGGCCACACTTGGATTACTGCATCCAGTTTTGGTCACCACGATATTAAAAAAATGTTGAGACTCTGGAAAGAGTGCAGAGAAGAGCAACAAAGAGGATCGGGATCGGAGGCTAAAACATACAAGGAACGGTTGCAGGAATTGGGGATGCCTAGTTTAATGAAAAGAAGGACTGGGGTGACATGACAGCAGTGTTGCAATATTTGAGGGGCTGCCACAAAGATGAGGGGATGTCAACCTATTTTCCAACAGATGGAAACTAATCAAGGAGAGAAGCAATGTTGGAATTGAGAAACTTCCTAGCAGTGGAAACAATTAACCAGTGGAACAGCTTGCCACCAGAAGTTGTGGGTGCTCCTTGATTAGTTTCCATCCATTGTTTCTTAATAATAATGATAATAAAGTTGGAAGGGATCTTGGAGGTCATCTAATCCAACCCCCTGCTCTTGTTTTGTCTTCTGGGGCTTTGGAAAATAAGTTGACTTCTTCTTTTTGGCACCCCTCAAATATTGGAATACTGCTCGTTCTTCTTTTCTCTAGACTAGCCAAATCCAAATCCGGCAACTGTTGTTCCTAAGTCTCAGCCTCCAGGCCTTTAATCTGACCTTTCCCCACCATGCCGTGTTCCCCCCCCCCGCGCCCCCACAAACGTGCCTCCGGGTTTCAGGCTGCTGGGCCTGGGAAACGCCAGCCAGCGGGAGCAAGCAATGCCGCCAGCCTTCCCCTCGGCCATTACTCTCTTTGATTGACACTTTAATGAGGGTATGAGGGGTCTCCCCCCTGCTGGGGGGCTGGTTCATGCCCCGTTTATCTCACCGTCTCGCTTAGCCAAAAATAGCCGGCCGGGCTGCATTTCACCGGCCTGTGACCTACCATGATGGATTGAGTGGCACAGGGGACTTGGCAGCTGAAGTGTGTAGTAACAGTTTCTCCCTGTCAGCACAACACAATGGATTTGCTGAGCCCTGGGTTTTCCCTGCGCCCCCCTCCCCTTCCACTCCCATCCCCCCCCCCCCATTTGGGAGTCCTGTGTCTTTTTCTTTCTTCCTTTCCGCCAGGCAAGAAAGAGTGTGAGCGAGCTAAGAAGAAGAAGAAAGAAGAGGAGAAAAATGAAAAATCAGGCTGAAATCCTCTCTTGGAAAGAGTGTGAAGCCAGGAGGGAAATTTCCCTTTTTCTGATGTGTTGTGTAGATGTTAGGTGGCTGTGGGGTCCTTGGTGCTCTCTGAGCGGGGTGGTTTTCTTGCAGACGTTTCTTGACCCAACTAGGGAACATCATCAGTGCTAGAAGGAAGGAAGGAAGGAAGGAAGGAAGGAAGGAAGGAAGGAAGGAAGGAAGGAAGGAAGGAAGGAAGGACTATGGGGTCCTTGGTGCTCTCTGAGCTTGGCTGTTTTCTTGCAGACGTTTCATGACCCAACTAGGTAACATCAGTGTTAGAAGGGAGTCGGGTTTCCTCTCATTTAATATACGGCAAGCCCCTAGTATATAAAGAGAGCACACGACACTCCCTTCCAGCACTGATGATGTTCCCTAGTTGGGTAACGCAACATCCGCAAGAAAACCACCAAGGTCTCCTCAATTGTGACAATCCAAAGTTTACAACGGCACTGAAAGATGTGGCTTTAGGACTGTTTTTCACACTTGGAGACCGCTGCACCATCCCCACAATCACGTGATCAAGATTCGGACGTTTGGCCTCTGACTGAGAGTTACGACGGTCACAGATTCCACGCGGATCCTCATTAGTGACCTTCTGACCATCAAAGTCATGGGGGAAGCCAGGGTCACTTAACAACCGGGCTACTCACTTAGTCACCAACAATTCCCTTGACGAGAAAGGTCGCAACATGGGGCAAAAACCCATTTTTTCTCTTAAAGAAGATGAATTTGCTTCAACTTTCCACTTCAGAGAAATTTGCTTCAACTTTTTGCTTAAAGAGGAGGAATTGGGAGCTGGGTTATTGGCACGGCTCTTCCCCTGCCCGGGGCTGCCAGAGCCAGCAAAGCCTGGAAATCACCTCCGAGACCATAATCCTGGGAACCGGCAGGGCGTTGCTCCTTCTTGGCTTCTTGCTTTGATTTCGGTCCCTCCCCGTTGTTGAGACGGTGGCTCTCCAGGGCTCCCCACCTGTATCTCACCCTGGGGAGGAACAGGTTAGCCCGCCCGGGTGAAAAGTTCATCCCCAGCCCAGCGGCCTCTTCCCTCCAGCTTAATTTATCGGCTGTTTGGCTAACCCTGCTCTGAACTCCACGCTCCGGCTGACGTGGGCTTGAGGCGGGCGCTGAGCCCAGCCTGGATGCTCGGCTCACCCTTTGACTTGTACGGGTAGTGCAAAAGGGAGGAAGGGGAGGGGGGGAAGAGGCCAGACCCCAGGAGGGGATAAGAGAATAACAGAGCTGGAAGAGACCTTGGAGATCTTCTAGTTCAGAGGCCCCCAACCTTTTGGGCACCAGGAACCGGTTCCGTGGAGAATCTCGGACTTTAGAGTGTGCGGTTTGGTGTGCTGCCTGCATCCTGTGGATAGAGCTCTGCTTCTTTGTGCAGACCGGTGGCTGGCATGCCGTAGCCCGTGGGACTAACTTAAGAACTGCAGTGATTCACTTAACCACGGGGGCAAGGAAGGTCACAAAACTGGCTTCATGGATTTCTCAGCGACATAAATTGGGGGTCATAAATTGAGGACTCCCTGTACTTTGAGGACCACGTTTAGGCACACGTACACGCAAGCGCCAGCAGCCAGTCTGCTGTTCACAATGAACCACAAGAGCCAAAAAAAAAAACCCCAGACTCTCCCAGAAATATTTCTCGGATTTATGGGCTCCCTGCAGAATTACAGAATCCTAGGGTCGCGTGGGACCTTGGAGATCTTCTAGTCTGACCCCCCTCCCCTCTGCCGCCCAAGGCAGGAGACAGCCTGGTTCTCCCTTCCTGTGGCTTTGGCCCCCCCACTCGCTGCTCCCTGCATCAGTCAGGCCCAATAGCCCAGAAGGTCTCCATCGAGGTCAAGTGTCCGTCCACCTTGCTCCTACAGTTGTGTAGGGCGGAGGATGTGGGTGTCTGCGGGTCTTGTAAACGTAGGTTGAGTCTCTCCAACAGCAGAGACGTCAGCCAGAAATGGAACCCTTCCATCTGAAGTTCACGTAAAACGCATCACTCTTCAATGGGTGGGTGAGATGCAAGTTTCCTCGGAGACCCCGATAAACGGAAACTCTAAAAATGGGCCTTTATGCCTCCTGTGAAGATGGCCCAGCCGAGGACAACCCAAACTCCTTTTCTTTCCAAAGAAGGACCTCAGGAGCCATCTTCTTGCCTGGAAATGGGGTGGTGGAAGGCCTCCTTGGTCATCCCAGAGACTCAAAAAGCAGATGATGGAAACCCTCTTGAGATGCCTCCAGCTGAGGGACAGCTCTGAACTTCTCGCGAGCTAAAACGATGGAGCCTCGGAGCTCTAAGAACGTGTCCTGGTTTGTTCGGCCGTCCTAGGTAGGTGGACCGGTCCCAGGAGAAGAAGAGACCCATCTCTGGAAGGAGACCAAGGTTCTGATGGCCATCCATGTTTAAGTCCGTCCTTTGAAAGTGTTCATACAGTGGTAGCTCCCGGAAAACCTGTGGATTTCTTCCAGGGCCGCTTGTGGGAAGATGCTGCCAGGGAAGAAAGAAGAGATGGGATTTGCCATCTTGGAAGAACTTAAAAACTGGAGAAACGTGATGCTTCTTACAATCTGCAGTCACGGACAACAGAGATACTCAAAGATGGTTTTCCCAAAAGTCAACTGGACGTTCTTGGTCGGTTGGTATTTTTCCCCTTGAAAACCTTTTCACTTCTCATCCAAGAAGCTTCTTCAGTTCTCAGAAGAAGTTCTTCAGAAGTTCTTCAGAAGCTTCTGAGATGAAAAGCAAAATATATTCGGGGGGGGGGGGGAGGAACAAGAAAAGGCAGTTGCCTTTTGGGGGAAGGGAAAAAAAAGCACCTTTGGGACAACCACGACCTGGATTGATGGAGAATCTTCGTAGAACTATCAGGTGGGAAATTCAAAAGTCTGAGTCTCGGGGAAGGGCTGGATAAGCTCGGACCACGTGCTTTGGCTAAAGTAGTTCTCCAGAAGCTCCTGTTAGGAGCCAGCCTTC